GGTGGTAAATAACAATACGTTACAGCTATGCAAAAATAAGTAAGTACATACGAATAAGCTCGTTGACAGAAGAACCAACGGGAATACAGACGTGAGCCCCACAGCTCCGTACGTTTCTCGGTTAGGGCTAACACGCCCTGAAAGTGGAGAGCCAACTTGAAAACAGGGGTCGATAAACACTTCACACGCCAATATTTTGCATCCTTGTCACAATCGAAAGTCCTTTTGTCGAGACTTTCACGCTGATGTAGCCTAAAACACTTTGCACAACCAATTTCGTCCACCGCGTCGACCGTGACAAACCAGCCGCCATGTTTTTAATCCAGGATTAAGAAACAACCAGAAGCAAAGTGCCCAATGTTGAGCGCTTAAGTTAAGCGTAGTTTAGTGCTAGGTTTAGCGATAAGAGAGTTTGGTGCAACCGAACGAAACCGAAACTAAGCTTAAGTTCCCGGCTAAGCTCCGCTTTGCGTTAAGCGACGTTGGTGCAACCGGCCCCAAGTAATACAGTTAAGATAGTCTGTCTCAAAACTTTCGTAGTAACCTACTAGATAGGGTTAAATTTCACGAGATAGACACATCTATGCCGTACGCCATAGTGATAGCGAGACGCCAGAGCATGTGGTTTTGAGATGCACGGGGCTTCGTCCTGCCCTCCTTAATGGATTTGGCGAGTGCGCTGGGCTTTTGCTGGCGAGGATGGGAGGACGTAAGAAGAAATGTTTATAATCACAATATTAGTTTAGAAGATTCGTGGAGATAGTCTAGGGAAGCGTGATAATACACAAAATTGACGAGGCAGATGATCTTAATGCCGCGTGCCAATAAGGAACGCTTCTCCGTACTCCTAGAACATTCTTGTCCACTCTCCGAGTGTAATAGAACAAGAGGACCTTGCTGAGTCAGATTCCCGATTGTTCGAACATTCTAGGCGGAATTTTCGAGACACCGAGAGCAGTATAGATAAGAAAACATGGTTAATAAAAAATCGGCTTCAGAAAACGGGACAAAGAAAGGAGCACGACAGAACGGAGCTAAACTCGCAAAGAAAGAACGAGCATCGAGAAACCAGCAGCTCCATCCTGTCGTGTTTGTTCCTTTCTTCGTCACCCCTTTTTTTTATTTTTTTTATCTGATTTTCATCAACCACGTTTAGTTATTACCAACTGGTCCAGGTTACTACTTTTTTTTTTTTTTTGCAGCAGATAAGGAGCCTAGCGTGGTGATAATGCAATTAATGCAAAGGTGCGAGCGAGCTGTACAATAACAACGATAATGACTTTTCGAGAAATAAAACGAGGATATACACACAAATTTCCAAACACAGCTAGGTGACTGGTGCCCGACTGAAACAATCCGCCCGGGTCCTGGTATCGAACCAAGGACCTCTCCCTTTCCACTGGAGCACTCTACCAACTGAGGTAACCACGAGTTAGAGGTCTGTAGAGCAATCGGCTTTTAACAGTTGCCACCAGTCTAACACCAAGGGTGAACGGTCTGCATATTAAAGTTATGATGATAATGCAATTAATGCAAAGGTGCAAGCAAAATGGACAATAATAACGATAACGATCCCTGAAGAAGGGGAACAAGGGGGACAAGGGACAAACACAACGAGGCGTCGTAGACGACGGAACGTGGTTGGCTCGTCGAGGTCCATCGTACATCCGGAAAGTTTTACCAAACAAAACTCGAGGTGCGGACGCGGTGCGCGATGTGCCAGCCATGTGCCAGAGAATTGCGCTTTCTCCGTCCGGCGTAAAAGTGTGCGAAAGCGAGACCGCCGAGACGTGCGAGAGCCTAATGGGTGACGATGGACCACGACAAAAGGACGAGCGGAGCCGCAGTGCAGTTTGCGTAAACGAAAGTGTGTGGCGTTGCCGAGACTAAGATGGGGCTCTGCAGTGTGACTGACTGAAGAAACCTTCCGCAGGATGTTTCGTTCGCCGGCATGCCCCTGTTGAATTACGTCCTGAACTTGGCAGTAACGTGAGCTTAGATTTCCGAGAATTACCTAACTGCTCAAACGATGGATTTCGGCCATTTGTTGCGGTAGTGATTGGATTTCATCGAGGTGAAGTTTCGTTCGCTTCACATCTATGACTTGGACAGTCGTGCCACGTATATATGTGGGCCCCTGCAAAGTCAAATTGGGGCGGTCTAACGTTGGTCACGGTATACATATTCCGAGAACACCATAGTCAAACTCAACTGCATGGTCCCCAATAATGGTTGCGATGCATACTAAGAACAACCCCAACCGTATTCTGAAGTTGTGTGAGCGCTCCACAAAACCTTTCACACGGGCGTGCACGAAATAATCGCTGTAAAAATTCGTATTTAAAATTCTATCAATGCAGAACACAGAACACGCCGGTATCTACTTGCACGATGGTAAGAGAGTGTAAAACTTGTAATTTCTTGAATTTCTCGGTGTTACACGACCAAATAAAAGGCAGCAGGCGCAGTCAGCTGCCCCGACCAGGAACAAAACCACGGTAGAACCTGGTGCCACTCAGTTCGCAGAATCAACCATGTACCATTCAGTGGCCACTAAAACATGGGCTGTCGTAGCGCTTGCATTGCACAGTATTTGCTGCGCTACTGGCGTTGTCGTCGTCGTCGTCGCAGTCAATTCGGTATTGTACTTCAATCGACATAAGCGACAGAAAACAGGGGGGAAAGATCTGAACGAGAGTCATTTCGCGCTGCCGAACCGCCAAGCCAAACCTGCTCGCCGAAGACCCTAGGAACGCTCGGATCCTCTAGCCCATGCTCCTGCAGCATCGCTGCGTACACCCGTGAGCGATATGAAGGTGAACAGCCCTCTTGCTGTTTTTGACGCTCCTCCAAGGTTTGGAACAAGCTCTGTTCCAGAAGAGGGCTAGAACGCAAAGTTTAGACCCTCAAGCCACGTACCATTTGAGACGTTGAGGGTTAATATAGCTTTAGGAAGCAGTAAAACAGGCACGAAACCAGGTAAGGTGTTCACCTTCATATTGACGGCGGGTGTACATCCGGGACCTTTCCACGCTCGCCGCTTTCCACCAATGCATGGCGCGCGTCGGTGCCTAGTCTCACTACCCCTCCTCTAGTTCACTGTAACGGGAGGATGGCTTGGGGTATCTTGGGACAATAGGGAGTTTTAGAATAGCGCACGCTAAAGCTTTGCGCACGCAAAGAATAGCGTCGTCGCCACTGCGCATGCTCCGAACGCAAACCAGGTTTTGCGCTTTGCGTGCGCAATTTTAGCGCGCGCTATTTCTCGGAAATAGCGTGCGTACGCAAAGAGTCTTTGCGCTTCTCCAAGGAGGATTCGTGATGAGAAGTTGGCTACAGCCAAGACGAGCACAGTTAAAAAAAATGGCGGCTTCCAGGATTATGTCGGCGGCTGTTTTGGCGGTTTTGGCGGCGTCGTGAGTTCGACGTCGGTGGCATCCTCGCGACTGCAATTTTCAATACGGGACGACATTGTACTCGGTTTGGCAGCGATCACCGGCAACTTCATGCTTGCGACGCGCGAACATTTCACGGCGAACGAACGATGTGCGAAAGTCAGTACACGAGACCTCTCTTGCCGAGGCGACGCAAGCGGACACGACCGGTCAACCGCTCGCGTCGCGTTCTCATGTTTAAACAAATTAAAATGCTACTCTGGACCAAAAAACTCGTTTTTTTTCTTCTAAAGTTACACCATTTCGTGTGTGAAATAAAAATTTTTACTGTATCTTGGTGGCGTCGCAAGCGCGAGATGCTTGGGCTTTTGCGTCGCGGCGGAGAAACGCTATTCTAAAACTCTCCTGCGTCGCGTGCGCTAATACAAGCGCTAAATTTAGCGCTAGCTTGCGCTAAAATTGCGTACGTTATTCTAAAACTCCCTAATTTCTGCGACGATTTTCTGCATCGCTGATCGCCCCTCCGCAAATGTAGCCATCGGTCGGAAATCTTACGTCAGTTATATGGAGCGTTGTCAAGCCTGGAAAGTATACCATCTGGAGAGCCATATCCTCCAGTGATCTCTATGACTATTTGCTGGATCGCGTTTGCCCTCCGCAAATGCAACCACGGTCAATCATTTTTTTTGTGTGTGTTTCTTTTTTTTTTTTTTTTTAGAATTGTGGTATTTTTAGTTACACGATAGTAGTATGGTGGACAGGGTTAGATCGAATACACGTTTTGCACCCACAGCTGAAGGGTCGCGGGGCGACTTCGTGGAAACCATGGGAAAAGATAAATATTTTTTTTTATCGAATTTATCCCTGCATGCCAGGATGGCTACGAAACACTGAATACTTAGCGATAGTAAGCTCTTGTCTTTTAGTAATCGGGGCGACTTGAACAGCGCGCCGCACAACATGACGACCTTCTCTGTCGCATCCACTGAGTTTCAAGAATCTGCTTTGTTGAGTGAAGTCAAGCACGAAATATCAACCACGGTACAGTGTACTAGGCCCACGGCTATTTTTATGGAAGCCCTACAGCCACAGCGCTGTCCGCCATTTCACTATGATGGCTAGGGATAATAGAACTCTGCCAAAAAGATGGCCGATCGTGACCACATTCCTGTGCATCGGAGCTGGGCAAACACGTGGGAACGTCAGGATTACAGTAGGTCTTGGCTTTAGTTCTTAACCGTGACTCGGGAAAGGCATGCTGCACTCTGGAGTGGTAGCCAGATCGCCAGAAAGGTTTGGGGCGCGGCAGGTCCTCGCTAAGTCTAGGCAGGTCCTTAAGGCCCCCGTTGAGACACGGACTATCTCACGAAGACGAATGGCTGCAACGCAAGCGAGCGCTGGCTTTATTTTAATTCATTGCTGAGATTCACTGCTTCGTCAACGGAGCAATCAAGACAGAAACCATGCCCTTCTCTTCATGGCCAAAGAGGTCTCATAATGCAAAGCGAGCAGTGTTGCATGCAAGAGTTTTTGGAAGTAGTCTATTGAACTCAATGGGTGTTTCTAACTGGGCCGATGCTCTTTGTTGTTTTCAAATTTGTCCAGAGCTGAAGGCGGCGTTCCTGCTCCTCGACAAGAACCAGGACGGCCGGGTGAATGCGGCAGAGATCAAGCACATGCTGGACGATCTCGGCATCCTGCTCACGGACGCCATGATCGAGAATCTGGTCGTACAGGCGTCCGGCAGAGGTCGGTCTGTCAAGACACCCCGTGGCACGGTTCTCGCTTCGTTTAGAGACCAATGCACAGTTTACGAGCAAGCACGTCTGCCCGCAGGATCGCTGTTTGCCCTCCATCGCCTGACCTCGTACTCCGCGCGATGGCCTGAATGGCGATGGATTGACGATGACTGATCCACCGAGCGTCTAGAGTTCCTGTATATAGCTACCTACGGTAGCAGAGTTGCGCATTCAGCCTCGGCGGGTGGCCGTAGGCTTTCCTGCACGGCACTGAATGCTTTGCTTCTCACGTGATCGATCTCGGCGAATAGCGGCGTGGCGGCTCGGGGAAAACGAATGCGCAACTCTGTTCCCCCTTCGGGAAAAGCATATCGAGGAACTCTACGAGCGTCTAGCTTTTACCGCCTTGTAGCGGCCCTCTAGCGCACGCATCGACTGGCGCGTACTCAGGGGTTAATCGGTGACGTCAATTTGCCGACGTAACTGAGACGTACCAACGGTGTCCGCCATGTGAATAGTGGGCGCTCCCGTGCAGTGCAAGCAACGCTGCAGCCTTGCGCCCGCTGCATTGCTGCAGCTGTGCTGGTCTTGCCGAGTCCGGTGCTGAGACGCGCTCTCTCGCAGCTGACGGCCTGATCAGCGAGGCCGAGTTCCTGACGTGGATGTCGTGCCAGACGGGCATCAAGGACGACGTGATGGAGGACCTGCTGGCCGCCTTCAGGGTATTCGACAAGGACTGCAACGGCTACATCAGCAAGGTGCGATCACTTGGCTATCAACTGCATTTCTGCTTGCCATGTTCTAGAAACCATTAGCGATCACAACGCCATTCTAATTGACTCAACATTCTCTCCTGCTAAGCGGAATGTCGTTAAAAAAACGGTTCTGAACTATTCCAAAGCCGATTCCAGCAAACTGCTTAGCTCCTTCAAATGTTTTTCACACGACTTTATGGGTCTCTGACACGCGATATGTAGCAGAGAATTGGACTGAGCTGAAAGATCAAATCTATTCCATTGTCAAGGAGTTTGTCCCATCAGTGTCATGACATATTTTCTTTGCCCAGGACAAGGAATTCTCCTGAACCCTGGGCCAAGTTCAAGGATAGTGCAAAAACGTACAAATCAGAAATAAAGGAAAAGAGGAAATCAAAGCTTCTTAATCATGATTTGCTCAATATGCTATCAACCAACGCTCGAAGGTTTCGGCAGACGGCCTCGCCTAAACGTCAAAGTCCATCTCCCGTTCTCAACGACTGTAGTGGAACAATAATGTTACCCTTTGACTCTGCGTCCATATTTAACTCGTACTTTAGTTCAATCTTTACCGAGGAGTCATTTCCTCTACCGTTAGCTTCGCATCCTGTTAGTACCAGTATGGATTTAATAATATTCACTCCGCGTGGAATTGCTAAAATCATTGACCATTTGCGTCCAAATTCTGCTTGCGGTGACGATACAATTAGAGCGCAGTTTTTGAAACTAACTAAAGATAAAATATCCACTCTTTTGTGCCGCCTTTTCCGAGCCTCTTTGGAATCTTCAGAGATACCCGACGATTGGAAGTTTGCAAATGTTTTTCCTATCTTTAAGTTAGGTGATCGCAATAACCCGTCCAACTATCGGCCGATCTCTCTTACCAGTATTCCTTGCAAACTAATGGAGCACGTCATCTACTCTCAAGTTATGGACTATCTGAGCAATAACAGCTATCTTTCACCCAATCAGCATGGCTTTCGTAAAACCCCTTCATGGGAAACTCGGCTATTTGGATTTGCGACGGACTTGCATGACAGCTTTAACGCCTCCTCTACCACAGATGCAATCTTCATCGACTTCGCTAAGGCCTTCGACACTGCTCCTCATTAACGATTACTACAGAAACGCTTCAACTGTACACATAAACAACGACGTTATCAATTGGATTCCTTCTTTTCTAGCTAATCGTGAGCAGTCTGTGTCGATAGACGACACCCCCCCCCCCCCCAATCCCCTCCAATTTCAGTAAAATCCGGTGCACCACAGGGCAGCTAAGGACCCTTGCTTTTTCTGGTTTTAATGACCTACCTCCGCTAGTTTCGTCGCCCGTAAGACTTTTCGCCGATGCTTGTGTTATATACCGCCAGATTTCCCATCCCTCGGAAATCCTCCAACGAGACACAGACATTCTGGCAGAATGGTGCTTCACATGGCAAATTCATATTAATATCGTAAAAACAAATATTTTCTCTTTCAATCGTTAAAAACCATATATTCCATCCTACTCTTACAACTCCTTGTTGCTATTTCGCCTGTACCCTCCTATAAATACCTAGGTATCACTTTCACGGGGGAAAGTCTTGGAATACTAACATTGGTAACATAATTAACGAAGCGTCTAGAACTCTCGATTTTTTTTAAAGGCACTTTTGCCGAGCCCGACAGAATGTAATGGCATACAAAACCCTCGTCCGATCTCAACTTGAATGTCCCAGTACGATATGGGACTCTAACCAATCTTTCCTGATCAATAGGCTAGGGTCGATTCAAACCAGGGCAGCCCGGTTCATTCACCGTAACTAGTTGTTCAAAAGCAGCGTCTCTCTTTCAAACCTAACTTTCCTCGAAGTACGACGCAAACTATCGTCTTTCTCTTTTTTTTATAAGATATATTATAACATTCAATCTTTCATGCTGATGTACTGCAAGCCTTCCACATACATTTCCCTGCGTCATGATCATTCCCCGAAGCTTAGCCAATATTCGGTCGCACAAATAGATTCAAATTTTCACCACTTGCGCTTTCTATTACAAATTGGAACTTCCTCTTTGACGATATTGTAAAAGAGTAACATCTTTCTGTATTTCGCAAGAAATGTTTAATTCTACTGACCTAATTAACGAACGCTATAGCCTCATTAGATTAGTATCAATTACCAGTGCTACCAATTGCTGTGTATAGTTTGCCTTCGTATGTTTAAGCATTGTTTATGTGTACGTGCAATTAATGTTTAATATATTTAATATGTTGTTATTGTCGCTACGAATTCTCGTCTCCCCCTCATAAAATGCATTCCACGAGAATGCCCTTAAGGGTAATTGAGCTCGGATGGGGAGCAGGGATGGAGGCAACGGCGGCGTGCATTCTGCGCAGGACGAGCTCAAGCTGGCCATGGAGATGATCGGAGAGCCCATGTCGGAAGCCCAGCTGGACAGCATGATACGAGCCAGCGACATAGACCAAGATGGAAGGATAAACTATGAAGGTGATCGCCGTCCGAACGTCCGTCTAAACATTCAGTCTGTGGGAAAGGGAGAATAACTCTCTCGTAAGCCTTATGTAAACATCGGGTTATCATCGTGAAATAACTTCCTCGTAATCATTTTGAATGCCAAAGCATTAACTGTCCCATGGAGCGAGCTGACGTCATCAGTTTGAAGCTTGAAAACGGCACCTAGTTTCCGCGATTTCGCCTTCGGTTCCATTGGCTGGCGCGCGTCGACGGGGCTCCCATTGGTCGCTGCGCTCGTCAGTTTCCGCGACCGCTCACCCCATGGCGCTGCGTGTCCATCAGCGCGCCGTTAACACGGAGCGTCCAAGGTCACCAGAGGAGCACGCGCGCTGACCGGCGACCAAAAGTGCGCAGCAGACGAAAAAGGGAGCGGACGAGCGGATTGCATGCTCTCGCATTCACAATTCTCATAAGAAGTGCTTAAATGTAGCTCGAGCTTTTTTTTTTATTTGTCCACGCAGATATTTTCCATTGGGTGAGACGTTTTCACGGAAGCTTTTTTTATATTCAGATCTCATTCCTCCAACTATTATCTTTTCTTTCTTTCTTTTTCATTTCATATTAGAATGTTTAGCATGTTCTTTGGTGCTCATGCGCAAAGTCATCTTCCGTCACATACATATACATATATATATATATATATGCATTTTTATGTACTTTTAATATAAATTATGGAGTTAGTCAAAACCTGCGACGCTTTTGTGGCGTGGCCCGACAGCCGCCAACATTTCATTTCAGTACTTAGAGTTGAGAGAGAAACTATGTTCAATCTTGATCACGCTGACAGAAAACGGGGAGCGCAGAATGTGTTGAGTGCAACCTCGCAGAAATTGACGTCACGTGACATCAGTTTCCCCGCTTAATTGAGCGGGGAAATTTACATCACGTGACTCGAGGTTAAATTACGCGGGATCAATTTCCCCTCTCAATTGCAATCGACGTGACGTCTCGAGTTCCCACGACGTGGTCACCTGACGTCCATTTGCCCTCTATATTTTGAGGGGGAATTGACGGGACGGTACTCCGTGACGGCCTGCTTCATTACTGCCTTTCTCGAGCAGAAACCAGATCCTCGGTTAGAAAGAAGAGCAGCTGTCGGTCCCCTCTGTGTGGGCAACGAGCACAGGTTTTCTTTCGGACATTCGGGGGGCGTAGCCGGAGGCGGCTCGTGTGCGCGGAGGTGTTCAACCGACCGTCTACATCGACCCCATCGACGACAAGAGCGTCGCAAAGGCGGCCGACGTCTCGCTGCGGAACGCCCTCGAGCTCCGCTGGCGACCATCGCAACGTTCTCAAACTTTGGACTCCTATTGCGGGAAGCGCTCTTGCAGGAGACGCGACGATCACGACGGCGCGGCGATTCACCCCGCATGCGATGTGGTGCATCTCCCTTCGGACGGCTTGGTCAACAGTGTCGTCTGCTTTGCTCGCTCGCGGAAACTTAGGGACTGCGCTATAAAAACAACGTCACTAATCTCAGTGGAACACACAATGTCCCGAGGTCCATGATCGTCCTCGAGATCTACATTTCGCGAACGCCAAGCGAACCATATTATATGTGACGCCTTAAACCCGGGTCTCGTCGAGGCGGCTTCCCCGCAAGTGCCAAAGTAAAATTGGGCGCGTGTATGCGACTCGTTGGTGGACTCTTTTTACGATCCGAAAATCGGCGTTTTGTGTCGCGATCGCGGTGCGAATCGTCCAACTTCCGCTTTCTTTTCTCTCTTTGCAGAATTCGTGAGTGTCCTCCTCTAGCAGGCGGGGAGGGTCCCAGGTGCCACATCTAGATGACCGCTCCAGTCGGGGCAACATGCGATCTCAGCAGCGCGCGAAAGAAGCGAGCGAAATAAAAATACGCTTAAAGCCTCATTCCCATACATTTTATCCACTTCAGGGTTACGACTGGTTTTTGGCGAAGGAAGTGTCCCTAAGGTGTCGTTTTTCCATGCCTCGTTTGGTGTTGAAAAGTAGCCAAGTTTTGTTTCGGGGGTGTACGGCGAAACCGAAACTACCGGCTCAAGCATGATGGCAACACTTGTGATCATGGCCGTCGGCATGGTCATCGTTTGGTGTTGAAAAGTAGCCAAGTTTTGTTTCGGGGGTATACGGCGAAACCGAAACTACCGGCTCAAGCATGATGGCAACACTTGTGATCATGGCCGTCGGCATAGTCACCGCGAAACGTACGACTCTCCTGTACTCCCAAGAGCAGTTCCGATCAGACAGGTAAGATGCTACGGCTGTGTTACCGCTTTCCTTTGTAGATATCGAGCATCGGGAGCAAATATTAACCCGCACTCATAAAGTTGCCGACCGAAAAGTGAGTTCACGATCAACGCGCAGGCCCAAATGAGCCCCACTTTTGAGAAGGTTGCTTGACAAACGGTCAACCCGCTGGCCGCTGAGATGTATTTTGAATATCGGTTTTAGACTGGATCCCGGTTTCCCATTAGTGTAATACTTTGGCAGCGTTCGTATATAGACCACGTAAATCGATATCGGTCACTTCTTTTGGTTCGACGTTTGACCGAAGTTTACCCTCCAAAGGCTAAACTTTAATTCACGCAGCCCCGTTTTATTTAAGTTACGTTACGAGAGCTTAAATACAAGTCACCAAGACATCCCAACGGGTTCCCCCCAAAAATATCTCCTCTCTACAGAATTTCGATAGTATAGATATTCTAAATATCCACTTTTCAATGCACTAGCTGTCTATAAATTTTGGCCGCTTTTTTCTCTAGACTTATTCTATAGCAAACCGATTTCTACATCGTTTTTATCCCCTTTCTAGCGACAAAAGACACGTTTTTCGCACCAAACAAACAAATCTCAGTTTTAATTTTAGGATTGTCAGGATACATTCGTGAAAGCGTGCACTCACCACTTGCCGTGTGCACATACAAATACACACGCAACCGCTATACATGCATATATCCTAGACTCCAAAGGCAATCCCAGGGCCCGTTTGCTCGAAGCCGGTTAACTTTAACCGGGGTTAAAAGTTAGCCGCCCTTCCCTCCTAGGTACCTACAAGTGCCTATAGCCAAATTTGTCGAGGGCTGGATGAACGATAGCTTCCGTGTTTTATTATGGGGTGGTAGCTGGTGTCACCTACTGGTTGTAGCGAATGTGCGTGGCTTCCGTGGAAAAAGTTCCCGAAAAGGGGGGACCCAAAAACGTGTGCTACCGGGTTTTCGCGACGGAGCGCGGCATATAGGGCAGCTCCGCCGTCAATTTGAGCGTTTTTATCGAAACATATTTTCGGAAGGAGTACTAAAAATTTAGCCTATAGCAGCGGTTAAATCAATAAAAAAACTGTTTACATAATTTATAATCGTTAACATACGCTGAAACCGAAACCGAAACTAACTTGCCACTCGACTGGTCCGCCATTTTGATGTGACGTCACATATGGTATAAACACTCGCACGCGTGCAGTTTGAGCCTGGCCAGCCTGGCAGCAGGTCACTGTTTTGTGTTCGTGCCGCGGATGAAAATGGACTCATCAAGCTCGTCTGAATCGAGCAACAATGAGGATATGCGGCTAGATTTCGAGGACGATGACGATAACCTGTTTTCATACGATCCGCCGGCATCGCCTCCGAGGGAAGCGCCAGCGGCGGCTGCATTTGTGATCCGCCGCCATGTGGACCCAGATGCCGCTTCCGAAGCGGAATGGTAAGGCAGTTTTTGTTGCTAGCACGCCAAGAAAAACTGATCGACGTTATGTCTTTTAATTGGAGGCACTTTTTGTTATATCTTGGGGTCTGACACTAGACGGTTTTAGTAGACCGTGTTTTCAAGCGACGCTTCCGTAGCGCGAGATCGCGCCGCCACTTCCAAGCATGCTCTAGCGCGCGCCCGGAGGGGTAGCGGGCTTCTGATAACTATCTACTAAAACTCCCTATGGACAGAAGGCACGATCGCGGGACGGAAGATCGTTAGGCCCTCGTAACCTCAATTTCCATTTTCGCGCTGTAAAAGCGTCGTTTGAGACATCATTCGCGCATGTAGCTTCGGCTTCGTGAACGTGCATTTCATCAGCGCGCTCGCGTGTGCTGTATAGACCGATAAAATAAGCAAAAACCAGACAGTCCTAGCACCAACAAGCTCCAAAGCAAGCACCCTGACCAACATGTGACGTCACGGCAACGTCAGTGCCATCATGGCAGCCTCCGTGTGCCGCTCTTCCTCAGTGTTGCCAGTAGGGCGGCAGCAAGTGATTTGGGTGTGGACGTGTAAATTTCAAAATTCATTTTCTTCTAAGAAAATTAATATTTTTTCGAGATATTTCGTACACATGCTCAGGAAGGGCATCCAAATACATGGTGAAAATTTTATAGAAATCGGTGACTATAAAAATTACGGCGGAGATGCCCTTTAAAGTTTTTGTTGCTTGTGGTACAGATATTAGGTAAGTTAAAACTAAATTAACCCTTGTTTGGAAAATTTCTAAATGTTTGGCTGTCTGAGTTGAAGACAAGCCTCGTTGAAATTTCCTTCCAAGTTCGAAAGAGGACGACAAAGTTCAGTCCTAAAAGCGACGAGGAAGAAGTGAGCAGTGAAAGGCGGGCGGTACACCGGCAGCATGGTTGGCCAGCATGTAAGAACTGTATATAACACCATCATAAATTCCCGCACGAAAATGTTAGATCGGAGCGGTTCCAGTTCGGAGCCGCGCGGTTCTAAACTTGTGGACAGTTCAGATCCGCGCGAATCCGATCTGGTACTGCGCGGTTCTGGGTGGAACCAGTCGGATCCAGTGAGACGCAACGCACTGGAACCGCACGGTGATGAATGGATCCGATCCCTTCCCCTTGGTTCCAGTAGGGTCTGCTCCCCCCAGCCAGTGGGCGAGCACGTGAGTGACTGGAGGAGGGGGGGAACTTTTGTGGTCTCTCGCAGGTCACGTGTTAGGGACAGGCGCATCCGCTACACAGGCGCTGCGAGCGGGCGTTCTCCGCGCGCCTCGCCTTGTCTGTTGCGGTAGGCGGCAGCGCTCCGAGAGTTTAGGTTCTTCCGTCTCGTCGGACTGTCGGTCGGCGCCCGCCCGGCGGCGACGTTCGCGCTGCGGGCGCATGGATACTGACGCGTCCATCGTTTTCCCTGGATGGATACCCACTGACCTCGGCTTTGAATCTTCAAATAGTTTGAAGCTGCCGAAAGCGACTCCGGAAGTGTATTTTACATGGGGGCTAGCGGTCGAAATGAAAAAAGAAAAATAGTTTACTGTTTGTAGGAGGTTTATTATCACTAGAACCAGTACGCCTCTTCAAAGTCATCAACATTCCAACCCGATATTGTTTCATGACCCCTTTAATTACTGACTTTTTTTCAATTTGTTTATTTAATTACTGCCATCTTACATATGTGAACTTCAACAATAAAGCAAAACATACAATAAAGTAATCTTGGTGGTTAAAGTATTCAGGGCTCAAACCACCTCGTCCACCCTCTTCTAATAACTGAACTCTCGTGTCCCAAACTAACAGACTTCTGCATACAAATAATAAAAGAAGTAATAAAGATTGAATGTGATTGTAATATAGCAAACTCTCATTTTGGGCACATTTAATGGGCATCTCTTATGAAGATCAAGGAGGTATTTTCAAACTCCTATCCTGCATGCTGCCTGTTTTAAGGGTAAAATATGTTTCAATTACTTTTGGAAATTGTTTTGTTTCTTTTAAGTTCAGTAATTTAGAAGTTCACAGCCATTTAGACGTACTACTCTAAGCCAGGATGGCCAGGCCGACCCGGCTTGGAGGGGCCCTGCATTCATATTTAAGCGCCTGCTGAAAGAGTCCATCGCAATAACGAAGCATGGGAATGCAGTGAACAAGCCTTCTTTGTCTTTAGATGCCGAATGGAAGCGATTTCCAATTCTCTCATGGTATTAACATTAATTCCTTTTCTTTGTGTGTAGTCTTATAGCCGACTTTCTCAGTGAAAGGTCCAGTGCAATCTGTAATTTCCCCAGCGTTTTTTTCTATTTAATGATGTCATTTTTGGTGCTGTCAGTTCTTTTGTTGGTTTGACCCCATTGTTAGAGGTCCGATGTCGTGCCCTTTGTGCAGGGAGGTGATGTGAAGAAGGGTTCCCTTTCCTTCCTTCTTTTTTCAACCCTCTATAAAGGGTTTTGTCCTCAATAAAGGCCTTGCTGTGTTTGAGACGTCCTCCTTCTCTTCCTTGTCGTCATCCGTCATTACCTGTCTCGGGTTTTTCACTAAAATGTTTAATATACACCAGCTCACTTGCGCCTTTACATTGTGCTCATAGAAATGACCTTATAAATATCACAATAAGGTGCCAGGAGCGGTCAAAACAGCCACCCACACATTTGTGTGGGTCGGGTATGGATGACGAAAACACCATGCGACGTCGCCATTAAACAATGCTTGTTACTTAGATTTATTTAATCTTATTTGTAGGCATATTAAATCCCGAACACGACGCTTACACGAAGGAAATACTCAGATTCTTGAGTCGTCCGACATCGAGTGTGACAGCAGTGTTGACGACAACCCCGATTGCAGTAGCTACACGCCCAGATGCTAAAAGCAGTAAGGATGAGGAAGGAAAAAACTGCTCCGGTTCCTTCAACGTCAGAAAGGTTCTGTCCCTTACTTTCATCATTCAGTGTGACATTAAAGACATAGGTCGAAACATTTTTTTTTTAAAAAGAGGACCTTCACCGAGAAGCCGCTTCAAGCAAGTGAAGGAGACCATAAGCACCCTACTAATGTCTGCACACCATTGGGCTACTTTGTGCGAGATATTTTGACGAGTTTTTCGAGAACGCTGCTGAAAAGACGAGTACCGTAGAATACCGCGCATCCGCCCATTCCACATTAAGCGCCCATTACCAAATTTGTGAGATCTGAGGAAATACATACGGTACATATATATGTAAAATTCATGACCGGACAAGCGCCCATCCCCCATTTTTTTGCGATTATCTCGCAAGTTTCAGTGGGCGCTTGCCCGGTATTTTACGGTATGTATGACTTGTCTCAGACAGGAGAGGTCTTCAAGGCACAGCTGTATGTTCTTGAAGGTAACTCCGCAGAAGATCAAACTGTTTGGCATGCACATTATCATGGGTTACATCCGTTTTCTGCAAATACACACGTACTGACAAAGGGGGTTTCAGCGTGTGAGCAGCGTAATGGCACAAAAAGAGTTCAAGATGCTGAGAACATGCCCCACTTCGCTGTCTCGGAGAGGCCACACCTGCAGTGCCAGACCAGAAGAGACTGGAAAGTGCAGCCAATAATCTATGCTGTCAGAAGACGTTGCCATGAGCTGGAAAGGAGACCTGCTTTGTATTCCCTCGATGAACATAATACCTTTCACGGGACTCTCTCTCTTGCCAACTGCCGGATGGAATACAGACGCCTGCAGGGCAAATGCTGTGTCACCTTAAGACACCATAGAACTTCTGGACTTCCGCCTGGCAGTCACTGAAGCTCTCTGCTCAACTACCAAAAGAAAAAGAAGCGAAGCCACAGGAGAGGACGATCTCTCAAATGACCAGATTCAACAGCCTTACAAGGTGGCGAAGCTTCCCAATGAAGATAAGCGTCTAGATTTGTTTGACCCCTGGCCCACCCTGGAGACCCCACGAATCTGCAGGCTGTCGGGATGCAACCCGCGGTCGCGGATACATAGGGAAAAATGCAACGTTTACCTTTGTTTCACAAATGAAAGGAATTGCTTAAAATTATTTCATACTTCCCTGCGAGGCAAATGTGTTTGCGAAGCAATGTTTTCTCTTGGGACCGTTTGTTTACAGTTGGTGAGAATCAAATAAATAAAAGCCCGACCCACATATTTGTGTAGGTTTGTTCTGAAAGCGATGAGTCGGCTTTGTTTTTTTTTTTTAGCTTTTAGATATGTTATAAGAGGCACTCAATGGTTTGAAATTGCACGAAAGGTTTCATATTTGTGGTCAAGTTCTTTGCCGGGCAGGAAGCGGCTATGATGACAGCTAGTGCTGAAACTTTGGCTAAGGTTCGAACCGCTAGTGCTACTTTTGCTTATGGGACATAGACAGCCCAAAAAAATCTGCCCCAGCATTCAATCCGTGTCGGTAGACAACGCCTGCAGCACTTAAGATTAAAACGGCGCAAAAAAAAACAGACGGACTGGATGAAGGAGGACACAGACAGAGCGCTGACTCGCAACTAAATTCATCCGGTCCGTCGTTTTTTTGCGCTGTTTTAATCTTTTAAGTATGTCGTACCAACTTGTCCAAGCTTCAACTTTAGCCTGCAGTATTTCAAACTTAACGAAAGTCGCATATTTGAAAATGCAAACACCGTATTGGGTCACGATGCAATTTCACGAAGAGGGCTAGCTAACCGAAACTCGGTGGCCAACCGGTACCCAAGATGCTTCGCGCATCATTTGGCCACAAGAATCGCTGTGAAACTGTGAACCATAACTGTGAAAGAGGTCTATCAATGGTGCCGAGTATAGTGACGCATGCGCAAGGTGAGAAATACCACGACCCAAGATTGTTGTTTTTTGAGAAAACTTGGGATCCTTACTTGCGGCTTTATTACCCTCTCTCGAGATCACATTACGATGCAATACGTTCACCCACGTAGCAGCATCGTGGAGAGAAAGAATGTGCGAGTGTCACCTGCGGGCGAGGAGAGCACCCAAGCGCTTTCATGCGATGCACGGCCGGCGAGGGTGGCAGCAGCGGGGGGTCTCGCGATGCATCGGCTACACAAATCCCAACTTTAACCAGCTAGAAGACGAGGCCTTCACGATAGGGGGGTTACTGGTTTCCCTCCCCCTACGAAGGTGTAAGCTACGGACGTTCCGGCCGGAGTCTTCCGACTTGGGGCCTGCTCTTTCAGTGTCGGGGAGAGTATGCCACCCTGCTGGCCTACTCCCTCGCACGTCTCCAGTTTTGGAGAACTCGCGACAGATCGCGCGGGACAGTCGGGCATTTCCTCTTTTGAGCGGATGGCTGTCCGGCGAGAGTCCCAGAGTGGACTCCTGGCAACGGGTCCAGCTGCGACGCGAGTGACTCCCACGACTCTAACAATCACCGTTCCCTCATCCAAGCAGACGTCCGTCTGTGGAGAGCTCCGACCCGATCTCTCGCGACGACAGGCAGCGCACGAGCTTGGCCCACTGGCGACGACTTTGGTTGCCGGTGGGCCAATCTTTAGCTCTTGGGTGGACAGGCGCCACAGGCACTCCACATCCATGGCTCGCTCAACCGCGGTGTCTCGTTGGGGATCCCCGTCTCCCCATAAATGGCGTCGGATACCGGGACCGTCTTTTTTTGGTACAGCGTTGGCGAACCGAGCGCGGCAATCGCCCTCGGTGGTAGCTGTCGACTGCGCGGTGGGACAGGCATCGGGTTCCCTTTCAGCACCAGTCCCTGGACGTAAAGGTACGTAGTCCCCTCAACATTTCCCCCTCCAATCACTAGCGGATCCACGCAGCTTGCGTCAGCATCGCCACTAGCGTTTCGTGCAGTGCCTCGGAACGAGTGCGACGCCAAGACAGACGCATCTGTCTCGTCGAGCTTCGATGTATTTGCCCCTCAGGGATCCACCAACGACGATGCCCTTGTTCAAGGTGTTATTGCTCCGTTAAATACATCCCGCGCAAAAATATAAAAACAACATCCACAGCTGGCGCCAAACACGCACGGGCCGACCGACGCAGCAGCCGGGGAGGAACGGGCCAGAGTCGAGGAAGCGTGGGTGGTTTAATGGCCTCCGAGGCTAGGAGGCCTTGCAGACCTCGTCGGCCAGCCTCTGGAGCACCGAGAGGAGGGCGTTGCCCTGGGACTCGACCGAGCGGCCCACCCGGTCCAGGGCCTCGTTGCCGGCCTCCACAGCCTTGAGCAGGCGCTCCTCGAAGGTCATCTCCCGCCGGATGCGGCGCCGGGTGGCCGTGGCCAGGTGCGAGGACGAGGGCAGCGTGGCGTGCAGCGTCTGGCCCCCTGCGTCCGCCGACGACCACACTGAGTAGAGCGCCACCCGCAGGGGCCGTTAGCACACCGCCTCTCCGGTACCGGGAACCCCGTGAAACCGGCCTTTGCCGCACGCTCGCGCGTTGGCGGAAGAAACTTTGATCCGAGGATCGGCGCCGGTGACGTTGGGGTACGGTGCCTGGAACGTGCCTCCAACCAGAGTGTTTACCGCGTGTAAGAAAGGGGTCCCTCCATTTCCGTCTTGCAACGCTGCGCAAGTGTCGCGGGGGTGGAGGTGGCAGACGCCTGTTCCAGTATGGGTTAGCTCACCGGCTCGACGGAAGCTCCAGAAGTTGAGAGGAGGACTGAGACGCTCGCATTACTCCCACTTTTTCCAGAACTTCTAGGACCGACCGCTAGGTTCGTGAGGCTAGTGGTTGCGGCCCCTTTTGATACACGGGCGGGACACCAAACGGGTCAGTCGGAGGTGCCTTCCAGGTACCGCAGTCAGAGCGAATGGGACTCGCCCGAGACGCTCCCCGCCGACCGCAGTCGTTCTCACCCGGATCGCTCTGCTCGTCTAAAAGCTGGGCGAGGGCCCTTCCCACAAACGTCGAGGGACGCGTGCAGGGCGGCGACCCAACTCGACCGTGGCTCACCCTCCCGCGAGCAAAAAAGAGGGCAAGGGGAGCACAGCCGCTCCGGGTCCTCCCTTGACGACGGACGTCCTCGAGCCGCACCTTGTTCGGACGTGGTTACGGCATCGTGCCCTTAAGGGACTTTGACAATTTAAAACAAATAATAAACATTTTGCGCCACTGCAACAATGCCGACGCGACGCCAGAAAATCATAGATCGGTTAATAAATTAACTTGTCGAGTTGGAGAAGAGGAAAGCATTGGCAGAGGTGAAATAGCACCGCGCGGGTTATTTGGCCCGGCCCAGACGAGCGCTTAGAGTTTGTTTCAATCGACGCACTTTTGGCACTTCAATAGACATAAAAAGGGTTCTGTGGATCACATCATTTTTACAAACTAAAGATTCGCCTCGGATAGATCAGAGTGAGGAAGCTGAGAGAGCGACGCCGGGGTGCGAACCGGCTTTCGAGAGCACCAGAAACGGGGAGCGAGAGAAGGCCCGGCGGGTAGCCAACCGACCGAAAAAGGAAAAATAAAACACATTTTGGGTCGCAAACGCGTTACCTCTATTTTTGGGACCAGACGTCGTCAACGTAAAGACGATTGCCGACGGGATGCGAGGTGCACCCCTTTCGAATGCCTCCGGCACATTCTCCCGGCCTTCCGCCGTGCCTCACCCGTGCGTGCAAACTAACAAAACGCTCTTCTCGTCGGCAACCGGGGCAACGTACCGTAGAGTCCCACACATTTCGGCCGGCGGGGCACGGGTGCAAACGTCGGCAGTCCTGAAGGAAACCATAATGCTGGCGACACTTTGATATCCACCTAGTGTAGGAAGACGTCGTTTGGAAGGTCCATATCGAGCATTTTCCTAGCTTTATCTTGCGGGAGAACATAGAGCATGGTATAAAAATAAAGTCTAACGCACTCGAATGACTTCTCTCCCTGTAGCAAAACGAGAGAGCTTAATCTATCGCACTGTCTCTTTTTCCGCTCTTCCGTCGCATTCCCGTCTTTAACCCCCCCGGGAGGAGAGGGCGGGCGGGTGCTCACCGGTCTCTACGAGGGTCTCCCCGTCCACGGAGCCCTGCAGGCCCGGGATGGCGTAGCGGGGCTGCAGGAACTGGACCCGGGGCTGGGGCGAGGGCATGAGCACCGACAGGGTGCCGTCAATGTCCTTCATCACCGTGTCCATCAGCTTGAAGTAGGGCCACACCAGGCCCTCTGGCACGGGGTCCCCCTCACTCTCCTTGCGCTCCTGCGTGCCAGAGCACGTCCGGGCTCGTCCCAAGACTCGAAGCGAGCCGCGGCTCCGATCCACTCGTGAACGACCGCGAACGCGGCCCCGAAGAAAAAGGCGCGTTGCGGCCGTCTCGGGTCGGCGGGGCACGGATTGCGGGAGAGGCTTCCAAAAATGCCGAGCGGCGGCAAAGTATTGCTCCCGGGGTCGGCACCCAATCTTCTAGCTTCATAATGGAATAAAACAGCGCGAAGATAGAAATAGGAAGAGACATACCAGACAGGACAGAGCGCTGTTTTATTCCATTACGTACAACGATCACCAACTAGCCCAGCTTTCAACCTGAGTTCTAGCTTCATTTTCGGAGCGAGCGTGGCTCTCAGATGTAGTAGAAACAAATTGGTGGCAACCTTCATCTCCAAAGTCCCATAACACGCAAAATGTGGCACTTAGAGGCATGCTCAACCGAAATTTGATTTCACAAAATTAGGCCGCAGAAGCGTCAAACGGGACGCTACAAATTCCGAAACATCACCCTTACATGGTTATGGCAAACGGATGGCCGTATTTTTGGAAAAGAAAGGAGCGATGAGGCGAGGAATGTGACGTCACGATTCTCCTAAAACAGTTGAGAATGAAGTGAAGCGACCTCGCTTCCCTTTTTCTCGCTTCAGTTCACCTGCTGAGGGGGACGAAGCGAAGAGGAGAGGGAATCAGAATTGTGACGCAGATGTCTCGTTGGCCTCATTCAATCGTGCGCTTCTTTTCCAAGAATACAGCCATCCGTTAGAGATACCGCTGTACCGTCCCGCTTATCTTATCCATCCAGCCTTGTTTTGTGAGCTCCAAATTTCGGGTCAGCATCCCTTTAAACAAAAGTTGTTTAAATTTGTTTATGAGACATTTAACCAGTCATTGCAGGGAGTGAAGAACCTATACAGTTTTACGAATTTGACGTTTGAAAATTGACTTCACGTGACCTTCCTACAGAGTCACTTTTCCCAATACATTTGGCAGAAAAAATGACTCTGTAGAAAAAAAGTTATCGATATTTCTGCTACCTAAAGTCAGCGGGAAATTGAATCGGTGCATAAGTCATGCGATGACAATTTTTCCGCTAGCAGGAATTCCAAGTTAGTCTCTAAGTCTCGTCACGTCAATTTCCTTGCTAAGCGCGGAGACTGAATATGTGTTTAGGCAACGTGACCTCAATTGACGGACAGACACAATTTCAGGATCAGAAGTTTTGTTAAAAAGCATTTTGCGCTTTGAAAAAAAATTAAAGGGATTGAGGGCTCTAACACGACTTGGGTTAGTTGCAACTACACAGCCCTTCGCTTCTTCTCTCTTCCATAGTTCTTCCTGTTGGTTCTCAGGGTGCCTTTGGATTGAGACCAGTAACGGACACTACCCTTGCTGCTCCCCGTCGCAAATGACCGCTCGCTTGAGAACATGTCTCTGACCATTTTATATTATCTCCCAGCATTGCAAACTGTAATCAGCATAATACTAACCTTGTTCCCGGACTGCAAAGAAAAACTTACGGCTCGCTAAATGGTGCACTTTATAGTTTGCTTCGCTGGATGTGGGAGCGGAGCCACAAGCGTGTGGGCAGGAATGCCAAAGGCCGGCACCATGCGCTACGCTTGTGCGTAAAGTGAAGACCACCGACCGTTCCGGCAATATTACATTTCGTAACATTCACTCCAACCGGACAATCGAGCCATTTGCCAATGTCGCGGGACCACTGTGCCTTCAATGGAATGCATTAACGTTCCTAACTATTTTCGTAGAAATCTAATTAATTACTCGACTCCTTATGTTAGAAATCACTTTCACCTTACTTTGTCAGATACTTCCCGAAAAATCGGGTTGCACAAATTTAATGTTTTCCGAACTTAATCCGGATTCCACTCGCAATCTGCCACGACGCCAACTTTACTGCGGGTATTGTAAAAAAATGAAAGGTTAAGGTGCCACATTCGATTTCATTAGCCGCGTGCCGAAATAAAATGCAGGAGAGGCCCAAATGAGGACATCAAAATTGGTCGGCAAGCTTCCTAGAACGGCCGGCACTTTTTCGTGGCAATTGTCTGCTCGGTGGCACTCGCTACGCCAACGGCTCACCCTACGGACACGAGCGGTGGAAACGTTGAACGCACATCGCCTGCGGTGTAAAGTGACTTGGTGTGATCTTCATCCTAAGCGTAAAGTTTGCACAAAAAGAGCGTCGTTTAAAAACGGTCCCTCTCCGTCGCCCGCTCAGGCGTTGCCACCGGTGGCGCGAGGGACACTCTCCGTTCATACCCGCCCGCGTGCAGGCCATGGAGAAGAACCGTTCTCGAACGACGCTCTTCCACGGAGCTCGTCGACCGACGGATCTAAGAGCATTGGGCCCAACTGCCGTTTTACTCACAATCTCCATCTTTTCGACCCGGTATTTGGCCATCAGGTTGTTCCACTTCTTGCGAGCCTGGTCGGCCGACACGACTCCTCCCAGCCCGATCTCGTCCAGGATCTGTCTGCGGGGACGAACAAACGGGGCACCGCGCGTGAGTACGCCAGAGTGCAAGCCGCCGCCGCCGACAGTGGCGGTGGCAATACAGGAACGTGTCTGCGACCGGCGTGTTTGTCGCGTCCCGAAAGGCAGTTCCTCCATTTCCGCCCGAGGACGTCGTAGGAGTGCAACGCCGTTGCCCGCCACCACCCTGGCGGTGTCGCGGCCGTCTGCTGGGGGTCGGTCTCCTGCCTGACCGTCTGCGGAAGCTTTGCCAGCGAGAAATCGGGACACCGCAACGATGGGGATGCTCGCATTCGCTCCTACTTCTTGGCGGGCCTCCTCGCACCAACTGCCACGAAATCCAGCGGCACAATGCACACCGGCTTCTGTGATGTCGTCTGTTGCCACCAGGAGACCATGTTTCACGCATGGGCCCGACGAAACGCCAAACACACTGGCCGGAGACGTAGCGGCACCGTCCGGCGCCCAGCCAAAAATGGCTCGACACCGTCCCGATGCTCGCCAACATAAATGCCACGTCACTCGCTAGGCGCGACAATTTAGAAGGGCCCGTGCCGAGGCAAATGTTGCGTGTGCTGGCGTTTGCATAAAGGCCGCATTCTGAAATTACTCCATCTCGCTCCGGGGCAAAGGACCTTGCAGTTTGTAAACCTACCAGTGGCCGGCATCGCTCTGTCCGCGTCATTAGGCGACGTGGGTGTCTCTGATCTCTTCGAATGAGATTTGGAAGGCGGCCAACGAGGCTGGAGACGAAAACATGCCGTGCGCGGCGTAGGCAGCCCGAGCCCGGAATGGGCACTCGTAAGCGCGTTAGTTTCGTACATTCGTAAGCTTTCTTCTTTTGCTTTAAAGCGATAACCCTTTATGGGAGACACTTTGCAGAGATTTCGAGCTCCTAGGCTGTCGTCGCCATTATGGAAAACCTTTCTTCTTTCCCCTCTTAGTGCGAAGAGAGGGAAGGAGAAACCCTTCTCTCCCTTCTTGGCACGAAAAGAGGAAGTCGGCTTTTCCCGTCGGCCGTGCAGCACAGAGAGAAGAGCGAGGCATCCCGGCATCGTGCCAGTAATGACACGTCAAGGGGAGAGTCTTCCTGTCATCTGCTTGAAAGACTTCCTTTTCAAACATTACTCGCATTATGCGAAATCCCACTTTGGCAGTATCCAGTTGCTACGCATAATGTTGGATGGTTTTAGAAACTTCCACCAAGCTTACCCAGTTACTTCACGCATCACCGAGCGCTCGTGGCGGTCGTCAGCGGCATCCACGATGCCAACCAGGATGGCTACGAACCACGTCGCATGCGAGACGATGCCATTCCACCCGCATCGCACGACCTTAGTACAGCTGCCGCTTTTGTTTCTTCGCACATTGTGGGCGAAAAATATGACTTCTTTCACACAAATTTTTGATGCGCCAATGTACCCTTCTTGGTCAATACAAGCCGCGATGCGACAGGGTAAAACCGGCACCACCTACAGAATACTTTGCAAAGCCCGACGTCTGCTACCGGCCAACAAGGTCACCGCACTGCCCGACGTTCGCGTGTTTGTACTTGTGTGGGCCACTTTTCCATGTATTAGTTTGCTTCCAAGCTCATCACCGGAACAAGGGAAATGCAATGTCACACGCTATACAAAATGCGGGGCACTTTGCAGCGCCAAAAAAGGTTAAGTCAAATTTGGGGGTTTTACGTGCCAAACCTACGACGGGCATCTGGCACGCCCCAGCGGAGGACTGAGGATTAATTTCGACCACCTGGGGATCTTTTGACGTGCAACCGAAAGCTCGGTTACACGGCGCCTTCTCCGCAATAAGCCTCCGTCAGATTGCGGGCACCTCGGTCGGGATTCGAACCCGCCACCTGGGGATCCGTAGGCCGGCGCTCTCGCCTCGAAGCCACCGAGGCGGCTTGCAAAAAAAAAAAAAAAAAAAAAAAAGGGTTATAATGTGGTGTCTTCCTTTGCCTTTAAAGATGCAAATGTAAACATTATGACGTGGACAGCTATTCACCAGCCTTTCGTAGCACATCGGGCACGCACCTTTCGAACTCGTTTCGGGTGCCTGGTTCTCGGCGATTAATTACTTTTACGAAGGCTATAATGTTTGGGACTGTGTTCTCCCATGGGTGCGACGTTGAAAGGAACAGCGATCTCTGGCTCTTACAACCCCTTGTAACCGACGATCTTTTGCTCTTAATGAACCACACGTTGCTTCACATACTATGGTAGTCCAACGGAATCAAAAGATGGCGTCGGCACCTTCAGCCCCGGTGGTTATACTTCGTCTCAGCTTAAGTCCAGACGCAGCCGACGCTACAAGTGCGAGCATGTGGTCCTGAACAGTGCTTGCACTGCGCGAGCGCGCATGCTTGGCAGGGGCACCGAAAGCCTGGAGCTTGCACTTGTAGCATGGGCTGCGTCTGGACTTAAGCTGAAACCCAGTATAGAGCTTGGAGCAGTGGCACACTTGGCCCAAAACTACGAGCTTAATGTAACCGGCCCCACCGTGAGGCAAACTGCGAAAAAAGCAGCCTTCACAAACGTGGTGCAAACGTCGGGTAGCACTGCATACCATTGTGACAGATGCTGGCCGACATTCGATGGAGACGACAGAGAAGTGGGGATTTGCGCTCTTCTCGACGTGCCTATGCGGAGCGTTCCGTAGACTGCACATATAGTGCCGTGTGCGCCACACTGCATCACGTTGTAGCTCGTACCAACTGGGGTTAGCATGTTACATCACATTAATCTCTTTATCACATTTATTTGATTGTGTGCGAGGAAGTCGCACACTAATGGTGTCACTAACCTAACACCGACTACAAAGAAAACACGCCCCGATTTGAGAGAGCACTGTAAGGATCGAAAGCCGCCTCGAGCCGCCATATGTTAGGCATGACTTCTGACGAGACGTGGTTCGCGACGAGACCAGGGGCTGTTGCGCTTTTTGGACTCCTACGGCGACTAGGGAGAAGGAAGTGACGTCAACAACGCAGCAAACGCAGATTGGATGTTGATTGGTGAGAGTCGCTGATGACGAATTTCCGTAGAAAAAAACAAAGAAAAAGTGAGCTTTGTTTTCTTCTGGGGAAATTCATCATCAGCGGATCTCACCAATAAACGTCCAATCTGCGTTTGCTGCGTTGTTGACGTCACTTCCTTCTCCTTAGTCGCCGTGCGAGTCCAAAAAGCGTAACATGGGGCCCCTGGCTCCAGAAGTGGAATGAATGCGCCAACAAGGATGACCAGACAAACTCCGCAAACGAGTCTCGTGAAAAGCACCAATATGGCCGCCCCAGCGAGGTCGGTGCACGATCATATGTCTCACTGTTTCGAGCACAGCTCCGGAAGACAGCGGGCTAAGGACAGACGGACACGACTGTCGTTCAAACGAAGGGCACTTACTGGTACAGCGCCTTGGTGGTGTTTCTCTTGCCATTGAAGAACCGCCGCTTCTCGTGGCGCAGCAGGATGAACTGTTCGGTCACCGCCGGCGACCCTGCAGAAGGCAATTCGAACAACCCCGGTCAAACGAAGGGCTACTGCGGCGACTTTCAAGCCACCCGAGCACCGACTTGACTCGGCCGAAAGCGCGGTCTCCCGGCCCAGGCGGCCCAAGAAACTGCGTCACCAGAAAGGGCGCCAATGCCGCCCGCCTCAGCGACGCGGACGAGCGGCGGGACTCACATTTCCGCTGTAGTGTGCTTTCGGTCGGATCGTCGGCGAACCGGATTTCGTACACCGTAGGCACTTCGACTTCGCCTTCGTGAGCCACAAGCTCTTGGTGGCTCGAATAGTCTTCAGATACGGATTGGGCTATGATCTCCGCCATGATTTCGGAGAACGTAGATTTTGCGGATTTTGGCTCGCCTCGGCTCGGATTGGTTCACTGTGGATAAACCGTTGGCATTTGGTTTCTCTTTTTTTACTTTGCGACACGTGGGAGCACATGGTGGCCAGGTGATTATATGAAATCGATGTTTAGAAGAAGAAAAAAAAATGTCAAAAGCTGTCGAAAATGTCCGAAACCCGCGATAATAAATGGTCTAAATCTAAAGAAAAATCTGGACTTTTTCCCTATCTTCAAGTGCGCTTGGCGGAGCCAAAATTGGTAGAGCTGACTGTTGGCTGGGCAAGATTATTTCATCTTGTTTCATTCGCTCGTTCTGAACAACTAACCCCCTTGACAACAAAGCACGCGCTCCTTTTATGCGAAATGCCAAGATCCGACACTGGCCGCTAGTATTTGTCTGCATACACAAATAAATACTTAAACAGACACCAAAATTTTCTAAAACCGAACTGCAAAGGCAAAAATAAATCTAGCTCGCTTATGTCGAAAGCTTTGAGCCCGCGAATTCACAAAGCGTCCCAAAGCCACGGGGCTGAGGGCTTGTGTCCCGCGTCCTGCAAGAAATACCGAAATCTTCAAAATGTCCCGCATTTCACAGTTGTAAAATTTGCTATGCAACTCATGGCGCTTCCAACCAACTGGGCACGGGGAAGCGTGGTGGTCGCTGGTAATGGTGTGGATCTTCGCGATTGTACGCCATTTTGTGTTCAAGCATTGCGGGAAGCGACCATCGTTCTTGCAGGAGCTCCGATGTGGATGCGCTGAGGTACCTCTGCACTTCAGCATGCGCCTTTGTGCCTCTCCCCTTGGTGGCAAAAATATAGCAAAATAAAATTGCCCACCAGAAGTTGCAGGCAAAGAGCCTGCAACTCAATACCATAAAATTATTTTATGGTATTAGAGCCTTTTAAATGTGTTTCCATAGTGCTTGGAAAAAGTTAATATAATGTGGACTGAAAATCTACGGCGGGAAATCGAGCGAAACATCCGACGCCCGACGGATGTGAAAAACACTGCTTTCCGGGCTTTCCGCCGCGGCCTCTTATAAAATTCGTAAGTCGAGAACAAAAAATCCGACGAACTTGCGGTTTGTGGCTACTGCGTTCTTAGAGACGACGCCATAACATAAATTTTTTTCCAGCGAAATTAAAAATTCGATATTTTTTGCCTGCACGATTTGAGATGAAAACACCCATATATATAAAATTGGGAGTGAAAACTATTTGTGCTTAATTGATGCAATACAATTTTACGGTGTATAATTTTAATTTATTTGCGCAGGATATTCTGTCTACATGGCAGCGTGCGTGGCTAAGCAGAAAGGTTACAATTAACCCTTACGCATGTGCGCCTGCTAGCCAACCGCCACATACACTGTAATGAACACACACACACACACACACACACACGACAAACAAGAGCAAAAAATGCTTTCGGATAGCACAGTTTATTAAATGTGTTAGCAGAGTCACATTTCGTTGTGTACGTGTTAGAAAAACTTTCTTTAATAGTTTTTTTTCTTTGGTTTTCGCAGTCGTGATGCCCCCCTTTCCTCCCCCCTGGTCAGCTAGTCCCGCATTTCATTAGCAGCGCAGCGGACGCTAGGAGTAATCCCAGCCAATCCAGTGTGGGGAGGGTGTCATGTGACCTTGAGCTCCCTGTGTCCCTCTGCCCAACCGGCAGGTCACGCGATTTTCTCCCGGAGCTGGATCGGCTGGGATGGCCTGTGGCGTCCACTGCGCTCAGACTGAAGGTGGAACGGAGTATAGCGGGAAAGGTCCCATGCAGAGCCGCGTCCCGTGCTCCTGACACTCCTGCTTCAGAAACTCCTCGAGGCAGGTATCAAGGGCTCTCTGCTCCAATGGCTGCTTAGCCTGGTCACCGGGAGGACAAGCGCGTGCTGTTCCACGGCTCTGCATCAACGTCTCGTGCTGTTATTTCAGGGGTCCCTCAGGGCAGTGAGTTGGCCCCACTCTGTTCTCGATCTACATCAACGGGGTCACGAAAGTCCTGCGCTCCACAGGAATTTTGTACGCTGACGACCTGACACCGATTAAGCCCCTAAACTCATCTCAGTCCTACGCATTTGGTCCTACCTCGAACTTCAAGCCGACCTAGATGCTTGCCTCATGTGGCCACCTTCTCCCACTTACCGCTAAGAAAAGTGTGACAATGACACTCACCTTAGCCCCAAACAGCCCGCCCCCCCCCCCCCCCCCCCCCCCCCCCGCCCCTTGTTTTGGGCTCTTTTCCCCTCCAGCGGGTCCAGAGCACTGCTCAGCTGGGGGTGAGTTTCGACAACCATTTGAGCTTCGGAGGCCACATAAGGGGCATTGTGGCAGAGGCGCGTCGGTCACTAGGCTTTGTAACACATGTCACACGTGGCATGCCACCGAGCGCGTTCCGGCACCTATACACGGGATTGGTGCTACCCCACCTAGAGTCCTGCTCATCTGTGTGGAGCCCCTCCCAGAATTCCCTCAAACAAGCCCTGGAGAGTGTGCAGCGCAGGGCTGCTTACACGCTCTACAGGCGCAGTGTGTCTCGTTCCACGCTCTCACCCTACAGGCCTGACATATCTACGACGACCCACCTACGGGGAGCTAACTGGCACAGCCTCGCACACAGAAAAGACGTGGCTTCCCTCTCTTGCAACCTGATGGGAACCCCAATGAAGCCCTCGGACGCTCCTCGCTTCAACTCCCGCACCGGAAAGATGCAGCCTCTCCTGGCACGTACGCTACGCCACCTCGAGTCATGCTTGATGCGCGCAGCCAGGAATTGGTGCTTTCTGCCCCCTGAGCTGACTGGAGACATTCCCGATGACCCCGAGGACATTAGAGCTCTCTGCCGGCAGGCCTCAAGTGTGTTTCCATAGACCTCTGCCCTACCTCCCCCCCTCTCCCCCTTTTCCATATGTTAGTATATTCATCCGATTTTCACACCTTTACGCATTGCCATCTGTACATATTCACGACTGTTCAACCATGTATTGTGCGGCGTCGCAGACCTCTATGGTATGGGCCATCGGCCTTTCTGCGGCGTCGCGGCTGTCCTGAGCCGGAATAAATATTATTATTATTAGGGAATTGTAGTAGACCGTCCCCGCAGCCCGCTAAGCACCCGGATAGCGCTCCGTAATCCGCCACAAGACCTTGAACTATGCAGGCAAGGCTGGCGGCGCGCATGCGCAGCTGCGGCGTTTTCTTCAGGCATACCGTAGCGGAGGAGAAAAACGATCTACTACAACTCCCTATTAGGGAGTTTTCGTAGATCGTTTTCGCCGTCCCGCAAGGCCCTCCGCAACCCGCTACGATAGCGGGAACTCCACAGTCAAAGCTATCGGCGCGCAGGCGCAGTAGCAACTTCTTCATTGCGGAACGCTTAGCGGAGGGGGCAACGCGGTCTACGAAAACTCCCTATTATTACATTGGGGCCGTTCGGAACGGCGGGACGTAGACGCGGACATCATCGGTCCCAGCTGGCTGTCCCGATGGGCCCATATCACTGTCGACGCCTGGCACAATGAAGCAGCAAAACATCACCTGTAAAGTCTGTACCATGTTGTCGCTTTCTCGTTTAGTCTACTTTGCAGGAAAACACCCGAATCGCGCAGTGTATAAAACTAAACAAAGTTAAGAAGCGCTCGAGCAGTCTGAGCTCGTCGCGGCATAACGAACACGCCGAACCTTTCGTCTGCTTTCCTTCTCCTATCTTCTGTCGCTGTTTTTCTCGTTCCTTCTCTCGGCACCGCCGGATTTGCCGCGTTCTGTCTTTACCCTCCTGCCCCCTTGTCTACCACACATTTCCACAATGCGACGGCGGCCGGCTGCGGCTCTGAACTCGAGACGCGGCCGCGGTGGACGCTACAAGCTATACACGGGCCAATGTACCCCGTGACCCCAATGCGGAATCGACCGCAAAAATCGGTTTCTTAACCTATCGCGTTCCGATTTTGTGCAGCGTTGGCCACAGGTGGTGCATTTTTTTTATAAAATTCGCAAAGAGCGAACTTACCTGAGGAAAAAGGAAAAAAAGAAAAAAGGCTTAACCCCTATGGAAACGCAGCGGAACAACCGGTCTTCAAACCACAGGGCGCCCTATGATTTGAAGACCGGTGGCTTCGCGGCGTTTCCATAAAAGTTAAGCCTTTCTTCTTTTTTTTTCCTTTTTTTTTTTTTTTAGGTAAAGGGCGAAACACATGTGCGACGAAACCTTCCGATCCGACGTGCGGACTGCCGGAATGACCTTGGGGGGCGAGAGTTTTCGTAGCATCGGAGAGCGTTGAAAACCCTCGCCTATTTCGTGGTCGGACGTCGGATCGGACGGTTTCGTCGTACATGTGTTTTAAGTTCGCTCTTTGCGAATTTTATAGAAAAAATGCCCCACCTGTGGCCAACGCTGCACAAAATCGGAACGCGATAAGTAAAGAAACCGATTTTTGCGGTCGATTTCTAGAGCCTGGCCGCTGTTTGGGACACGCGGTAGTTCCTAGCTTGTACAAAGTTTGGCGAAGGCCAAACTCTGTCGTAATATTCCAGGTGGCCGCCCAAGCAGCACACATGGTCCCCCGGATATCCTCAGGATGTCCCGACGTTCCAGGGATGTCCTGTGGATGTGTATGGGACATCTGTGCCACTAGGGCGGGTTGCAAACCCGCCACCTAAAAAACTGAAAAAGAAAAAAAAAAAAAAAGGAAGAAGAAAAAAGGAGCTCGCCCGATTATTTCAAGCCCAGCAGAAAAGTATCGTCATCACTGCCATCCCGCGAGGCATTGTTCGAACGCCACGATTTCGCACGCGATCCCGTTCGTGAAATCAGCGTCGTCGAGTCCCTCCAAATCTCCTCCAAGGGCCATGAACCGCGAACGAGGCGATGCCGCCGAGCCCATCAACAAGTCCGGCGGAGACTCCTCCTTGGCGTCCACGTCACGCTGCGGCACCCCGATGCCGCCCCGCAAGCGGCGCTCGGCGTCCAAAAAGGAAGATCTGGACCCGCGACGGATCGTCCTCTCCTGGATCAGGAATCAGATCGGCAGCATCCAGCCCTGGAGGCCCTTCCTGGACACGGCGAAGCTCTCGGTCCCCAAGACTGCCCAGGAGCTCGGGCACCGGGTCCATTCCAACCTGGAGAAGTACCGTAGCAACTACGAACTCGTCTTCGTGGCGTTCTTCGTCTGTTGCGTCTTGGCGTCGCCGGGGCTCTTCGTGGGCGTCGTCGGCTGTGCGGGACTCTGCTGGGTCCTCAAGGTGCACCAGGACGACGAGTCCGCGCCGATTCTCAATACGGGAGTTGTCTTGACGAAGGCGCAGCGCGCCGCATGCGCGGCGTCCGTTGTCTTGCCCATCCTGTACGTGGCCGATGGCTGGACTGCGGCGGTCTGGTCCCTGGCGGCTTGCGTCCTGGTCAGTCTGCTCCACGCCGGCTTTCACGAGGCTGCCGTAAGCCAGGAGAGCCAACTCGAAGACATACCCGAAGAAGCCGATCTGGCGCCTTTGTAAAAAACTAACCTTTTTTTTTGTGTTGTTTTGCATGCTTTTTTTTTTTTTTTTTTTAACTTCCTGTGGGTTTTGACACTTTTAACTAACTAGGAAACAAGTCGACCCCAGTGGTTCTGTGGTGCTTAGTTAGACGCTTCGTTGAACTAAAGACGGAGCCTCCTGTCTGTCTGTTTTGATTCGTTTGTGTGACTTTTCTGTTCAATAAAATTCAAATGTTTTGTTCAGTCCCACGACGCTCGTCATTTGTTATATTCGCGCTCGGTTGAGCCCCCTCTTTTACACTTTACTGATATCCTGCAGCGACACGATGTGTGTACGCTGAAAGATACAAGGGCGAAACAAGCGCGGGGTGTCCCAAGAAATAATTTACATGTTTGAGACGTTCTCTGTGTCTGTTCCTTCTACTGAAAGTTCTTCCGATTTCTTCCACCGCAGTCTCAGGTGTAATACGACATGATTACATGTTTTGTTCACTGCAAAATAGACTGCATCGCCGAATGCTCATTCTCCGCCCAAATGTAGCGCTAGCTGTTCGAACCAGGTGCCGAAGTTTCAGAACTAAATCTTACGATTTTTTTTATTCAAAAGGTTTAGTGATTTTCTAAAAGTTGCAATGAGAAAATGGCGGCCGACGGAGCTCCGGCATACATATGGAGCTAATGGCGCCAGCTACCAAACACGAGCCCCATTTGCCCGTTGAAAACCACTCCCGACTTTTAAACGAGATGACAGTTAGTTCTGAAACTTTGGCATCTGGTTCGAACCGCAAGCGCCACACATTGGGCGGAGAATGAGCGTTCGACAATGCGTAATGAATTTTTGCAGTCAAAACACACGCACAATTATTATTATTATTCTCAGGGGACACGTTGTAGAACGAAGCATGGCTGCGTTGTTTCGTCCTTGTGTGGCGCTTTTTGTACTCAACGGCAATGCACGCGACTTTATCGAGAACAATAAAAACTTGTAAATAAGACAAAAAAAGAATTCAGCTTTTTTTTTTTTTTTTTTATTTTGGAGAAGAAGGAAGAGCAGCGGAGCTGTAAAGCCTCTCTATGATGGGAAAAGTGCCGCCATTCATTGTTGTGGAAATACTCGAGACACGTGCCGCGCGCCACTTCTGGGAAGAACATGGCGTCTAAAATCTAGCTCAGTGCTGCTATACTTCGTCTCACCCTACGATGGACTAAAGGCAAAAGCTACGAACCGCCAGATCCAATCACGAGCCACTTAAAAATCGCGCGGCATTTCACCTAGATACACGCATCGGTGCCCGCGTCTCGGATCACTGATGAGGGAACGGGTGGACAGCGGTTTTAAATCGAAGAGCACTGAGTGACTCAACAATTTTACAACGCAAAGAAAGCCACGACATATATGCTCTTTGCAGCGTCGAAGCAATAGAAATGATGCGGAACTTTTGTATTCAGAGCATTATTCGTGCACCCCAAATTTAAGCGTGTCATAGTATAGCGTGGAACGTGATTGTACCTGGCGGCCTGTGGCTTTGGCCTTTAGTCCAGAGGCTGTAGTGCTGCGCTGTGCCGCCATGACCTCCCAAGGGCTGCACGTTGCACGTGGCTCGTGCATCGACGCACCTTGCGCTACTTTTTGAAACACGAAGGGGCTTTACGGAGCTGTGTGCCGCCATCTATGGGCGACGGCGGCAACCAGACAACCGGCAAGCGATTGTCTGGTTACCGCCGTCGCTCATAGATGGCGGTACCTGTTTAGAGGGTTGTGTCGAGATTTGTTTGTCCACGGACACGAAACTGAAGAAACTAGCTCCGCTGTTAAAAAAAGAAAAAGAGAATAAAGGCGAAGGGGCAAACGTTTTGTCGCCTGACCGAGCTGTTCGCGCGAGTGTTTGGGCGAGAGTGTGATTATGTGGCGAAGGATCGACGTAGGACTTGTTCGCCGCCCATAGGCGAACACCCCGACGTCCTCTCACTGGAGATTCCTGGGAGGGAGCGCCGTGAACGTCTGCGCAGCTCTATCCTTTGGAAGAAGCAGGCGAGCTGAAAACACCAGAATCGAAACGGGCGAAGAAAATAACGGCAGCGCGCATAAGCGGGAATTTTTCAATTTCCCGTGGGCTGGAGCCCGACAAGCCCGTCTAACCGCCTCGCCTACATGAGTAAATTACTTTGTATAATTTGGTTACAATTTCAATTACTTTGCTCCATACCCTCTATGACTCAAGACGTCTTAGGGTATCACGTCTTGCCAAGACATACACAAGACCCGTTGCTCGTCTTGCCAAGACGTCTTTAGACGTCTAATGGACGACTTCGTGTTCAGTGGGATAGTAGTTTAACTACAATTACAATTACTACTACGTGAAAGTAATTAATTACAATTACAAATTACTTTTAGAAAGTAATGCAATTACTTTACAATTACTTATTTCTGAGAGCGACCCGACCTCGGCCATGTAACTTCAAACAATTGGTATAGATTGCAACACACTTAATTGTTCATTCCTTGCTTCAATGTTTGAGGAAGCTTAATTATGCATCGCTGCATACACGTATTGTACTTTGCTTTTATGAATTTTGTTAAATTCGTGATAGAGCTTGACGAGGCAATGAAGTACTATGGTCATATATCTTTAATAAAAAATAATAAATTAATCCATACGCTGAAAGACGCCAGATCGTCAAAGAAAAACAAAATTGGGTTAACAGACTTCTGTTAGCCAAACAAATAAAAAGGTGACAATTAGTCATATATGAATATTTTAATAGTGTTAATATAAAACTAAAATCCGCACGCACTAATACGACCCCATTCACGTACAAACATCATGTTATTGTAAATTATTTACATTGAGTTGAAATTATAATGGCTCAGAAATACTTATGAATTGGGGCTCCCGAATCATTGGTGACAATATTGGCAGGTGCAAGGTCATTCTCCGAAATGAGGATGCAAATAATATCCGAAGCAAAACCAACAGCAAATAAACTTGAAAATAATGCAGATACAAATATGCGACAGTATACTGGAAAAAAGAAACGTAAAAAAAATGGCAAAAAAAGAAAAAAGAAAAATAACTTTGTAGACAATGAAAATTTCCAACCTCGGCTGAAAGCTGAAGCTCGATTTTCTTTCAATATTTAGGCATGTTTACGCACCGATTTGATGTCCAATCACGTCACTCGCGTTAAAATTATATTTTCTGTTATTTTAACGGAAACACGTTTTATTTTGGATGCCACCGACTGCGTTTTGAAACGTCGGTCGGTCGGGAAGTGTGTGCGTGTTCAGGTCCTCGGCGGTGTCCGCGCTGGTGTGTTTTGTCGACGCGCCGCTTGTGCTCGTCGCGTTCTAAGCGTTTTTCCAATTTCGTTCGCCCGGTGCGTCACTCCTGTTGCAAATGAACATTCGAAGTGTTTAAAGTCTCAATGAAACAAATTTTTTTAAACGATGTTAGCTGAGCGTAGCCTAGAGGTAAGATGCCTGTCTCATGCCCAAGCGGTCGCGGTTTCGATCCGCAGTCGAAACATACTTTTTTTTTTATTTTTTTGTTTTCGAACATTTTGTTTTGTTGGGACATTTGGCGATATTTACGACAATTCTTTTTTACGATTAACACCGAAAAAAAAGATATATGTTGTCGACGACAGTGCTAAAAGTGCCAGCTAGTTGCTTTGGATCACGCGGCACGAGCGCTCCTGCAGCGGGTGCTCCAGTCATGCGAGTCAAAGGCTACTCGCTCGCCGCTTGCACGGCCTTCGCAGATATTCTATGCAAAGGCGATAATCCGTCGTATTACACGCAAGTACAGCTCCAGAAAAATGCGTACAAAATTACTGCGGCTGGGTTCTGTCGCCTCCGGTACACGTAATATTCAGTTGCAACAGGAGTGACGGACGGCACCGGGCGAAGTTTGAAAATGGAGAACGCTTATTTTGATGTTCCTGAGAACGCGACGAGTACAGGCGGCAATGTTGAACACACGCACAAGCGCGGACACCGCCGAGCACCCGGCCACACACACGCTGAGCGACAGACATCTAAAAATGCAGTCGGCGGCATAAAAAAAAAAAAAAAAAAAAAAAAAAAAAAAAAAAAAAAAAAAAGTCGTTGACGTTAAAATAATTAAAACGTCAAATGGAAGTCGTTATTTGGATGTCCGTGACGTCACTGGCCACGCCCCCTGGGTATCAAATCGGTTCTGAAAATGCGCAGCCCGTGCGTGTCGTTGTGTTTCGAGTGTGTCACCAAGCGCTAGGCCGTTTGCGCGAGCGCTGAGGCTTTGAGAGAGGTTCCGTCGGCTCCGCAAAGGCTCGCAAAACTAATTGTAATTGTGCCTGAAATTTTCAATTACTGACGGTATAAAGTAATTAAATTATAATTACTTTAAGCCGAAGGTAATTAGGTACACATAGCGGAGCGCGTTGGATAAAGTAGTTCACACTGAAAAAATAAAAACACAGAAAATACACGAGGGACAGACATATGAAAGAACTGTGTGTCCCTCGTGTATTTTCTGTGTTTTTATTCTTTCAGTGTGAACGGAAAGTAATTACAATTACAAATTACAAAAAGTAATTAAATTTCAATAATTCCATTACTGTAATTGAAGCACTACCCAAGTATGGCCCCTCCGGGCTCAGCGAAGATCACTTATCAAACTTTCCATCCCCCCACTCCCCAAGACGAAAATCCTGGGTGCGTGCGCCAATGTCGCCAGCGCCAGGGCCGTAACCAGGGGGGGGGGGGGGGGGGGTTAGGGGGTTCTGACCCCCCCCCCCCCCCCCCCCCCGAAATTTTTTTCTGTGTACGGCCCTGGTCGGTGCACTTGCAGCCAGCCGATTTTAATCTCCACCTCTGCGCACAAGCAGTGGCGCCGGTCGGCTACCGGGTACCAAACCGGGACCGGTTCTCCGGTTTGCTATAACTCTCCATTATATGCCACCGATGCACATGATTCATAGGCGAAAATAAGACAATAGACACTTTCAAATTGGCCGCCGTTGTCCCCGCGAAACCCCCCCCCCCCCCCCCCCCCCCCCCCCGAAATTTTTTTCTGGGTACGGCCCTGCCGGCCAGCCATGATCGCGAGCAGTTCCGCCGTGCCCGCTGAGCTAAAGCGCCCTCATGCAAGAGGCACGTGCCACGTGCAGGTTTTGGGAAGATCATGGCGGCACAGCACAACACTGAGCTAGACTTCAGACGCCATGCTCTTCCCAGAAGTGGCGCGCGGCACGTGTCTCGACTCTTGAGTGTTTCCACAACAATGAATGGCGCCACTTTTCTCAGGATAGAGGGGCTTGTAGGCTTGCCCGCTGAGCAGGACAACCGAGGGACCCTCAATAGGGTGCCTCAATGTCCTTCTGTTTACGCTGATGCACCTTTTGTAGTACCCGATGCCCACAGCACGCGCTCACGGGGAAAATACAAAGAAATCAACGAAAACAAAATGTCGCCGTAGCACAGTTAGCGCCACAAACGTGTGCAGGGACATGCTCTTTCACGCGGGGTTTTGAACAAAAACGAAAAATAAACGCGTGGGACAAAATGGCCAGATGCCACCACCCTAAGCGAAGCGCACATGAAGGCACCCCTCACCAAAGCGCTTCCCGTTCCCGCTGCGGTTGGACGAGCAACCAGCTGGAGACGCTGTTCTCAATGGGATCAATTCACCGAAGTCCCGTGGGCTTACAACGTAATGGTGATACGTAATACTACGTGTAGGATTCGCATCTGCTTCACGTCAACGAAGAGACGTTTATCGGCCGCCAATATATAGGCGCTAGAGCAGCTCTACCAAAATCACCAAAACCCAAACAGGGTGAAAATAGGCATCGGGAAGTCATTTGGAGTTACTATAAACGTTTTCCCAGCAAAAATAAAAAGTAGTAAAAAACGTTCCCCAGGTGAGGCTCGAACTCACAACCCCGGCATAACTCACAAGTACTGTCTTATAAGTACCGTGCGCTAACCAATTGCGCCACTGGGGAAGATGCTGACCGCGATTCTAAAGCAAGTTATAAATGAAATGCCACACCCTGGGATCAAATAGTGCCACACATGCCGCCTATGCTACACTTCGGTCGTTCTGACCGACTCTGCTCTTGTTTGGCAGCTTTTATATTTGCGACAGACGTAGGAGCGAATTCAACGTGAAGGCCCAGGCTAGGAATTGGACTGCACGGGCAATATTTCCAACCTTGGAGGTATTTCTGGCGACATGTCACCGAGAACTTTGATATACTAACATCGCGCCGTGTAAACATCAAACGAAAAATTTGTTTTGGCACTCTGGCCCTCTAGCTGCTTCAACGCTTCAACTGCTCCAACCGACTAGCGTTTCTCACGTCTCCTAGCGAAGGCATAGCCAACCGTAGCCGCAAGGCCGCACGGCCGCACGCCTGGCTGTTGTCTCGTCGTCATGACTACAGTGGTCATGACCGTGTTCGTGCGAAGAAACGAACCACTTTTCAGTGAACCGACGATATGGTAGTTTTCATCTAGCGCGAGGTTCGACCATGCCCCTCTACGTTTCAGCCGTTCAAAAAGGCAAAAGAACAAACACAAAACTGTCGAGATGCAAAAGCATGCCATTCTCGCGGCGTTTGGAAAACTCTTCGCAAGAACGTAAATACCGATCTATTTCTTCTTTCCAGTACCCAGATCATCCAATAGAAAAAAAGAAAAAAAAAAGGCGCTATCAATGGGATGACCCGCCATTTTTTTTCATGCGGGAGAGTGCAGATACGGGCGCCACACGTTACCTGGGGAGGCACTCACTTGATCGAATGTTTTAGCGACCGCCCACGTTTCACCGAATGACACTTTACCGAATAGTCGGCCGCCGCGAAGCGGCGTTTTTACGGGTGGGCCCAGTGGGTTCACATCGTTGTACCACTGCTGCCACCACCGACTCCAATGCGAATCTCCACTGGAGGGAGGGAGGGGGGAATGGAAGTTGTGACAGACGGGCCTATGAACTCACTCCCACTATTTCCTCTTTTCCTTTTTCTACATCGCCAACACACACACGCACAGGAGACTCGCGAGTGGTTGGGATCAACCGTTGGTTCAAGGGAAACTTTGGTGCAAATATTTCCATTAGTACTTTACATTGGTTCCCCCAGACCTTAGGGGTCAAGTTAGAAACTTTTTTACCTTACAAGTTCAGAAGTACCACAGCAAGTGCGAGAGTTTGAAAGTTTTCTTACTGTGTCGTGCAAGAAATTGGAGTTTGAAAATCGTCAGTTTTGAATAGTTAGAAATCTGCACCAAGCACTTTATTGCCACTATACGAGAAGGCAAAGTTTATTTCTCTATTGCAGACACTTCCCCCCGGTGCAGCAAATTCTATTTCATCTGCAAGTCACATTGTTACCTCGTGGACATTTGAGGAACAGGGCATAGCTTGGCTGCAGCTGAATGACACGTCTGGTGTTCCTACGCAGAATGCACACAAGCTGCTGTGCGGACACCATCGAGCCAGCCCTACCACCGATGAACAGCAAGCTGCTTACATCGTGCAACAATCCCTTTGACTTGAGCACAAACATACCTACTAGGCCGCACTGCCGACACATCTCCAGTAAAAAGGAGATTTGTGTTTGTCAGGGCCGTACCCAGAAAAACATTTCGGGGGGGGGGGGGGGGGTTTTCGAGGACAATGGCGGCCATTTTGTCTTGTTTTCGCCTATGAATCATGTGCATCGGTGGCATATAATGAAGAGTTATAGCAAACCGAAGAACCGGTCCCGGTTTGGTACCCGGTAGCCGACCGGTGCCACTGCGCATGCGCAGAGGTGGAGATTAAAACCAACTGGCTGCAAGTGCACCGACCAGGGCCGTACCCAGAAAAAAATTTCGGGGGGGGGTCAGAACCCCCTATCCCCCCCCCCCTGGTTACGGCCCTGTTTGTCCCCCTTCTCCAGAGACCATTTCTTCTAGTTCAGCTTGCTTGCACCTTTGCGTTAATCGCATCATCACCATGACCTTCTTCCCTGCAGAATACCCAAAGGGTCGTGTTCGTCCCTATGGGTATTCTTTCAGTAATGCGTATACACTGGCATTTTTTCTTTGCTCATACACCGCTCATTACGTTGTGCTTTGGGAGTTGTCGCGCTGCGTTTGAACTTTTGAGGTTCGATTGCACACACAGCGTTAAATCGCGATGCATTGGTCTCCATTTGTTTGTTTCTGTTATTGGGCTGCTTTTTGTTTTTCGTATTATGCCATTCCTTTTGTATTCCTTACAAGGAATGATAGCATGCGCGAATAAATAAAAAAAAAAAAAGATCCGTCGAGGTTTCGAGTCTTTGGTTGTCCCCTGGTCAAGGAACACAGCACGAGCCAAGTGAACTGTTGACCCGTTGAAGGGACCCCTCGCTGCTCCCAGATAAATTGCATCGCTTCAACACTTTGACCACAGATGGCAGGAGATGGTGCATCTTGAGCCTAAAAATTTCAGGGATCGAGCTTGCCCCAGTAAAGAGTCCAGATTGATACACGACAAAATACGTTTTGGGCCGCCTCCGTGCAAAATCCAGGTTGATGCAATAAGGAACCTGCGTAAGCACTTGACTCGCGCGGTACGTTACTGGCAACATGCGTGGCCAAAGGCGTCGCTCTGGACAGCATTCCACGACTGGCCAAGCGCTCACTATTGCCATGTATTGACTAGGATTGAATCGGCTTCAATCAACGGAAATGAGCGTAGACGACCGACCCACTAACACCTCCGGGGTCTGAATTTTTACATTTCCAAGTTGCTGATGTAGTGCATTTGCAATGGTCCTAAAAACACATTCGATGAATGTGATTAACAATTGTTAGGCATATGCAATTCGCAACATTTCTAAATTTCTCAAAAATGCCTTCCTTTTCTATGTCACCAAAAGAAGAATGGGGGAGAAGAATGCAGATCTTTGACAGGCTCGCTAGAAAAATATCTTTTAGCAATAATACTTTTTTTGGGGGGGGGGGGGGGGGGGGGTTATGTTACGCACTTCTGAAGTGTCCGAGAGAATAAGCATCAATGGCCGACGCCATCTGCCCCGAAAATAATAAAGGTTGGGGAGTTCCCGACTTTACCCGACCAAACGCCCAGAAAGGCAGCGCTTTTCTCAGCATTTGTATGTGTTTTCTAAGGCTTCTACCCCATTTTTCGCGCACTGCCGAGCTTTTCAATAAACTTCTTCGGAATAATGTCGAACGGGGTTCCGTACGAGCCAGAGATTTCCAACCTCTCAAAATGGCCCCGAGGTCGTCTCCATCCCTCGCCGCTTTCTCCCGTGTGCCACTGGCAAGTTACGCACGGACGTTGCAGGCTCGTAGCCGTTATTGCACAAACCAGCCGCGGCACAAAACGCGTCGCCGCTCCTGCGAACCACGCCCCCCAAAGGGGGAGGAACTACACCATACTGCGAACAGTCCGACCGGACATTTCGATCGACGCTATGCTAACTCGGCCTTTCAAAGCACTTATTGCCCCGGCGCGTGCAGCCGTCTTTGGCTCGGACCAATTTCGTGACGCTGCGACGCACTTCCCGCTGTGCTTTTTCGCTTCGTTCGTTACGTCCACCTTCTCTCCGACGTTAAGAGGGGAAGAATCTTCTGGCACGGTTCCAATCAACATGCCCAATGAGGTAAAACAGGCGCAGTGACGAAGCCGTCCGCACAAATGCAGACACCAAGTAAAAAAGATTGGCTCTTGGAAGTGTGCAGACCGTAGGCGTCGATCGAGCAAAGCTAAATGTAAGCGCATTTGATCGAGAATCGGCATAGCAACAACCGCAATTTCGCCCTCACTTTTCTGCTACCCTTTACTAACTCACAAATTTTTTTGGGACTCCTTTTAGCAGTTTTCGGTTTAACCCTCCCCCACTATAATGCCCTCGTGGGCATTATAGCAGCCTTGGAGTCTTACGGAAGCTATTTTACTCTCGGCAGGGTGGCGACGAAAGAAACTTACGGCAAACATAGTAGTATGTACAAAATGAGTCCACGCAGAGACCAAAGAAAGCGAAAACTATTTTTGTTGCAAGAGCCGTTCGAGCTCCACGGCGGACGTGACGGGTTTCGAGCAGACGAAGTTCCGGCAGACGTAGGCTGTGGGCTTTCCGTCGACGCATTTGTACGCGTCGAAGTTGGGGAGACGCTTGCGGAGGGGGTTTTCGGGATCCTGGTCTGCCAGGATGGTCGTGAGGAAAGGAAGGAAGTGTCCTCGCAGACAGGACAGAAGTTCCTGGGTCCCCGGATGGTCCTTGCCGCCCGCCACGACCACCTGGATTGGACGACGGAAAAGGCGGCACTTAGCGATGGAACCGAGCAAGAGACCCTTTCTCTGGACCCCAAAGGCACTCAAACGCGTAGCATTTACTCCGTGGGGTCGTGATGTTGCGCACAACGGCACGTGACCTCAAAATGGACGGTCGCCATGCCAACGACACCGCGTGAACGCCATTCACTAAACATGGCCCTTTCACTGAGGCTGCGTCGCACAAATGCAAAAAGAGTTTATCGTTTTTTTTTTTTTAATCCTTAATTTTCTAAAATTTCAAGTTCAATCTTACTTTGTTCCTATTTTCAGAATTCCAAATAAAAATAAAGTTTATCCAGACAGAAAGTTACTTTAACCCATTCGCTACCAAAGCCGGTGAATCGCTGGGTGCACTGTCCGGGGCCGTGCCGTTAGGCACGGCCCCGGACGGCACACTTGGCGTTGCTGTTGTATTACCGGGTGTGCCGTCAGGGGCCATATTACCAAAGCCGGCGATTCGCCGGCTGCACAAATTTCTGTTTTAAAGAGCCTTTCATAGATAGCGTGCTATGTAGACTTCAGGTAGTGTAGTTAGATACACTGCCAACAGATGGCGAGGGTCGTTCTGTTCGCTGTTTGTTTGAGCGTGTTCTTTTGCGTCTTTCTCGCTCTATCGTCGCCTGCTTGGAGAAGATGGCAGCGTCCAGTGTACGGTGTGGCCTTTCTGACAATGAAATCATAGATATCCTCTCCGACAGTGGTAATGACGGGACTTCTGGTGAGGATAGTGAGTTTTCGGAGAATTCTGTCGACGACGGGAGCGATTCCCACGGCAGTTCCAAGTCCGAATGGCGACAAGAGTGCACTGGTTGTGCGATGCCTAAGCGACCGAGGATGAAGTGCTTCGAGATCTTTCGTACGAGGAAGAATCTTTGAGGGCTTATTGATTTAAAGACTCGAATGAACCACTTAAGCGTGTAAATAAACACGTTTTCTTGACAACCAAATGCAGGCACAGTTGCGCCAATCTGCCAAGGAGGCATCCGCCATTAAATTGCAAATGCTCTCCATGGTTGGAGTTGCTCCTTCTCCTAAACCTAGGCTCCCTCCGTTGGTATGCTGTCCCTAGCGCTCTGAACTCCCCCGTCGGCATGCAACGACGGCCTCCCCGCGTGCAATGCTGAAAAGTCGCTTCCCAGATACGGAGAGGGGAGCAGACGACGATGCAGAGGCCGCCGCCGGTGGCCTTGGCAGCATCGCCTGCGGTCCGTTCTGGGTGGATGCTCGGCAGCAAAGTGCGTCGGTCTGCGGCTTAATGAACCTTCTGAATTCGATTATTGTAAAAATATTGCGCAATTTCTTTTCGCTATATCCTCGGGAGCTGCTCACTTTTTTTAGACTCAAATACATTGAAAAAGTGCAAACGGGATTGAGAAATAGTGATGGCTTCGCTACAGCCGCCATTTCGTTACAGCCGACTTCATTATAAGTGGGTGCGACAGTATCGTAAAATAAATTTCACCCGTCCATAGGTTCTTTAAGGGGGGACATGGGCCTAAATTTTTTATTTTTTTGAAAAAATTCATTTTTTAATTTTGAGGTTTTCAGTTTTAGAAACTAATTATACACCCTTACACCAAATTTGATGACAATATGCCAAATAGTTACGTTAATATAAAATATTTTCAACACATTGTGAGCCAGTAACAAAGTAAAGGAGTTCAATGTTTGAATGCATTTTTCTCAGTTCCACTTTTTGCTGCAAACTTCATACGAAGGAATCTTTTGTTCGAAGGTGAAAGTATTCTGTTACCACAATCAAGATGTTTCTGAACTGAAATTTACTCAGGAATCGGGCTATCTACCTTATTTTGTTTTAAGTTGAAGTCCTCAGTGAGAAAAACTCAGTTTTCAAAAATTGACAGATGACAGATATGCATCTCCTAGTTTAAGGTAATAACTCTTCCTGAAATATTTACATTTAAGTTATTAAAACTAGATAGCCCGACGTCCCATATCTTCCACTTTATATTCAAGCAGTCAAAATGGTGCTTAATAGCTTAATTTGCATATCATAGATTTCTTAATGAAAAGTGACACATCATCTTATGCAGGTATGTAAATTTGTTCTAGAGAGCTGAAAGTTTGCACAGTACACCTACATCTGAAGCTAAATCTCCCGTGCAAATTTCATTCCAATCACTTGAGTAGTTTAAAAGTTCGACCTCTAGCCAGTGTCCCCCCTTAAGATGTCCCAGTCACCACTGTATTTTTACTCCCTTACACGTACGTTGCCGCTCCCCTTTTGTGCTTTAGGCTCATTTTCTTAATGCCACAGTTTTCTGAAAGTTGACTATCGACAGAAAGTTGCCTCTAGATATAGTTGACTACCGATAATCCACTATCAACAGGCTACTACTACTATCGATAACCGACTAGTCCGATAGTTGCCTCTCATTAGCCGACTATCGATAGATCACTATCGATAGTTTTGAAAAACAATCTATAGTATAAACCAGTGGTCCTCAAATGGGAGTCCACGGACCCTTCGGGGTCTTTGAAGGTCCCCAAAAGCTTCGATCGGCAGTCAAGCTGAGCAATAAAACTTTTCTGGTTGATTATTCTCCGTTTCTGTGCTTTGTTTGCACGCATTTAGTTTCCATAATCTACCCTTTGTGACTGTAATGGTTCCCCCTCAGTTGCGCAGATCCAGAAGGGATGCCCACTGGTGGTCGAGAACCAGCGGAGGAGGGAGTGACGGGGGCCGAGTCCCCACCTCCTGGGGCCCCGCCTGCAGCCGCAGCAGCCCGCAGACCATCTCGGGCAGCGCTAGGGGCAGGAGGCTGAGCCGCCGGGCGTAGGCCTCGGCCAGTCGCTGGGCACGCTCCCTCAGGTCGGCCCGGTTCAGCAGCACCGACAGACGCACCAGGTTGCTCAGCGACACCGAGTTGGGGCTCGGCTCGGCTCCGTCCTGGTCTGCAGACGACCGCCCCGTCAGACGCTTCTGCGGTTTGGCTAGGCCGCCTGCAACGCATCTCCGACCGGTCCGTTTCCCCCATCCTAACAAGCTTTTTATCTTTATTTATTTATTAGATACCACGTGGGTCCCGGCAGTATCGGCAAAACACAAAACAAGAGAAAGCGGCGCCTGTAGATCGAGCACGACGAACAATGACGCCATCTCGAGGCAGACGTCGCCATTTGACCCTGCACTTAGTCTGTGCGCACTCGTGCACGCACAAAGCAAGAAACATCACAATCAACGCACTTTATACGACAATTGCAGGAGCAAAAATATACGACGCTTCAAAAGTGCAAAAAGCACAGCGAGCAAGCGGTACAAATTGTAAAAAAGAAAAAGTTGACCTATACAATCAAGATGACACGACGCCTTCTAACGGCGATGCAAAATCTGCCGTGGTAAACGATTCTCGAGGCCATAAATTCCATTCACCTTTTGGTTGAAGATGTATGAAAACCTAAATATGTTAGTAGGTGCAAAACAGGGAGTTATTTTTGTGGTTCTGTCTATTGGACAGTCAATGACGTCGCGGATGTGTCGTGTTGTCACCTGCCGCAACCCTGGTGGCATCGCACTAGTGGCGGTGGATGACACCCGTTCTGGTGCAGGTCACCCTCCGCCCACAACTTGGGCTGATGGCGACACTGGCATCTGCTCCTGCTGGACTTCGTAGCAATAACGTTTGCCTCATTAAACATTTATTTTCGGTTCCACGTTCCTCCACTATCTCTATTCGTAACGCTAAACATTTAGTTTTCGAATTTATTTTAAATTTTCCATTCATTTACCATCTTCTATCAGCGACTGTATTTGTAATTTTCGGAGTGTTAATTGTGGCGGGTCAGCCCCGTCAAGAGCGCTTCTTACCGAGCACCAGTCCGCCGCAGGGAAGCGATACTCACGGAGCTGACAAAGCGATCCCGCAACATTGGCCAGATTGTGGTGTCAGCTCTTCGGGTATTGCTTTTCCGCGTGGCACCCGTGTTCGGTAAGAAGTGCCTTTAAACGAGCGTTCAGCCTTTAAAGAGCGACGACCAGTTCGCGCTTTCCACTTTTCTCCCGCTTCCTCCTCTCCCCCTTCTACACTGTCCACAGTTGCCTGTTTCCTCCTCCCCCAGGGTGAGGATGATCTTCTGCCTTGCAGAATCTCAGGTCTGGTCGTCGGCCTTTAAGCGAGTGTTTATATTTCCCCCGAATTAAATATGGCCGGGCGTATTTGAAGTTTAATTTTACGCGAAATCCATCGATTACTTTCCAACCCAAAGCAGACCACAGTTCGAAAATATAGTTAGATTAAATTTAACGGAGCTTAGAACTGCATACGTGGGAGCTTGGGACCAAGCTTTGAGGTTCAGCCGGACTTTTGTTTGAGCGTGGTACAACAGCTCGTAGTGAAAGGCTTAGAAAAAACTATTTGACATTCAATTAGAAAATACCCGGCGAAAAGCACCATTTCCTTCTAAATTATTTGCGTATGCCTTCGTGTTTCTCGTCGCAGCCTGGCTCACTTCTGCCTATCTTGAGAGAAACGTTGGCCTCTAGCGACCTCCGGGATCCCTAAATTTGACCCAGTCCCGCTTCCAATTTCCCCGCTTTGCCGGGGGGTTTCAAGGGCTGCACTTGCGGTACGAACTGCGAGGAGGTGACAAAAGGCGTCCATCGTCCGCCCGCTTTCCTGCTCGCCCCGCGACAAGGAAACGCACCCGCAATCGGTCGTCGCGGGAGGCATCCGTCACTGAACTGCAAATGCTCTGTATGGCCCCCTCTGCTCCATCCCTACGAGTGGGGTGGCAGGTGCGTACCGTCCTTGAGCCTGAGCAGGAGGTGGGCGTCCTCCCCGCTGCTCAGGAAGTAGCCGCCCTGGTCCGGGTCCCAGAAGCGGGCGTCCTGGGCGTCCTGCAGCTCCTCCGCCCGGAGCAGGCAGGGCGCCTCGAAGCAGGCCTCGTACGTGTCCAGCAGCCCCTGCACCGTGAAGGCGTAGTCCTCCAGGACCCCGGGGATGGGGCGGGCTCTGCGCAGGGCGGGGGAGAGCGACCGGTTAACTCCGGCGTTTTCCTCGCCATCCCGGACTCGCCTACGAGTCGGTCGAATGTCGCTCAACTAAAGCCCAAATATTAGGCTGAAATAAGTATTTTTGGTAAAGCTATTCAATTTGCAATTTAGGTCCTCGAGAGTTTTTTCAAACTAAAATTCTCCACTGGCAACAATGAAAGAGTGATGCGTCTGGGAGGGGTTCGCTCGTTGAACCGTAGAATTTGTTCCCCAAGAACTACAAACAGTTTCGCGACGTCAAATTAAAGGGGCCATGAAACGCTTTTCCAACTTTTTCCTGTTTAACTTTCCTCCTCAACTCATAAATCGCGCATTCCACCAAACAGTTAAAGAAGACGAAAAGGGGGAGTCCCCTCTTGCTCGCACTCTCGTTTGCGTAATCCGGACACATCCATTCTCCCCCTAGAAGATTAGCCCGTCGCTCAAAATTCAGACAAAAGTTGCTTTCCCCACCCAGTTCATTCCGAAGCTGACAGTGCTGTTGAAGCTACGTGCTCGTTGGGCCAGCCACACTTGCCACGTGAGCGTGGCAAATGTGGCTGCAGAGAATGAAGTCAGGTGATGAAAGGGAGGCGGCTGATTGGTCCGGCAAGCGCGTAGCTTCCACCTCATTGTCAGCTTAGGGGTGAAGGGAATAAGTAAGGTCCGGTTGCGTGTGACGTCAGTTTGGACCCGATGACGCGCTTTTGGGACCGCAGATGTATCATAGTGAAAAGGCAGAGAGGTTGCGAAGGGGAGGAGGTACGAAATAGTCCGCTCTGTTTTCAAATTTTCGCACTGAAAGTCAGGCTTTTGACTTTCTACCTTTTTTCTTTTGGTCCACTGAACGATGTGCTATTAGTAAAATCCCAATCTAAAATGATTTATCCCAACCCAAAAATCGTTTCATGGGCCCTTTAATTGTTTGGAAGATCGCTACAGAACTCTCGCAGCAAAACTAAACCGTGCACCGGAAAAAAAAAATGACCGCATCTCCACGTGGTGAACGATGTTGATTGGTGCGAAGCTCTGGTGGTGCTGACGATACTGATTTTATTCGTAGGTAGTGCTGATGGTACTGATTTATTTTTATTGCCCACAAGTAGTGCTGAGTTCCGAGTTGCGTTTTGACTTCATTATTACTGCTTTATGGTCGGTGAAATGCAGAGCCAGCGGTTCTTCAAGCGGATCAGCTGGGATCCGCTAGAAGCCGTGGGAACACATCTCCCCCGCTTCAGTCAACGGTCCATGTCAGAAAGAGAATGTGTGCTATGGAATGTGGTTATATACGCAGTTGAGCATTTGACCGCAGTGCCCTCTCGTCTATAAACGTTGAGCCAATGCGTGCAAAGTCTAACGCGATGATATACGCATTTGACCGCAGCGCCCTCTCCTGTATAGACTTTGAGCGGCTACATGCAACGTTTCATCCATGACATCCCCAGCTCTTGAGTTACATCTCAGAGCCCCCTACTCGTCCTGCGGTACACTGCCCCTGCTACACCCCCCCGTCGGAGCAGCGCCGTTGCTTGCGTACGACACAGCGCGGTACAAAAACTCAAAACTTTGTTAGAGACAAACACCCTACAGATTAGGCAGATCCAAGCACAAGCGACAAGACGTGCAAGTAGCGGCATCGACGACACAATCTGTTTCCTTTTTGCACCGTTGCGTGGCACCGTTGCCAAAACCTACGCTCGCAAAATTTGAGCGCGACAAATGTGCCGCCTAAAGACGTCTTCGCGGAAAGTTTTGTCGCGCGCAGTTCCTTGGCTCATTTATACAATTCTTGCCTCGCACCACAATGGCGCTTGACGACGTTTTGTACGAGCTTGCCCGGACATTTGCGGGCCGGGGCACCCTCCGCTCCAAAGACCGGGAGCGACAACTCACGTCTGCGTCACATGGCCGCCCTCTCCCCTGTAGGCGCTCCGGAGCAGCGACTTGCGGTCCTCGTCGTACAGGTGCTGACCGAGGAAAGCCACGGCCTGGAGAGCGCGCTCGGCGTAGCGTCGGTCGCCCAGCACTTTGGCCGCCGTCGCAAAGCCCGACACCATCAGTCCTGCGCAGGGACGGTCACGGATCGGTCGGAAAGGACGGCGAGAGGTCCCGGGAGGAGGCAGAAGGAACCGCTCGAGTGGGAGAAATTATAAAAAAATCAAATTCGGAAACTGGAGATTGTACAAAGACTTGCAACCCGGTATATATTCTCTGGATACAGACTCTGTTACTGGCATGTTAAAACAACAGGACCTTTCACCACTTTCCAACCGGCGAGGAATGCTAGACGCAAGTACATTTTCATGATGTTTCATGGCCTCTTTAGCCTTGACTACACCCAGTATTTGAATCCTCGTATTACTTGCATTTCAAGTAATAGCCATACTCAAATGATCCAGCCATTTCAAAGTAAAATCAATGTATTTCACTATTCTCTCTTTTCTGAAACGATAAAGTAGTGGTTCTCCAATGGGAATCCACGGACCCCTTGGGGTCCGCAAAGGCATTCTAAGGGTCCGCAAAGCCCAGCCTCATCAGTCAAACTTGGCAATTAATAAAAGTTGTCTCGTTTTAGATTGAGAAGAATTAAACATTCCAATTTTCGGGTGAGTTTTCGCGCGTATATGTGAAAAAGAGAAGTCTATTTCACAGTAGCACTTAGTTATATCAATTTATTAAATCGCAATCATTATCAACCTATACTTTCCCTTCCCCTCGCCACGAACGGGGTCCTCCATCATTTTGTTCTGCACTGTTTTACAAAGTTGGACAAAGAAGGATGACACTCACATACGAAAGGCTCGGTAAACCTGAACAGCGCAGAACCAAAATACTGAAAAACCAACTAGCCCAAACCCAGGCTTTATTGCCCTCCATCATCTCTGTTGATCCACAAGGGGTCCGAGAAACATCCATGGCTGGGAACCACTGCGATAGAGGAATGGAAACTTCTTCTGCAGGAAATTGTGAACTCACATTCCCCTACAGAGTTTCTACATAATTTCGTGCTTGTGGAACCAGTTTCTTCTTGGTACCATTGAGTGGTGCACGCACATTTTCTAATCATGCTCCACAGTCATTGTAATATAACGAGTATGCACTTTTGCATTGTTTACGCATTTGCTTTTGTATTGGCAAATGCAAATTATGCTTTACGTTTGCGCTGTTTCTCATTTCCTGCTGCTGTTTATTACTGTATATCTTTTTGTACTCTCTCCCGCGATAACCCCAAGAGGGGCTAACAGTATCTTGGAATAAACGGAAAGCAGGCTGTACAGGCTACGCGGAGCGCAAGTTTGTTCCTTGCACAGGGGTTGTGACGATGTAAGAATGTTGAACTCTTCATAACCGATTGAAAAATATAGTGGGTAGACCTTGAGGCATCCAGCATTGAGGTCTACCCGCCATCTTTCAATCAGAGCCAATCAGAGCTTGGCATCGCTCTGACATCAACGCAACTCCTGCGCAAGAAGCAGACGACTTGCATAGACAAACGAGGTTGAAACGGTGCCAAAAACAGTGCTTGTCCCAATTTGCTCACTTCTTCTCCTCAATCTGCTTTTTTTTTTGCTGCTTAAACCAGGTCGCGTAAAAGGAATAGCGACTCGCCCTCTTCCCTACTTTGTTACAGACAGGAATCGCATAAAACGGTAAAAAAAAGCCATACACTGTAAACGACTCATATTCGCCAATTTTGGAATTCGTCAAATGTCGCAAAAATTATATCGCGCTAATACGGCATTTTGCGGTGACAAACGCATACATACCTTTCTCAATCGCAAAATTTTGGCCAGCAAAATTTTTTCTGATCCTTCGCTGGGCAAAATGTTTAGAACATCGAGACGGGGACACTAAAAGGGTTTCCGGCAAGTGTGAAAACTGAGACGCGAAGAAAAACGGCTCTCGAAAGAACGGGACAAAAAAAGAACGGGGCGCACCGTTCCAGGCGGCGAGGAACTTGTCGTCGAGGTGCGGCCTGGGCCGCCTCTGCCGGGCCTCGAGCAGGACCCTCCGGGCGTCCTCGAGCAGCGAACGCAGCACGGGCAGCTCCAGGCCAAAGCGCTCCGCCAGGCTCTCCTGGGACTCCCGCACCACCAGCACATTCTTGCCCTTCAGCTCGTCGTGGGGGTCCTGCACAATTCCATCTCGCTTCTTCCTTTGCAACGGGTACACCGTTCCGAAGGCGCGTCGAAAAAGCCGTCGCACGGACGGCTCGGACCCTCCGAGGTGATGAGGCAACAAAAAGTATGCTTCCGGAGTTGCACTTTTGGAGATTTAAGCGAAGCGTTTGCAACCGCCTTACGACCAAGTACCCCTCTCGGGATCTCTTACGACGAGAGAGCCCACTGGCACCATCCAATGGGGAGCCGAGGAACACTTGCCAGTTTGGTACACCTTTTTCTTTTGCGCATCATTGTTCCCTTATTGGCTCGAAAAACTTTCGACCATGTTATGAGCAACCGTTTAGTACGCACATTTGACCTCGCAAATACCGCAAGGCCTTCACTTTGGTGAAATGCAGTTCAAGGGCCACCTTGTCGTAAGAGACTCCAAGGACTGGCTTGACCCTCATCCGATTGTTGACCTTTCTTCGCGAGAGGGTACCACGATGTCGTCTGATGGCTACAAAAAAAACAAGCTCTGTACCCTGACAGCTTCGGTGGAAGCGACTACTCGGCCGCGAGCGTGTGATCTACGCTCTGCTTATAGCCATGTCATGCCGCGGAGGACGGCGGGCGCACTGCTTGCTGTCCTCCGCGCCGTGGATAGCGGGGCGTGCTTCTTGTAGGAATGCACTGCGTGTAGGTATGCTTTCACATTCCTAGACGTAAGCAGTCTTACGTGTCCTCCTGTCATTTTCAAACATATATCTTGTCTTCTTTAAAATAATAACTTCTGTCATAGCTAATGTGGCTTTTGGCGCGGCCTTTCAACTACTGCACGACCGATTGAAACGACTCGTGATATTACAAAAATTTTGTACCGACGGGGACAAGTCAACATTATATTCATTGACTACTCAAACGCATTTGACCATTTTTCACACCCTAAACTACCGCTAAAACTATCACGTATGCTAAATAATTCAAAGACTACTTATTGGCTCACCATTGTTTCTTCCGCTTGCTGATGTCTGATGTCCCTCAGGGAGACCGCCTTTACTTCTTACCTTTATTAACGACGTCAAAAAGTTTGTTGATGTAGACATACGATTTTAGGCAGACGGCTCTATTTTGTTCAGAGAAGCAAAAAAATAGAGACAATCAGCCGTCACTTAACCTTTACCTAGGGAGGTTTTCTGAATGGTGCTTGACTTGGCAATTGCACTGAATATTAGCCAATCTGTGCAGATAACTTTTCCTAGTAAACTTTCGCCAATTTGTTTTTTTTTACCACGTAAATAACAATCCTCTTCAATGTATCTAAACAAAAAAACATATCTAGGGGTGTATTTTTCGGCCGATCTGAAGTAGAATGCGCATGTTGACGCCGTCATTTGCAAAGCTTATGGTAAGCCCTGGTACTTGAAGCTTAGCTTAAAGCACTCCTCATCTGACATAAAACTCGCTGTATACATAACCCTGGTGAAGCCTGTCTTTGAATAGGCATCTTAAGTTTGAGATCCTCAGATGTCCACAACCACTGGCAAAATAGAGTAGGTGCAGAGGTTTGCACTTCATACACAGTCAGTACAAACGAATACGTTAACCCATCTACGAAACGGCTCAAATTAAATTTTTATAGTCTAGACGTCGTAGGGCGAGACTTGAGTTTTTATATTCTATACTTATTGGTGACTTTAAAATGGACACCCGAAAATATTCAGCTCCGCGACTGGTTTGTGCCACACAAAGCTTGCATAATAGGGCGTCAGTTCCGTACCTTTGCCACAGTGACTCTTAAGTTTTCTTTTTTTCCACATACTATCGAAGAATAGAATAGCCTTCCTTAAGTTGGACCTCTACTTCAGAACTGTCGTTCGCGGCACCGGCGAATTCTGTCTGCCCTTGAAAGAGAAATTTTGAACCGATCAAAGGAACTGATATTCCTCCCGTACGACACGCCCGACCAGCCAGCCGATTGCACGAAGACGTCGCCGAGCCGTCGTCCCTTCTCGTGGCTGAAGGCATCGCTCGCTCAAACGTCAAGCACGAAGTGCGTACTCCGAGTTGAATACGCACGCGTACAGTTTCTTTACGAGGTGCGAATGTGGCCTATGCGTGGTGCTGCCCGACTTCATGCCGGGAGTGCATGTATTGAAGGGAAATCGGCAGCAAACTTCCGACATACAGTCGACCGGCTGCATTACTACGCATGAAAGAGTTCCTTCAGTAGCTCAGTGGAAAGACGTCCGCTTCACACGCAGCGGGCACGGGTTTGATCCCTGGTGTGGGTGTACCATTTTTTTATTTTTTGTCAAGCATTTTGCAATGTTTACATTTCTTTTTTAACAATTATCACTGAAGAAAAACAATTGTTGTGGACGATACGTCGCTGAACTAAACGTTATGGGATTCCATTTTTTGACACCTGCAAACTCAATGTAGTCACTTTCCACAAAATGCAAGGAGCATATGAATCGGGTCGCGTCCGCATTCCGAGCTTCGCGTAACTGTTCTACAGAAATTGCAGGCAGCCATTGATCCCGACCCGTTGATCTTTCGGAAACTTGTGCAGACTCTGCCGCACAATACCACCTTCAGATGCAGGACATCTTGGGAGTATTCTTTTCGGAGCCGATCACGGGAATTCACCACGGGCGCTCAGTACTAATTGCCAACACTTAAATGTACAAAACAACTCATCTTGAAGTAGAGAACAGCGAGCGGAACAAACGTAACTGCAGAGGAATCGCACGGCAAACAAATCCCGGAACGCATTTCGTCTGCCATGTGCGGGAAAAAAAAAAAAAGAAAAAAAACAAACAAAAAACTTGCACGATTGGGTGTAGCCACATGACTTCCGCCACTCACTCTCTTCTCTCCATTTCTCTGTGCAGTGCGGGAGTTTCGGTTTCGAGCGGTTGCGTTTTTCTGGCTTTATTAAAAAAATATGTGACTCTGTAGAAAAATATTATTTGGGTAGTATTCCGGCACCATAATGAATCGCCTGACGAAAAAGGAAAAAAAAATTTTGGGGGGATGTCAGTGTAACTTTAAGTGTTGCATTTCTGTATAATATATTTTCTACTGAGTGTTTGCCAAACTTTGTTTATGTTGATGTATAAAATCTTGCGCATTACTTTGTATTACCCCTCCTGCCACAACCCCCGAAAACAAATTAACAATTAGGAAAAAAAATTTTTTTTTTGGCAAGCGCAGGTATGTAAATGATTATGAGTCTTTTAAGTCTCGTCCCTAAACATTTGTGCCAAATATCCATCCAAAATTCCAACCAAATGGCCCTGCAAACATTTTTTTCCCGTTTTTATGCTTTAAATTTTTTATACTGGGCAATTTTATGGAAGCTGCCACATTTTTGCTCGTAAACAACCAATACTATCTGTAGGCTTTCTTTGTTTTGTTTCAGCAAGGTGCACAACAAAGGCACGAAATAAAGGGTATAAATGGCTCAAGTATAGCATTCACATTCTCATTTAAATATCCAATATCTAAAAAAAAAAAAAAAATCTTGATTGAAGAACACGCAGACTTGTTGTCGTGAAAACATGATAAATTGTCCTAGAGCTTTCACCAACACTGAACTGCATTCTGTAGACCTTCTAAACTCCATTCCCTCGTAAGCTGAGACTACGGTGGGAGCTTGCATAATAGCGCGACAGTCAGGCACCTCTTATCCCAGAGCTCTGCATGTGGGCATGGCCGGGAGCGTGATGACGTGGCCAAAGAGAGGCGTGCAATTGGTCCAACAAGGACATAGCTTCCACCCCAGTCTCAGCTCAGGGCTGAACGGAGGAGAGTTTGCAGAGGTAAGTTGATTTCTGGGTTTCAATATTTGCACTTTTGCCAATACGACGGCAAGCTTCAAAGTTCCAATACTCTAACCAAACTACAGTAAACAACTTTGTTTTCGCGGCTTGCAAAATTTTGTGAAGTGTGGCTTTTGCGAATATTTCGCGGGCTTAAAATTCTGCGATGGGGAGTGGTGGGCTATGAAATCGTTACCACGGGGTATATATTTTTGGTTGACCAAATTTTCGCAATGGGGTTTTAGTTGCAGAATTTACGAAAATTATGTCCTCGCAAACAGTAGGTAATTTAAGGCACTATACCGAAGTCAAACATGCTACACAAATCTCATTTGGAAGGAATTGCAAATAAAGACAAAAGAGCTCTAGAAAGAGTCTGTAAAGAGGAGCAGCCAGCTTCCCCCATAGGGATCAATGTGTCACCAGGAACTTTTCCCAATGCAGAAATCTGGACTGGTTGTTAGATCATCGCAAAACTAAAGGGAAATGAGAGAAGCCACACTACCCTGGATCGGCTGTCTGCATTTCGTCGCCCATCCCCATTTATCAGTGCCGCAGTTTTGCGGTAAATTTTTCACTAAGCAATCTCAGATGCGACACTGTTTTCACTTTTGGGAGAATAGGACGTCTCGCTTTCGAAAGGGGCCAAGTGCTCGAGGGTGAGAGAGAAAAGCCGACGGGTCTGTCTGTGACTCGAGGGACTAACGGGGAAGCATTTGTGGCAGGAACGCCGCAATGTCTCAATTCTACATCTGCACCCGACATGCCGCCGGAGGTGTTCTTTTCCCCCCAAAGAAGGACAGAATGAACACGCGGGCCACCCAACAAAAGTGGCCGTTTGCTAATCGGACCAACGTAAGAAAAAAGTAACGTGCCAAAAAAGAATAAAAAACCCGACAAAGAAAAAAACAAGGCCACCCACTTCAGTCAAGATCTTCCAAGAAAGAAATTAAATGGCGCCTGCGCGCAATAATAATGGCCCGTGATGCCTTAGTACATATGAGCGAAGGAGCAGTAAAACATCACCTGCAAGGTCTGTACTTAACTCTTTTCTAGCCTACTTTAGAGGAAAACACCGGCGTCACGCACCGTAGGAACATAAACGAAGTCAACGAGCGCTCGAACGACTTTAAGTTATTGTGGCAAAACGAACATGCCTGCTTTCTTTCTCCACCATTGGGTGGATCACTCGGGCGATGTGGGTGCCTACGATCTGCCGCCTTCACCCCCCTGGCCGTATGGGAGAGGTCACCTGCATGGGGTCGACGTTTCCGCCGGCCTCCACGCCAAAGTGTCGGCAGAAGAGGTCCGCCACGGTGCGGCCGGGGCAGCCCGGCAGGGGCTCCGGGAGCAGGCGCCGCACCTCCGCCTCCTCCCAGACGCAGAAGGCCCCCTCCTTCTTCTCCCCGGAACTGGCCTCCGGCAGCGAGTCCGCATCTTCTGCGCTGTAGAAGCCGCCGCTCTGCGAGCGGAAGAGACCGGCAGATTCTTGTAAGGATCACCATAGCGGCTACCTTTTTCCTGTCCGCCGGCTCGTAACCACGGCACGTAGGATATATAAGAGTGCGGACACCGCGCACGTCGCAGCTGCCGGATAAAGTCCCCTCCTTGCCTCGGTTGCAAGTGGCACCGCCGGATGACTCTTCGATGCTAGTGGTAGCCTGTCACGTGCCCGGTTTCCCACGCTTAGCCGTAGGAGACGAGCTCGCTTTTAAAGTGGTCTTCTGGGTGCAGAACATGGCACTTGCGCTACACATGTTGCTTAAACGCAGCTTCCTCGTTGACTACAGTTTCTTGCCTCAACGGCAGCAAGGACAGTTTTACTAACGCGTTGAAGCGGAGACATCTCCGACGGTCCGAGCCAGTGTCCGTCGAGGTTAGAGCAGGCGCGCCGAGCGGGAAATGCATGCGCGCAAATGCTATGGCAACGAGGCACTTTTTTTTTTTTTTTTTCCTCGGCTGTGGACGGCAAGGATGCTCTCGGCCAAGGCTGGTCAACTGCGTCGGAGCGTGCACCCTGTGTCCGCACTTGTTCCACCGTTTGGGGAACAATTGTAGTGCACACTGTGACGGTACACACTGTGAAGAACTTTATTTCTGAAGGCTCAATATGTCGCGAATATTGCCGAGTGTGGCTCTCGAGATTATTTCGCAGGCACAACATTTTGCAGTTCTGAGCAATAGACAGATTTATTACGCTAATGCAATATAGTAGCGCGACTGATTTTTCGTAACATTTTCCCAGCCACGAAACTCACAAATTATTAGTTCCTCTTGAAAATTATGCCGTTTACTGTATAAAAAAAAACCTCGAGCGGAGTTAAAAAAAAAAAAAAAAGACTACTAGTGTCAGAAGGACGCAGAAAACAAACCAGAAGGATATAAATCAAAAGCCGGTACAAGCCCGACCCGACGAGACGTCGACACGATGCGTCGAGTCGTTCAAGCACTGCATTCTACCATTCTTACTAAAACTGCACTCAAATAGTACAGGAATAAAATACCGCGCAAGAACCTCTAAACGTGAGCCAGTGCGCAAGATTGGGACGACGACGCCAAACCACCGTGTATATTGGCGACTCCAGCGAAATCGCCACAGCGCAGCGGCAATGCCGGGAACATCCGAGAGGTCATTCTGCCTCTGTTGTCTGCTTTCGCTGCTTGTAAACAGCGTAGCTTGCGCGTTTGTTTATTAAGATTAATTGAATATTCGCGGTTCATCGGCGCTGCAACAAAATAAGGAAAGAACAAGGACGTGAAAATGTCTTAGTGGTGTGCAGTTTCTCTTGCCCGCGAGTTGAAAAACTATGTCATCACGCAACACATGTTCCCGTGCCAAACTTGTGGCGAGATCCACGAACTGGAGTAAATTTATTTATAAAATAAAAATTAATGCAAAAGTCCCCTCGGCAAAAGAAGAACATAAATAAATGCTTAGAAACTGTTTGTTTCTGCCTCTTTTGCAAAAATAAACCAGGCCAGAGGTCTAGCTTCGGCCAGACGTGCAAATCGAGCTGGCGAAATAAGAAAAACATTGTTTTCAGTAACCATTTTTATGGTTTCCCCGTGTCACTATTACACGCTGACTAGAAGGTTTTTACCGTCCAAAAAGCACTTTGCTTTTATATGTAACATTGATTCTACGCTGCAACGCAAGAAATCAAGGTGGACCACGTGCTAACCATGAAACCGACCTCCTTTCATCTGCCACTTTGTCTGACCAGCACACAACCTACAGTTCGCTGGAAACGTCAATAGCCGAACCAGTTTACGTAAAACGAAAATGGTGCGTGCAATAATTTTTTTCAAGCAATGTCGCTAAAGCGCCACAACCTGGACTTAGTTCTTGACAATACCATCTTTGGTGATGCCGTGCAAGAACTAAAATCTGAGATAACTAGGCCACTAGGACATGCAACGAGTATATACACTTCGTAAACCTTTCCCCGCAAGCTACCTTTTAGTTTCGCGAATCAACTCCATTTAATTGTGGGCATCATTGGGCGAACACTACCGAGGCCTTCCAGTGAGAATCCTCCTCTCAGGTTCCTCGACCCACGTCTCGGCACAAGTTTCAGTTCAGTGCCCCGTTCCGGCGGCAGTGTTAGTGTGCTCCTCTTCAAAATACGCCACGTAGAAATTGCATGTTTTTCATGAAGAAAGACATATGCAGAAAATACACAAGGCGGTTCATTCAGACTGCGAGAAAATGAAGCGACCCCACATCTAGAACAACCTCGGAATTCCGGTCGCCTCTAAGTAGTGATAGGCCAAACTTTCGCCCAATCGAAAATTCGCCAAAGCCAAATTTTTGCTGAACTTTTCTAAAGATTTGGCAAAGATAAGTTGTTCCAAGACCTAAAAGTTGATATTTTGTTCTTTTTCAAACAAAATAGTTCTTAGATTTTTTTTTTAATGCATATTGACACAATTCTTACTAAATAAGATGACATTCTACAAGATAATTGGATTAGTGTAATTTTGTGCATTTACTGGCAATATTACGGTGACTTTTTGCCGAAGTGGTGTGACAACGAGGTTGGGTGGTAGCAGGGGCAGCAGGGCTGGGCAGAGATACACCAAAAAGTATCCGGGAATACAAATAGTGCGATACATGTGTTTTAAGGCAAAAAATACAGATACTGGGATACATTTTTCTTTTATGCAACAAGATATCCCTGAGATACGTCTAGAAAAACGGCGAGAAAGTATTCCAGAATACAGATACAGGTACTTACAGAAATATATTTGTTCCCGGACAGTGTTACATGGGGAGGGTGTGGCTCGTTGTGAATGCAAATGGTAATTTATGCTTGTGCTCCACTTTTTGTGTCATTTTATGCACTACCCATTACCTCAAACTCTCTAGTTGTCCTTAATGCCGTTAAAGAAACATGTCACCCCGTTGAACCACATAGTTATAGAACGGTAAAGACGGCGGGCGTATCATGCTTGACAAAAGGCATCTGGCCGAAATGAACCCCGTCTTGCCCTGAGGGTGCATCTCCAACTGTCACATTATAAGGTTCTGAGTCACCGATATGCATGGGGAGATTGGACAGCAAGGCCATACTTTCTCCCCACTCAACTCATTTGCACCATTCGCTCTGCTAAATTGGAAAAAGCGGGGGGCTTCGTGAGAGGAGCTGATTTTGTCACTCTTGCCCGCAACCTTTTTTAAACCACTTTTTTGTTGTTGACTGTGAGGGATATTGCTATAGGGCGACTTAATATTATCAATACCAAAACAACTTGCACCAAACAACTTTTGTCTCTTTTAAATTTATCTTAAAGGCCGACGACCAGATTTGGGATTCTGCAAGGCAGAAGAACAGGCAACAGTGAGCAAGGTAGAAGGGGGAGAGGAGGAATCGCGAGAAAAGTGGAAAGCACAAACTGTTCGTCGGTCTTTACAAAGGGCAACAAATGTAACGAGATAAACTAAGTCTGGCAAAGTATTGTGATACAAGCGTTACATTGCAAAGGTATTTCACTACTGAGATACAAATACATTTTTCAAATGTTGATACAGAGATACAGATGCTCGAAAGTACCTCTAAGATACTATCGCGATACTGCCCAGCCCTGGGGTGCAGTTACGATACGAGAGTTTCGGTTTTGAGGCCTTATCAGCGCAAGCCTGCAAGCGTGTACGTTGTTGAAATAAAGGCGGTAATACTGTGTTCTTGCTTTCTATGCAAGTCAGCGTTTTGTGCGCAAAAATGTAGGGTTGTGCAAATAGTAGATTTTGAGTTTGAATCGAATTCGAAGCGAATAGTGATTTTGGTCGAATATTTTCGAATCAAATATAGAATACTTGCCATTCGAAAAACTTGACCGTTTTTAGAGGGAAGTTTACTGAAATACTTCCGAACTGGACTTCTCACGCTGTCGTCAGTCCATCTTGCCAACCAACTTAGCTGCCGTCATTTTGACAATATCGATGTCATCCACTCACCTTGTCGCTGTAATAATATAATATTCCTTTGAAATATGATAGTTTGAATGTTTTGAAACCGTGTTTATAAGTTTTATCGGAAATAAAAGTTTATGAGCAATTATGCATGTTATGAGAAATTTCTAAAGGTATTTATTTTTATCCTAAACTTGTTTTTTAAATTTATGTCTGGACGTAGCGGTGGTGAAAAAAGAGTGCTGGCAACCAGGCCGCCAAGATTGTCGAAGATGACGCCGGCGTCTCAGGAATTCGTTGCTCAATTTCTTTTGCCTGTTATTAAAAAAGCTGATGAAATAATTACGATGAGTATATTTGAAAGTTCCCACCATAATATTAATACCATTTTGCCGAACATGTCAGTATATTCTTGATTTTAGATATTGTTTTTTTTCTGGTCTTTAGACAGTAAACATACTTGCGACCGTGAGTTTGCGAACACTTCGAAAAGCATGAATATTACAACTGCCCTCGAAGCGAATATCGGATAGAGTACTATTCGAAACTACTATTCGAAAATTCAAATATTCGCAAAACACTACAAAAATTAATGCAACGGCTATCCAAGAGAAAACAATATTATTGTAAACATGCTTTTTTTTTTTTTTTTCAATTTAAATCACTTCAGCACAGCTCCAAAATGTGTGTCCCATATTCGCAATGTCTTGTTTTTAACTTTAAAAATACCGGTTTCTGATGTTAGGACACACGCAAACGTTTAGGAGGATGGGAAGAGTTAGGAATGTCGGATGTGGAATGCGTGATAGTTCTGTGTTTAGTTTTATGCGAATAGATGAAAACCGCGAAATAACGCTAATTAAAAAGCAACATTATTTTGTTTTGGCACAAGCTACAAGAGCTGAAAACAGAATTGTTATAATTGTGAGGAGTGCTTTAAAGTAGTTGTCAGTCAATAACGCGACTACCTCGTTGCATCACTGGAAAGAAAGATCAAATAAAAATCACACTGTCCAGAATGTATCCTATCATTTGTCACTTGCACAGTGGACTGCGTGAATTCCTGGTTGATCTATTCTTGAAGCAGAAAATATTGGAGAACCACACTCACAAAAGCTGACAAACACAATTATCATGTCGCCTATTTCGCACCTCGCCGCAACTGCCGGTAGTACTACCACACTGTACCATGGTAACCACAAGACCAGACGGTATCCATTTGCAATCGATGGTCTCGTTGCGTTTTCGGGCGTGCGCAGACGTTTCCCGAATTTTCGCCAAAACTTTGCCGAACTTTACTTCAAAAGTTCAGCACGTGCCGCAAACTTTGCCGAATCTAAAGTTCGGCAGATTTGGTCCACCACTACGTTTAATATTGCAAGAGCTCGAGTTCTGGTGAGCAACAGCAAATCCAGAAGGCCTTGGGTTCAGAGTCCTGGACCTTCTGAAATCCTGAACCTTGGTGCCACTCAGGATTGTAGATTGGGTGTCCTGGATTGTACCTCAATCCTGCATAGCACCTCAATTGTATCTGGATCTTCCTGGATCCACCTGGATTGCATTTGGGCTCTTCTGGACTGTACCTAGATTCAGGTATGATCCAGGAAAATCCAAGTGCAATCTGGAAGGACCAAAAAGGATCCTGGTACAATGCAGGACTCAAGACTATCCAGGTGCAACTCCGTTGGATCAGGGTGCAACCCAGGTGGATTCAGATATAATCCAGCAGGAACGAGAAACAATCGAGGTCCAGTCCAGGAGCATACAATCGAGGCAGGATTCAGGAGGACACCAGAATCCGGAAGGGCAAAAGGCCCCGACCCACCTGGTGGCTGAGGTCTCGCTCGACGTAGTCCAGCACGTCTCGGGCCACCTGCGCCAGGTGGGGGTCCCGGGTGGCCTGGAAGGCCTCCAGGTAGGCCCTGGCCAGCTGCGCCTGGTCGTACAGCATCTTCTCAAAGTGCGGCACGTGCCAGCCGCCGTCCGTCGAGTAGCGGTGGAACCCCTGCGGAGCACGGGATTCTACCACGGCACACACGTTGGCCGGCGGCCCAAGCGCGCACCAACGGCCTGGAAGGCCGTCCACTGTGTCCAAGGTAAGTGGTTCTTCCACTTCCGCCCGACGATGGAGGCGTCACGCTGTGGCCGGATGTTATCCTGGTGGCGTCAACAGCGGTGGTGGATCTGACAGACGCCTGTTCCGCTACAGCTTGACACTCCACAAAAGCTTCAGCAGCTGGGACTACACTCGCATTCTCTCGTGCTTTCTTCCATAACTTGTACGGCCAACCGACAGTAACGTGCGATGTGCGATGGCATGACACTCTGGCACTTGTGAAGTCATTTGTCGCTACTTCAGGACCCCTTTCCATGCATAGGCAGAATAGGACGCCAAATATCTGAATGAACCGTCCACGACTCATTTTCTCGTCAAAGCTGATCTCCGTGGGAAGATGAGGGCATTTCCACAATCGTTTAGTTTTCCAGCTTATTGATTGAGGGGGACTGTGACTGAACACGACATGCCCGCCTTGTGACTGGAGTTTTCCGTCAGCTCCGCGAAACAAACTCGACCGGGCCTCCGTCAGTGTTCGGAGAACTCTCGAGTCGGTCGACGATACTACGTTGTACCGAAGTATGCTGCACCCTACCAAAGTGCGACTAAATAGAAGTTTGAAGAAGGACGTCAAAAAGTAACATGGTTTCACATATTTCTCGAACACCGTGCACCATATTTTGACACATCACCGCGAAATTCTTGGACTTTTCTGAGCCGCCAAACGCTCCCCGACGATTTCGGGTTCTTCATCGCCGATGGCGAATGCACCGACGGTGCCTCGAATGAGTCTGGGACCGGCGTGTCTGGCGTCCCATTCTGCCCATGCATCCAGACTGGTCCCCAAGTGGCCGCAAATGACGTCCCCAAAGCCGTAACGTCCCACCGTCGGACGCCCCGGCAGTTGGTTGCCGAAGTTCCGGCAACGAGCACGAGCAAATGCAAGTGTCGTCACGGCGCCCCAACTTTGAGCCGACAAAGCTTCCACGAGCCGTCACGACGGAGAGTGAAGCGGAATGCGCGTCTGCCTCGTCCACAACGCCGCGGTTGACGACTGCGTTTACGTCGGGCAGAAATCGAGGGAGCGCTTTTTGAGGCACGGTCGAGAAGCGTTTTGACGGAAACCTCACCTTGGCCACGTGGTCGTGGATCCCGCCTCGCGCCATCTTGTTCAGCGTGTTGACGCACATTTCGAGCGCCCTGGCTGCCTCGCCCGGCTCCTGCGACGCCACTGCATGGCGCAGCAGGAAGTTGAGGTTGACGCACTGCGGAAACTTGGGCGCCTTCCCAAAGCCCCCCGCAGCCTCGTCGTAGGACCGCGACAACTGCTCAAAGCAAGTGGCCGCCACAGTGGACGCGCGCGGGACCGCCTCGCTCCCCGAGGTGGACGCGGCAGCACCCGCTTCCCGCTCGTCGGAGCTCCGCAAATCCGAGGCCTGCCGGAGGATCTCCACGATCCGACTGCCCTGGTCCAGCAGCTTGGCCCTGTTCGTCCTCCACTGCGTCGCACCCGGAGCAAAATGTCAGATCGACTCAGGGGAGCACCGAGGAAGCCGTCCGCCGAGCAATATCCTCCGTCAGTTCGTAACCGATGAGAACGTGCCGTTAGTACGACGTGACAACAAAAAGTTCCGAGACTAACTTTGTAGCTCAAAGAGAGAGGGCAGCACGGTGATGGGTGCATGGCGGTTGAGGGCAGGAACTTTCCTGCATCGTCGTGCCAAACAGCATTGTTTTCTGAATGTGTGAAGCTGCCCTATGCGAGTTTTTGTGACCACCAGCACAATGGCTATTTCTCCAAAGGCTGCGAACCAGAGCGAGGGCAAACATCAATTCTGCATTAAACTCGGAAAATCTAAGATGGAAAACTTTACGGTGATTCGGCGGGCTTATGTCAAAAAGCAGTGAACTGCACGTTTTTAGTGTCGCTCGCGCTTCAAGAGTGGAAGAATGTCACTGGAAGGCAAACAGAGGTCAGAGAAGGTTGCCCCACCTCTCTCGGTCTTCCAGCAATGTCCCACCATTCCTGAAGCGCATCTGCCACTCGAAATACTTTGCACAATTTACTGCTTTTCAACGTAAGCCTGCTAAATCAGTTCAAAGGCCTCCGTTCTCGATTTGCCGAGTCTGAAGCAGAATTGACATCCACTCTTGCTCTGGCTTGCAGTCTGTGGCAAAATCTCCATGGTGCTGATGGTCACAGAGAACTTGCGTAGTGCAGCTCCAAACGATCACGGAACGACGTCCTTTGGCACAATGAGACACGGAGGCCCCCGACTGCTGCGCATGCATCACCGTGCTGCCCCCTCTTTTCCCGCTACAAAATCAGACTCGAAAGTTTTTGGTCGCACCTCGTATTTCTCGGTGCAACTCGAACGAGCTGCTGCGGCGTTTCTCGACCGGAACGTGTTGCGAGGCCGGCTCCCCTTCTAATAACACACTTCCGTAACGGAAGGGCGCCGCACGAGCAACGGCGCTCTCTGGGCCGGCGGCGGGTGGCTCAATGTGCGGCCCCTCTCCGCAGTTCCCCGTGCGCCACCGCTGCCTTCCACGCTGCTCCAGGCCGTACAAGCCGGCTGAGAGAGCTCGCAAAGTGTGACGCGGCCGAGTTGAAATGGCCGAATGACGTTGACTTTCCCAAAGAAAGCCGCCCGACGCCGAAGGCTTTAGTTTCTGCCGAAATCCCGACAAGACCATTTCGAGCCCTTTTTCCCGAAAAATACTAAGGATCTGGCTCTGGCAATTTTTTAATCATATTTGCGCCGCCTCCTCAAGTTTGCTCGTTAGAAGCGGGCTAAAATTAGATTGAAAGTATAGTAGCCGGAGTATACGGCAAATATTAGTTCGTTACATCTTTTAACTCTTCCCTTACTCAATTCCCACCAAAATTAAATCGGACGAAAACATGAGTGCCTAAGATCATCGTCGCTTTCTCACGGATTCTGGATGGCGATTCCCACCAAAATTAAATACAACGAAAATGCGAGGGTCTAAGATCTTCTCGCAGATTCTGGATGGCATGCAATGTTTCGCTCGATTTAATTATTTGCATCCAATTATATCAAAATTAACTGTTGTGCTAGTTGGCTACACATTGTTAAAAATTCAAAAGCGCAAACACCAAGAAGAAAAAAAAAAAAAAGAAAAGCGCTTTGTTCTGTCTCTTCTTCTTTTCCTTGGTGTTTGCGCTTTTGAATTTTTATACAATCCAATTATAACTGCAAACGTAACATTTAGCGTCGTTAAACAAAGTTGGCTGTCGAAAACCCGCCTAGGAAGTGTGCTAGGTCCTCGCATCTTTATTACTGAAAAACATCCCCCGGTCTCCCGTAAAATGGAGGTGCTCGTGCACGTCTCAAAACTAGAGAGAAAATTTGCGACTGCAAATGGAGTTGCTCCTCCCCGTCGGTCGGTTCTACGAGCGCACCGGTGCAAAAGCTTGATGAGCGTTCACCAGTGTTGCGCGGTGAAGCGCCAGTCCGGTGAATCTCGACGCGAGAGATGGACCCTTTCCAAAACCCGCCGAGCAACACTGGCGGTCGGCATTTCTCGGGCCCGACGCGTGCGAATGGATTCGCGCCCTTGCCGCACGCTGAAGCGGCGCTCGTTTTCGATACGAGCCGAGTTCACGCCGAACACCGATGTCCCAACACACGCTCGGAGTAGGTGACCGAGCAATCGTACGCTCGGATAATTGGCGCCACAGCTACTGGACAGAGTGCACTTTTAAAAAGGGTCTACGGGGAATTTCGGAGGCCTTATTTGTAATAAGAAAATATTCCAAACACTCGTCGCTCAGAAAGTGAAAAAGTGTTAGGCAACGAATCGAACAGCAAATGATGGCAGCCCCGGCGAGAAGCTACCGGGTGGAGTCGGTCCGACTTACCTGCTCGGCAATGGCGGCGAGCAGGGTCTTGAAGCCCGGGCGACCGAAGTACCGGTCGTCCGGCGGGAAGTAGGTGCCTCCCACGATGGGCTTCAGGTCGGGGGTCAGCCAGACGCTCATGGGCCACCCGCCGCCGCCAGAGGTCGCCTGGAGAAGGGCAAACGCGTCACCCACTTCCAGCCAGTCTCGGCTAAGGTCTAAATGTCATTCGTTAAAGTTACTCTCAGAAAAATGTAGCAAAGTTAACTTGTTACAGGTAACGAAAAAAGTATCGGCTCTCAGTTACCTTTCTGTAACAAATCAAAGAAGCAGCAGCAAACGCCCCCCCCCCCCGCCCTCGAAGAAAGCTTATATAGGTCAAAAAAGTTAGCGGAAGATGAACGTAGCACTCGGAAATCTTAGAACACATCATTTGGAAAGTGAATGGCTCGATTCGTTCAAAATTTAATCCCGCCCGAAGAAACTGTGACAAGTAGCGGCAAAAGTGACGTCATCACCGACGCCTTCAGAAACAGTAACACAGTTGCATTTAGAAAAGGTAATGGTTTAGAGTTAAAAGCAGAAAGTAACCGAGTTGACCTACCCAAGACAGCTTCAACGTCCCTGCGCAAAAGCTGCCAGAAACTCGGCGAGAACAAAAACAGCCGTGTTTCTATCGCGATCCTCGGGTTCCCCTGGTCTAGAAATGCTGCCGTTTTCCACCCTGGGAAACTTTTCCAACATTTGTTCTCCCACAAACGTGTGCCACTGATCGCTGGGGGTGGAAAGAAAAGGCCGCTTTTACTTGTAACAGCCTCAACACACATTGTCCCTAATGTGCACTTGTGCCAAAATAAAAAAAACACGAAAACTGGCATTGCTGGCTGCAGCCGCTTTTATTTAGGCGCCGAGTTCGGAAAAGTTTGAAACTAGAACACGCAGTGACCAACGAGGATGTAGCAGAACTTTTCAGCGAAGCAAGAAATAGAGATAAGAAAACGAGAATAGCAGAATTTGAACCCGTCTGCGCAGGAGCCCCGTGGCACCGATCAAGGATCTCACTTTTAAACAAGCTGGAAAAGTTGTCGCCAGTGCATAACGAGCTCACATTTTCATCCAAGGCGTAATTTAATGGTGGCTGTTGCCTCAATAAATTTTAACGTGTTCATCCACTCAGACGAAACATTAAAACCAGTTGCCCGAGACCCTTGGAAGCAAATGGCGACGATGCGCCAAAATGAGCGGCTCTTGGAAGTAAATGGCGGCGGAGCACTCGCTCGTGACACGTGTCTCGCACGTTCTCACAACCACTATGGTTGGCGGTACTCGCAAAAAATGCCGAGCATGAATTTCTTCGAGGGATGAAGCAAGTAGTTTGTTGAAAGAACAGGACGCAGTGGCACCGTAGCTTGCTTTTGACCGAGCGCTCGCCGTGCCTACCGGTAGAGGGCGCTACGAGTGCAACTCTCGGGCGTCTCGGTCGTTTGCTTTGACACTAGTCGTCAAATACGTCAATGACGTTGTTTCACCTTTTCACTGGACTAAAGCTACGCCTCAAGATTTTGCAGATTGAAATCCACCACTAAAATACACCTTTGAGGGAATTTAAACTCTGGTGCCAATTTTTTCGGGTCACTTTACGGCGAGCCTCTCGATTTAAGACAACCTACACTGCTAGTGTGGGTGGTTGGACAGGCCCCATTTCACTTCTATTAACAGTCAAAGGTTGTTGGGAAGCACGAAACTGCCCCAGCAATCCATTCTCACTCCTTTCCACTCTCGTCGTCCGCTCGCTCGGAGCTTTCGGCCACGCCACGTTCGCGGAGCAGCAGCGACCAATGGTGGCATCTTACGTGGGTTGGCAAGCTCGGTCCTGCCGACGCTAGAGCAGGTGCCAGCTATCGACGTCTCAAACCTCTAAAAAAGTCACTAAGCCTTTTTCGTGGCCCAGTGAAATTTTGAAGCGACAATGAACAGCTCTCGTTCTAGGGAGCTCCTCACCCGACCGATTCGCTGTTGGCCTCTCATACTTTAGGGCGTCCTTAGGAGAAAATTTCTTCCGAGGCGTGACAAAAACGTCTTAGGACCGTGCGTCAATGCGCCGACGCCAGAGGACACTGCCGTAGAGACAGCCAGTCGCCGGCGAGGCTCCTGTCTCCATATTCGATTGTGAAAACAAGGCAAGGAAATTTCGTGCCGGAAACTGCAACGTCCGAACTGCAGGGTCCTTCGCGACGGTCACCTGTATGTAGGTCATGTAGACCCTGTCCAAGTCGGGCCTCTCCTCCCGGTCCACCTTGACGTTGACAAAGTGCTCGTTCATGAGCCGGGCAATGTCCGCATTCTCGAAGGACTCCCGCTCCATGACGTGGCACCAGTGGCACGTCGAGTAGCCCACTGCAAGGAGGAAACCGGCACTGGCACTTGGGGGCGTCCCCAGGGCACCGAGCTGTCCTCGGAGCCTTTGGTTCTCTCGGGAACATTTACTTCCAGAAATGGGGCCTTGAGTATGGCCGCGAGGCCGAAGACAAAGTGACGCTCTGGTGATGGCAACCAAGAGCCGGTCTACCTCTTAACCCTTCGAAGGTCGTCACCCGTACATGTGCGGCGGCCATAACACGTTTGTAAGTGCCCGCCTAGACGGAAAACCGTGAGCACCGTGCAAGGTGTTGCTATTTATTCTATCTGCGACAAACTCGTTTGCGCGGTGTTTCGCTTTGCGGCGTGGCGATTTATAGATTTGAAATTAGGCGCTCCGCGCATGTGAAGCGTGCGAGATGGTCGCTTCGTGTGTCGGCTGCTGTGGCGATAGTGGCAATTGGAGCGGCGGCTCTTCAAATCGAGACCTATAAGCCTTTTCAGAATCGAGTTTGGACAATGAGAGCTTATCGTCCAATGGAGAAGCTTCACAAACTACCTCCAATTGGAAGTCCGAAACAGCCGGAATGTTGCGGAAGCAGACGCGCCGAAACGAAACCGAATGGAAGGTGACAACATTTTGCCTTCAATTTTTCCATTTGATGCTTCTGAACCTGTACAGCTTGCACGCACAAATGTGCTCCCGCTAGATAATTAAGAAAAAAAAAAAACCTGCACATTGGCCCTCTCTTTATACTTTTCTTTTGGATACAAAACCCGACCACTGGGAAACATTGTTTGGGAAAAAAACTCACCTGTCGAAGGGTTAAAGGGGTACGCACCATTCGACGACCATTATGAGCTCTCAAATTGAAGACATTGTGTTACTCTTCACCTCGAGACTGCCCACCCAGTCGTTCGTTATCCCCATAATCACCAACAAAACATGCACGGAGAAGCCGACTGCAGATGCCTCAGATACCTTACCCGAAAGAAAGATTGGCTTGTCTTCCGACTTGGCGCGGGCAATGGCTTCGTCGCCCCACGGGTACCTGCACATGGCGGATATACTTGATTCAAAGTGAAGTGCAGTCTTGGACAAGAAAGACACACGTTCAATGCATTTCATTAGGGTGTGGTGCACCGCACCCTTGTGGGAAAATCATCTTCGTCAAACCGGGCATTCGTCGTCGTGGCATTGCTTCCGAAGCACTGTCCAAAATCTACCGCAGTTTAATATTTGCATAAATCTATCGGACAAACTGGAATTTTACTATACCAATACAAGTGAGAGGCCGCAATTACGTTGGTGCGTAAAAATTGTGACCATGCAGTTCCCGTTTTTTTACGCGATATAAATCGTCCAGCAGACTGGTTTTCCCGCAGCATATTTGTAAATAGAAAGGAAACCAACATAAAGTAAATAAACGCAAGATCAACTAACCAAAACTAACTAAGTGCCTACTGAATTGTGTTAGCTGCGCTTTTCCTCTGGCGGTGAATTTATTGGTTTGCGGTGCAACAGCAGCAAATCCAGGAAACGTCCCTATCCTCTGTCAGCGAATTTATTGGGGCCACTGGCCGGCTGGGACAAGATTAATTTCGGCACCCAAGACGCACGGGCAAGCCAAGATAAAATTGAATCTTTAGGCATTAAGTGTATGATGGGTACAGTAACAGGCAACTAGGTATTGTAGGTGAGAAATTAAGAGCCATGCAGAGGCTCCAGCACAAGCTCTTTTCCTTCCGTTAAGCTTCGACTGCACGTGCGACCAAGTTCTACCAAAGGCAGAAAGCTCACGCTCGAGGCAGGGCATCTGCTGGATTCTTAACCCATCACCAACTATCAAATGTGTTAACTAATCGAGTAAAAAACATGAAAATAACAGCGTCGTTTGGACATACAATTATCCTCACTCTTAAATAATGTCCTCCGCAGATAACAGTTAGATCATCCGCATTTGCAGACTTCGTATCCACAAAATTCGGAACCGCATCCGACCCTTAATCCGCACATTCACTTTACATCGTGAAAATGGATAAAAATTAAAGCATCTGGATGGTATCCTAAAAGCAGTCTGCTTACCCTTGTACAAAGAACTCTTTGTGTCAGAATACGGTGAGTCATTTTATTGCATTCTGTTTTATCAAAATTTATAAAAAAAAAAAAAAGCAATCTTCTTTACAGACACTTCACACCGCTGGAAAGAGGATCACAGATCAGTCATGGGCACATTACTACTAAAAAGTAACAGTGCTACAGTTACAGTTACCAATGGGGAAAAAGTAACTCTGTTACAGTTACAGGTTTCAAAAAAGTAATGTGTTACAGTTAGTGCAAAATCAGTAACGTCGTTACTTTGTCGTTACAATACCAAAAATTGGACACAAGAAATCCCAAACCAAAAGAATAATATTTTAGTTGTTACACTATAGTGAAAAGAAAGGTAGAGTGAGATATTAGAAAAATTTAAACCCGAAGGGTGTTTCTTTTTTTGCATCATTTGCCATTTCAGCATTTTGATGTGCATAATTTATTTGCAATAATTGTCATAACCTAGAATCAACCGTTTTTCAAAATTGTCATCGGCACGTGTCAGTGAACGTTTTGGTTTATATTTCACTCCGAAACGAATGAGGACAGATATAGTCCCATAATTACCTTACGGGATATACTCGGAAGCAGGCCTAAACATAGCAGGTCAAACAGCTTCCAAAGAATAAAGGGGGAAAGGAGACAATTAACTCCTGGTGCTTTACGAGTGTACGGCGACCACCCCGGCGTCTATGTCCGAAATGCCAATTGTAGAAGTCGTGTTCACTCGAGAGCCTCCGAAGAGAATGAAAAAGTTAAACAAGCGCCGGCTTTCTGCACAATATGGGGACGGCTTCCTTGGAAACTAATAGGGAAGAGGAAACGGCGAACGGCTGGGTGTAAAAACGACAGCACGAACACAGCCCAGACGGAATACTCGGAGGCATATCACACGAGCACCGACACCCACAGGTGGTCCCCACTGGAGAAGAGTGAGCTAAAGTCGGTGAAACAGACATTGTTTGCCGCCCCTACCACCGCAGGCGCCGCTTCCTTTATCTCTCAGCTTCGTGCTCACTTGTCCTTCGTCCATTCTCGGTCGTGGGCTAAACCAGGCAATTTTTTTGTTCGTTTAATGCGTGACCACGCTTCTCTTTATTATTTTTTTTTGTCATCGAGGAGCATGGAGAAAAATACTTCAAGATGGAAATTTTTTCTTGTCCGCGGCAGTGGCTTCTAATTTATATCGTAAAAAAAAAAAGTAACTGTAACGGCCTCAAAAGTTACAGTTACCCAATAAAAAAGTAACAGTGCTACAGTAACAAGTTACCAGTATTAAAGAGTAATGCGTTACAGGTAAAAGTTACCGAAAATAAGTAACTAGTTACCGGTAACGAGTTACTAGTAACTAGTTACTGCCCAAGACTGTCACAGATACAAGATCGTCTTGGGAGTTTGTGACAGACACTCCGTTCAGAAGATGCGCTCGAGAGGAAGGAAATTGCAATATTAATTTTCCTTCCTTTAAGCAGACGCATATTTAATAAACATGAAAATTAACAAAGGGCAGACTAATAACAGTGTGTCATTTTATTTAGGCCAGACGATAAAAAGAAGTGGGAGAGGAAAGGCACTCACTCACTGCAGCAAAATACTCGTGTACATGTGGTAAGGCACAAGTACACCACTGGGAAAATATCACAATACTCAATAATGGAAACATCTCCTACCGGTTACACTTCTAAACAAGAACCCTAAACTGCATGCCCAGTACTAACTGTCGAGAAAAAGAAAACGCACACACATGAACGCTTCACTTGTCTAGGTTGCTATGTAAGATAAATAAAATATTGTCACCATAAACAGATTCGAAGTGGTTTGCTTATCTTAAAGGGCAACTCCGCTTCATTTTTGTTTTTGAAAAAAACCATGCCGACCTCTTCAGTATCATCTAGGAAGACAAGATGTCAAATATAACATCCTGTTTTGTCTAAATGTTTCTTAAATGGTCCGTCAAAATTTGCAATGTGCCAAGTTGCCGAAATCTGCTGACTCTAGCGGGCGAATCGAGGTGCAACCAACAGTGCAGTCAAGGCTACAGCGTTGGCGTAGCCAACATCATCACCACTGCCCCTTTCTGTTTGCTTCGACTTCTCTTGGCAAGCGTAACAAGTGACATCAGCAATGCTTCCTCTCGGCGCTCAGCAATGTCCACATGATTGGTGTAACGCACCAGCGCAGCGCACTTCTAGGGAGCCGTCCGGCCGTCCCACCATTACTGCTCTCTCCTGCATCACAACGGCCTTCTTCACCTCACCGTTTGTGATTATTGTCTCTCGGAGTTTCGTTCACATTACGTGTGCAAACTGATACAGCAGTTGTGCGGATGTCGTCGAATGTCGTAGACACCAAAACGTGGTGAAGAGTGCGGTGCAGGCGACACTTGCGCCTTGCACGCGCTGCTCCAACGGAGGCCCGCCGGCCCACCCCAATCCTGCCCATCGTAGAGGATCGTGTGATATCTTGCACCACGTGATAGTCATGTTTTTGGCAGCCCGAGGCCAATGTTGCCAGACGGAGGTGATGTTTCGGTTTCTATTCATGTTTAAAGTAAGATTTAACCATACATATTTCATTTTTGCAAAGCAAATGACGTAGCATGTTTTATCAGCGCTTTTTAATGTAAAATCACTCATTATCCCGAAATTTTCCAAATTGAGCGGAGTTTCCCTTTAAATTAATACCCGCTAATGATAAATCTCTCTTCGTTGATGCTGGGATGGCACGCACAAACTGCGCTACAAGAATGAGGTGTGGAAACGTGCGCTGGCGCAAGTTCCTCCACTTCAGAGGATTGAATTCGGTTTCCTCCATCTACTTGCAGGTGAAGAAGGCACTTGCAGGCTTCTACTTTCTTCTGGCTTGTACGTTTTGGGTTTTTCTTTGCCCAAAGAACATTTTCCGCTCTTTCCCTGCCAAACAAGAACACACTTTCCTGGCACGACTGATACTCCTGCATTCTTTACTTTTTCTAGGGACAGCATTTTTGGTGAGATAGAATGTTCTAAAGCAATCTTTAATAAGAATCAGATCGTTCTCGACGTTAAAAACAATTTTTTCCCCGATCGGCACCTTTTATTTGCGAGAGTACTTTACCCCATAATACCGTTCAATGATGCACCTTCATAGTATCACTCACTTATTCACTCTACACTGTGAGGTTACACGCGTTTATGAGCCACCTCGGCAAAAAAACGTAAATCCGAACCCGTGGTTTTCCGCATCCGCGGCCTGCATCTGCAGCCCCTGGCATCCGCACCTGATCCACAATCCGCTACATATGAATAATTTTTATTCGCATCTGCCAGCTTGCTGCGGATATAGGCAGATGATCCGTGGGTAATCTGTGGATATACATAGAGCCCTTCTTATAGCTAAAGTAGATAACATTTCTAATAAGCTAAATCATTTACCTAACCCATATGCACAAACTGGAGGATTTAGCTTTACATATTGTTTGTGCTAAAATAAACAGCTTTGACATGGAACTAGAGATTCAATCTCGGAATAACTGGAAAAAGCTCGACGCCGTCGACATAGTACAAGCACGAGAAAGCAAGAACCCCGTTGAGACGACTTACGAAGAGTCTCATCATACCTTTCTCGTCCAAATTGACCCGCAGTCCTTTTTCCAATTCTCGTCGATCTGAACGAGGCACATTGTCTCGAAATTCCTCCCAGCGTTTGCAGTTTACGATTCCAAGCATATTGTCTTCCGCCGCCAATTGCATCGAGTCGGACGTTTTACGACAAATAAGCGTAAGCTGCGCAACGGGAAGAAGCCGGTTGCACAACCTAACCTCGACCCCACGCTTACGATTCCTCCGTCTCACGTTGGCGGGTACGCCCGAGGATTTGGAGGGTGTTTTGAAGCGAGCGAGGCATGGAGTGAGGGAGCGGGTGCTGACCAGTCGACGGGGTTGTTGGCGTGCTGGAGCAGGTAGGGAGACTTCTCGCCGGCAAGGCGGTTGGGCCCTTGGGCACCGCCACCCGTCGGGGCCGAGACGCTCGAGGAGCTGCAGGCCATCGCGGGGCTGCACCACGCTAGGGGGCTGCGCCTGCACAGTCCCCAGCACAAGATACTCTTTACACGAGGACAGACGACACGGAAGAAGCTGAGAAACGATCGCCCAGATAAAGCCCATTGGCACGCCTCCCAGTAGCCTCAGACAAAGGCGTCTTCGCAGACTAAATGACACCACTAAAGAGAAAAAAAAGTGTTCCGTTGCTATCTATCTGGTGCACGTGCATTGCTCTGCTCCGACCTCGACAAACACTGGCTCGAACACTGCGCCAGAGATCTCTCCGCTTTCATGGTGTTTGTGAAACTGTTTTGCGCAGTTGAGGCTCAAAACTGGGGACGAATCCATGCCTATACAACTCGCGTGGTGCACGTGCCAAGTTCTACGTGACGTGGCACACTGAAAAGATGACTTTAAAAACGAACCCGTCTTATATCTTGAGCATGCCGTAAGCAAATGTCCATATAATAGTTTATTTACTAATGCCAAAATTGTAAAATATAATTAATGAGTACTTTAGCAGGGCCAATAATTAAAGAAAATTCGTACACGGCCTAGATAGGACTGACGAAATATTTCTTGAGTAGTACTAAATAAAACGGGCCAACGAGTAATCATTTGTTTCTATAAATTCGCCGAGCCGTTATGCAATACCTTTTTAGTCTGTGAAGCTCACAAAACGATAAGTGTCCACGAAAACCAAACAGCAGGTAGTAAATTTGTGAGTTTCTTCCGTGTTTCCCCGATTCAGCACATTGCTAATCAAGTTGTCGACCTGCTTCTTCACATTCATGTATTAGTCTCTTCACTAGTTCACTTTTCTGGAAACTAGTGTCATCAGGTACGGCCATAGAAGAGGTTAATCCGCCCTGTACTCAGTCGTTTTGACACCGACCATGGCCGAAATTAACGATGAACGCAATCAGATGCGTCGAAGGTGTTAGTAAGAACGCCCACAACTTAGGCTCGAGATCACGCCATAGTCCTTAAAGCAGCACAGTACCACTGTTTCATCGGTTGTGACAAGAGACACATCTGTATCACAAAATTAAGCAAAAACAATATCAGACGGCAACACAACAGCGCATGCACATTGAAACGAACCAAATTGAAGCAACCTAATGGCGGCGAGAGTGTACACGACCTCTATCCGCCAGTCAGGCGACTAGTGAGAGGTCTTCATATATCTTAGACCGTGATCCCGAAAGAGACTTCGTCAAGCAACACTCGAATAAAGTGAAGCTCAAGTGGGATATCTTTCGAAGTGAGGCGCTCCGAGTGTCAAACTTTTCGAAAATGTACCTTCCTCTTGAATATGTGGAATTCCCGCACAATGGCAGGCACAAAAGATAGCGCCAAAGTTGAAACTCCCTAGTAACTTCGCTTTGTCGCCATCTTTTCCAGTTTTAAACTCGCACGTACGGCAATTCTGCAGCAGGTTAGACCTTTTAACGATCGGTGCGTTGTATTTAAATTTTTTGCAGTTTCTATATACACTACCTAGATGGCGCCACTGTGCACCATTGGGCCCGTGTTGTCAGGGTCGCGTCCCCGTGGTGCTTGACCCCCATGTTTGTTTTCCCTCCTATAAATGAGTACGCCATCAGCCACCATCCGTGTCGGACGCCTCCTTCCTTCTGGGGCTCCCGTGCCCCCGGCCGCACCGGTCACCACCTCGTCATGCGAGACCCCGCGTCTTTTCCGCAGGCCCACGCAGGCACTGCTCTTTTATTTTACGGGTGACCGCCTTTCTTTTTATTTACAACACGGTGCAACTTTCAGGGGTCCGAGAAATTGGCTACGTTCGTCGTACGACATCTGGTCAAATGGAGCTGAGGTTAAGTTACCGAAAGAAAACCAGAATCTGCATTTATTGCAGCAAGCTTATTTGCTCTCATCGTGTATGCTAGCTAGCTCAAGGCCTTTTCTTCCTTTTTTTTTTCATGTTTAAAGCCTCTTGAAGTCCAGGTGGGCAGAGTGTTTTGATCAGTTGATTTCAGGCTCGACAGATTTTCCGAGCTCCTGCTCGTATTACGCTATTAAGCTGCACTCAGCTGATCATGTCTTTGCTAACTTAATGATCAAGCTAAAAACTAGTGTCACATAAGTATACTATATGCTCTGCACCTGATGTAATCCTGCCAGCTCTCCGGCCACCACCAGAGAAGAGGGGAAGGAGGAACCCCCCTTTCACCGGGACTAATAATAATAATAAAAAATTCAACTCGGAAAGAGTTGCGACACTAGACAAGGTGAGGAGCTCCATATCAGGAGGTCTGCGGTGCCAGAGCTACATAAACGACAAAAAAAAAAAAAAAAATTACTTAAAAAAACATACACACACAGAGGCAAGCACAACAAACAACACTCGGATGCGTGCCACTTAGGGCCGCAAGTGGCTGGGTGTCCCAGACGTGGCTATTCTCCCTCCACAAGATTCTAGAAGATTAACCAGCCACTCAAAATTCGTACAAAAGCAGCTTCCCCCCCTCTCTCTTTTTTTCCCTGGTGGTGCGAAATGGATGTTGTGACGTCAGTACCTATCCCACCTATCCTCTCAATCCCCCCTACCCTAATCGGCTGTGACAAGCAGGCATCCTGCCAGCAAAAACAGCCCGTTTTCTGAAAAATAAAACTTCAGTTGCGTTGTCGTCACGTCACCCTCCCTCCTCCCTCTCTCTCCTCCTCCCTCCCCCCCCCCCCCCCCCCCCCCCTTCCTACGCCGCCGACTTTTGTGAACATTAAAGGCCCGTTCACACTCTTGCAACCGAGTTTGACTGAGAGAGACCAAACCGGTTTTTAAGCCTCTTGCGATCTCTTAGGACCAGCTCCGCCCAGCGCATCCGGTCCAAAGAAGTTTTTCTCGGTCGTACTCGGTTGCAAGAGTGTGAACGCGCCTTAAGGCCCGTTCACACTCTTGCGACTGCTTGCGACCTCTTAAACCTGGGTTCCTTAAAACTTCTTAAACCAAAGAACACACTGGCGCCATCTATTGGGAAGCAGTGTAAACTCGGCGGTCCGGCCTATTTTTTTTTTATTTCTCGCGCATTATCCTTTCTTTTTTGGCTCGAAAAACTTTTGTCAATGTTATAAACGAGCCTTTCTATGGTTATTACGCACATTTGACCTCGGAAATCCCGCAAAACCTTCGCGCTTGTGAAATGCAGTTCCAGGGTCACCACATAGATGGCGCCACAATACCAGTGTGTTCCCTCATTCTTAAAACATTTAAGAAGTTGTAAGAGATCCTCGTCTCTCTCAAGGCCCGTTCACACTCTTGCGACCGAGTACGACTGAGAGAGACGAGATCTCTTAAGGCCCGTTCACACTCTTGCGACCGAGTACGACTGAGAGAGACGATATCTCTTACAACTTCTTAAATGTTTCAAGAACGAGGGAACACACTGACGTTGTGGCGCCATCTATGCGGTGACCCTAGAACTGCATTTCACAAAAGCGAAGGTTTTGCGGGATTTCCGAGGTCAAATGTGCGTAATACCTATAGAAAGGCTCGTTTATAACATTGACAAAAGTTTTTCGAGCCAAAAAAGAAAGGATATTGCGCGAGAAATAAAAAAAAAATATGCCGGACCGCCGAGTTTACACTGCTTCCCAATAGATGGCGCCAGTGTGTTCTCTGGTTTAAGAAGTTTTAAGGAACCCAGGTTTAAGAGGTCGCAAGCAGTCGCAAGAGTGTGAACGGGCCTTTACAGCTTCTGAAATGTTTCTAGAATGAGGGAACACACTGACATTGTGGCGCCATCTATGCGGTGACCCTAGAACTGCATTTCACAAAAGCGAAGGTTTTGCGGGATTTCCGAGGTCAAATGTGCGTAATATCCATAGAAAGGCTCGTTTATAACATTGACAAAAGTTTTTCGAGCCAAAAAAGAAAGGATATTGCGCGAGAAATAAAAAAAAATATGCCGGACCGCCGAGTTTACACTGCTTCCCAATAGATGGCGCCAGTGTGTTCTCTGGTTTAAAGGAACCCAGGTTTAAGAGGTCGCAAGCAGTCGCAAGAGTGTGAACGGGCCTCAGTCGTACTCGGTCGTACTCGGTCGCAAGAGTGTGAACGGGCCTCATGGTTTAGAAGCCTTTAGTGCTTAGAAGCACTAAAGGCCTTTCTATTTTGTCCTGACGAGTTTGGCACAGATTTGTGCTGCGTAGGACACCAAAAAGGTGTCCTACGCAGCACAAATCTGTGCCAAACTCGTCAGGACAAAACAGAAGGCCCCGAGCAAAGAGAATCTGGGCGAGCTGTTTTTGGTCGTGGTAGAATCGGTCTCACCTTGATACACGACCGGGCGAAGTGCGAAGGGACGAGAACAGTCTTCCATTTCGGAGCGCGCGCGGCTGTCGGCAAAGCAGGCAGAGAGCTTCACCCCGAACAATCGCAGAGGACAAAACAGAGCGGACACAGTTCATCGAAATAAATCAACGGTGAAAAATTGCACTCGATCGGGGCGGGCCCCGAATCGAAAGTTAGCTCGGTCCTTCTTCGCGTTGGTCTTTCGGATTCGGATTCGGATTTTGGGGCGAACCGGCTAACTGTGGCTAACCCCTTCGCATCGGGTGCTGGATTTAGCCATTTAGCCACTCGTATTATTTTCCTTGATTTTTCTCCGCTGCCTTCCAGGTTGGGCGGTTGGGCCAGTTGGGCCAGGCTGGGCCATTTGGGCTCACCCACCGATCAGTGGGTTCGCCTGTCATGCAACATATACCTTGTGTCATGTATGTACAAAGCACTGTGATACAAAGCGAGTCAATCCGTTGTCACGCAACGGATTCAACGCCGATGCAGCACGAAGTAACGCTTAGGCTGACAGATACCTATGGAGCGCAACGATAAGCCAAGATAAATACGATGCCTGCCCGCCAGATAACCGATTGTAACAAACAATCCACCCCGCTCAACGACCATGTTAACCCCACGGTCTCTGGCTTTCGTTGCCGTCATCCAGCTGATCCCTCTGCACCACGGAGACGGCCGACTGCACGTCCTCCGAACCGAAACGGACGACACCAACCGTACCGCCGATCCGTCCGTGGAAGCCGCATTCGAACAGTACGTCAAGAGGTACAACAAGACCTACGCCCCTGGCAGCGCCGAATACTCCAAGCGACTGAATGCGTTCCGGGACGCCCTGATTCGAATCGAGGACCGTAACCGACACGGCAACCACAGCAACGGCGCCCTGTACGGTCTCACGCCGTACTCCGACCTCACTCCGGACGAATTTCGGGCACTCCTCGCCACTTTTGCGCCGGCGGAAAACACGCGGACCGAGGCTAACGAGGTCGAACACGACGATCTCCAACTAGCGCTGCCCGGTGCAACGTCTCCCAGGTATCCGCCCAAGTTCGATTGGAGGACTCGGGGCGTCGTGACGGCTGTCCGCAACCAGCGCGACTGCGGGGCCTGCTGGGCATTCAGCACGGTGGAAACCGTGGAAACCATGCACGCGCTTGCCGCTGGCACACTGACAGGATTCAGCGTTCAGCAGATGATCGACTGCTCCAACAACTCGAACCATGGCTGCAACGGCGGAGACACCTGCGCCGCACTCAAGTGGCTCAAGGTCAACCGCATCAAGCTCGTCCGAGACAGCGTGTACCCGTTCAAGGCCGTTACCGGAAGTTGCCAGCATCCAGCAAGTGATGTCACGGCAGAAGTCTCGGACTACACCTGCGACCGCCTGGTCGGAAACGAGGAAAGGATGATCGACATGCTTGCCAACGTCGGACCGCTGGTCGTGGCCGTGGACGCCACCACCTGGCAGGATTATCTGGGAGGAGTTATCCAGTTCCATTGCGACGCGGGCAGGAACCACGCAGTTCAGATCGTGGGCTATGACCTTACAGGCGATGTTCCCTATTACATTGTGAGGAACTCCTGGGGTAAACAGTTTGGAAACGACGGCTACCTTTACATAGCCGTCGGCAAGAACCTGTGCGGTATTGCCGAGGAAGTCTCCACGGTTCGGGTCAAAAACCCAGCCGGCGGTATTTAACGACGGAGATTGAGGTGCGCCAAACAAGAACGCATTTGCATTCGAGCTTCCCGCAGGAACCCGGTAGACCAGAGTTGGTAGTCAGCGACAGCTTTTAGAAAAGACGACCGGAACAATTTTTGATCAACGGAAGTCGTGTTAAGCTCTTCAAGCTGTTGATACAATCTGTGAAAAACAAAGATGAAAGCAAAACTATTATCGGGGACTTCTCTCCGAGCTAACGCAGTCAAAGCTATTGCAAAGCAAATTGGACTTAGCTAGCAGGTCCGCCCGACACTGGTTTACACCATAGATAAGAAATTTAGCCAGTGCACCAGCCTACGATATTTAGCGTGCAGTAGTGATAGGCAATCGGGCACCTTGTTCACCTTGATCAAACCTATGAAGGCTCTTTGCTTCTTCCAAATGGCCACAGAAAGCTGTTCTTGAGTAGCATCTTCAGTTGGCTGCTTTCTACGGATCAAAACTGAAACACGATTGTACTGTTCATTCTTCGGCAGCCATATACAATTGTGTGCGGAGTGCAACAAACTGCCCAAACTTTTTGGGGCGACGTTTTCAGCATTATTTTGTTTCACTAAATAGGGCTCGTGTCGCGGCATGTGTGCCACACCCGGCAATTATTCTTTGTACATCCCACCGGCAATACTCAAAACTATGCACCCACTTGCACCGAAGCACACATAATGAGCCAACTTGCTGCTCACGTCCTAGTAGGAGTCTCGTGATCAATGCTGCTTCCTAATTGTAGTTGCAAGGGTCACGAGCGTGTTAGTGTGCCTCCAAACGGTTTATTGGGCGTTTCCTCGTACCATTCGTTACGATGCCCCATCTTGGGAACAACGGTGGGAAAACCTAGGTCAGTGGTTCTCAACCATCGATGTTTCGCAGACCCTTGTGGATCTGCTGAGATGATGAAGAGCCCCATTTGTGGTGACAGGAGAGGAAAGGTACAGGTTACATATATTAATGATTTGGTAAATTCACATAACTTAAGGGCTAATATGAAGCAGACCTCTCTTGTTGACATACACAATTGAGAAAACTCGTCCAGAAACCAAAACATTTCTTCTCGATCTGAAAAAATACAACTTTTATTGCCGAGCTTGACTGACGAGGCAGGGCTTCGCGGACCCCAAAAGGTTTGCGGACCCCCATTTGAGAACCACTGACCTCGGTCTTTAGCTGGGAAAGCGGTGCCAAAGTGTACGGGACGATTTCTACCCGCAGTCTTTTTGAGGGCTTTTGCCTGTCCTTTCACCGTGCATCAAATGTATTTTTCGAAGCTGCCCAAACAATAAAAACAAATATTTCGGGAACTGTTTGGGCCACATGCTTACTCGCCATGCACATTGCAATTTGAGCCAAAAGCCGATTACGTGGGATCGGTTCAGATAAAATCTAGCTCGTTTTTCAAAATGTGAGCCAAATTGTTCCTGCGAAAAGTATGCATCGCACATTAAAAAAAGGTTAACGTTGTATTGGTCTCCACCACAGGGTCCATTAAAGAATGTTTGTATAATTAGTTTATCATTTACTTTCGAGGAATTAACTTTTGAGTTACCATAATATCCCGGGAGGTGCCACACCCTCAAAAAATAACTTGCTTTTGGCACGATTTGCAATTTTTTTTTTCAAAAACGCCGAAAGCTAGCTTGTTTGTGATTGTGGCAGAAATGATGTCACTAAGGCACGGCGAGACATAAGTGAACATTGCCAGCTGGGAAGGACAGTAGTTTGGTTCATCATCCCTCCCTGCGACTACAAGTTTTCCAGGTCACTGAATCTAAAACTGGCATTTCTTAAACTTTCTTTTTTTTTGATCGCACATTGAAAGTTATTTACTTCTTTTAACCCAATTTGCTTTTGATTTCATCTTGGGATATTACGGTAGTGAAGTTATAGGTATGGCTTCAATTAGAAACTTACTGAGGATCATCGAGACCCACTAAATTAGCTAATTCTTGGAAGTATAGGGTGCAGGTACAGCATTTTATGGCATTCCGAAGTCGCGCTCAATTCAAACGCGTTTCTAGATTTTGGTTTCTCGTCGAAGTACACCTTTGCACAAGTGATCCTGCCCCTCGTGACCGAAGTGCACAGCCATCGCCTCGCCTCCCTCGTAGGAGGGAAGGAACGTGCGTCGGGCACCTCAGCCACAAGGGCCAGGACCACCGGTGCAAAAACGTGCTCCGACAGAAAACTGATACCTAGAAACGCATCCAGATTGAGCGTATTCACGGAATGCCGCAAGATCCCGTACGTGTCACTTATACTTCCAAGAACGAGTTACTTTAGTGGTTTTCGATGATTCTCGGCAAGTTTCTAATTGAAACCATGCCTATAAATTTACTAATTGAAAAGTTAATTACCCCGAAATAAATAAACTACCCCGACCGAACATTATTAATTTTTCCAAGTGGGCCCTTTGGCAGAGGCCGATCTTGGGTGCAATGCAAAGCTTTAGTAGGGACGATTTGGCTTACGTTTGGAGTCCTGTCCACGTGCGCTCAAGATTGTCCCCAGCAGGGAGAAGGCTCTTGGTTTAGAGCCTCTACCGACCCGGCACTGCTCGGTCAATTGATTTCCTCGGACGACGATTCCCACAGTCCCCGAGGGTCGCCCGTCCTCCGTTCACGCCCTTCGGATACCTACTGCCCAGAAATTGGCAGTCTCCGCAAAGCCTCCGAGGACGAGAATCGTTGCGGACTGCCACGAGCTAGCCGAAAGAACTGGCGATTTGCGACGTAGTGCCAAGCCCCGCATAAAAAGAAACTCAAAAGGGTCTCTGTGCAAAATGCGAAAAACCGAAGAGAAGACGTTACGGAGTTTTACGTCGCAAAGCAACCGGCCGGGGTGCGAGACCCTCGCTTTGCTAGCACTCCGCCAAGCCACACAAAACCTTTGCAACACACAAGCGGTCGCGATGCAGAAAAAAAAAAGCGACTTACCTGGTTACTTTGCACGAAGCCGATTGATGCGCAAAGCTTTGCAAGTTTGTGTTGCCCTGCTTCGACCTTTAAAGGGACACCGACGGGGGCTGGCACCCAACCACTTCCGGCCTCCAACCGGGAATAGAAGTAGATGAGCCACCGTCTTCTTGCTGACCAGTGCTAGCTGAACGTCTTCGAGTCTATCCTCGTTACCAGCGATTTCCCCAAACACACCTTAGGGGGTGTACACCCCCCCTTGTTTTTCTGAAGGCACCCCCTCCATTTGCAATGACTCCTCTGTTCTCAATGCCCCCCCCCCCCCCTAAAAATTTAGACACCCCCCCCCCCTAATTCCTGGGGAAACCCCCGCTCTTTGCTACAGGCGGAAGGTAAACACGATGTGTTTGGACGTACGGCGGCACTCTGCTCCGCAAAATGAGCGTGCTTCGGGCTTCCACTAAGGGAGAGCGTCAGCAAAGCAGAGAAACAAATGCGGACACTCCGTTAGACAAAATAACTTTACCGCAACGGTAGCAACGACTTGAGGTACGTTGGAGGCTTTGGCCCTCTTCTGCCGAAAGCTGGCAACAGAGCTCCGCTGCTTTTCACATCTACCGCGTCTCACTCCAACGGACTTAAAGTGATGCTGAACCGAAATCTTGATTCCACAAAACACGGCGGCAAAAGCGTGCAACGGGATGCTACAAACACCTAAACATCACTCATACAGCGATATCTCAAATGAATGACCGTATTTTTCCAAAAAAGGAGGCGTACTTCACAGGTACCTTTACGTTTTGTGTTTTTGCGAGAAGGAGAGGGAACGGCCTCGCATCTTCTCCGCCTTGAGGGAGCGAAGTGAAGGGAGGAGGAAACTAGGTATCTTGACGTCACGTGCCTCGTCGGCCTGGTTCAATCTCGACCTATTTTTCCAAAAATACGGTCGTCCATTTGAGATCTCGCCTTACTAGTAGTGTTGTGGGGATTGTAGCGTGCCGCCTACAGCTCCTGCATCGTTTTCTGAAATCCAAATATTAGTTTACCATTCCTTTAAGTCGCATTTACATTGACACCGCAGAAGGCGACACCCAGCCACCACTTGTAGCATCCAGTCTCAACACTAAGGTATCGCAGTCTGCGTGGCCTTTGCCTCGCTAGTACGGCAAAGGGCGACTTTTGCGTCAGTTTCACCCGCTTTGCCCATTTAGCTTTTGAAGCAATTCGTTAGGGATGCCGACACAAACACACGACGGATTCTGCGTCGATCGGGTTTACTACGATTCTCGAGGAAAGTCCAAACTCTCGCTAGCGAGCCACGATTGAGCCGCCTCAGCTGCCCTTAAGTGCAGCTGCGGCGATTCGTGACGGGTCGCAGTCAAGTGGTTGACGACAGCGTGTTGCGTCATGCGATCACTAGAGATTACGGCGTCGTGCCAAGTCGTGCGGATATAGCTTTAGTAATCGTGTATCCTCAATAACGTCGTTGCACGAGCTGACGTTGGAACAACCAATTTTTGTCCGAGTATCTAATGGCCATAATGGCGCAGATCCGAGCAGCTCCACCGACGCGGGGGTGGAGCGTTAAATGACGGAGCGCTTGGGGCTCGACTCCTAGCAAGAGCCAATCTTCCCGACGCCTGGTTGCATTAAAGCCGGTTCGCGCAGCATCTTTTGCTTACGTTGCATTACGAAAGCGTATGTCTACTTACGGAGAGTTGCAGAGAAATCTGCGCTTCGTACCAGGCCTGGCAGCCAATTCAAGTGGTACCTTTGCACGCGGCGTACAAGGCACCAATGTTCCAGGGGCTTTTGCCCGCGCATTCTTACATAATGTAAGAATACGCGGGCAAATGCCTTAGCGTGAATTGGCCTCTATTGTTTTTTTCGTAATGCTCTAGGCTCGAAAACCGCTCGAAAATGCACTCTGCATCAAAACGTGAAATTCATACTCCCTACTTTTGGCTCGTGCAGGCTTGTCGGTGCGTGTCGGTACGTTGCACCGAAACGCACCGACAATACCTGGACCGTTGTTTAAGAAAGCGTCTCCGTAAAGACCTTCGAAGATGCTTTTTACCATTTGTCGGTCTCTCCGGGGTCACCATCGAGCGAAGATGAGCAGCACACGGCTCGATGCACCTAATTGGGCGATTCGGGAAGGCGGCAGGGACACGGGCCGGCAACTTTTGAGGACTCATACTTCCACACTTCACAGCTCCGGGTTTGTTCCCCAGCCACTAAGCTTCCGGCACTATGTCGAAGCGATTCAGCTGCCCACTCGGTGGAAACTTTCTCGACCGCGGACTGGGTCAGTTTCGGCAGAGGCGAGATTTTCAAAAACAGCAGACAGCACGGGCATTTTTAACGAGAACAATAATTTACTCACTGAAAAACCACCTCGAAATCATTCTTTCTCGAGTTCCTTACACCGCCTCCTCTGAATAGAAACGGTCTGTGAGAGTATGCAGTGTCCGATTTGACCGAGAAAACTAGCAGAGAAAACAATGTCGCATTAAAAATTTGTTTCTAAGCGCAGTTCGACTGGCAGATGAAATGACAGAGTTCTCGTCGAGAGCGAGGGAGAAAGCACCAGCTTGTGCTTTCTCTCGCCACATGAGCAAACGGTCCACTCCATCAGAAATGTGCCTTTGCGAGGCAACCTAAAAAGCCACTGCTGCTACGGCGGTAGAATTAACGAGCTCTCGCCGAAGGCGCCGACGAAACAATAGCAAAAAGACGAAGAGTGGCAAAAGCACAAAAACATGAAACGAGTAGCTTCCGAGGGCGATACCTACCAAAGCGCGACGCCCAAACTAGCGACGAGGTTCGAAAGGTAAAAAAAGAAATAAGAATGGTCATTCACCGTGACCGCTAAACGACCGTAATTTCCGAAGCAAACGAGTTTTGAGCGTTATGGTCGCATCCACGAACAGGTGGTTTCGTCAATTGGATACGGTCCGGCCAGAACTAGCAACTAGGCTGTACAGATACTCCTGCTGCGTAATGCAAACATTCCCCGATGATCAGTGGCGTTCCAAACACCAGAGGCATCAGCGACGCACAAATTCCGCCCTCTTTCCAAGACGCGTAAAATCTTCTCCATTCCCCACGAAGAAGCGCGCCCGTTTCGTCGGCCACTGTTATAAACCCGGGATCCGGTTCACGTCGTGGACTCTGCCACCTCCCTCCCTCTTGCATGGAACGGCTAATTGCCGCCGCGGATCCGAAGACACCTCCGTTTCGACTTGCCACGGAAAGTCCAGACTATACTCCAATCATCCTTAAGCCGAGAGTGCAGAAAATACGGCAAGCACGTGATTGCGACTTTGAAACATTCTTCCGCAGAACGAGCGCCCGTGCTAGAAAGGCACTTCTCAAAGGCAGGAGCGCAAGCTAGCTCGTGCTCCCGCCTTTGGCTGCCGTCTCGGCTTAAGGGTGAACGGAGTATATTCGAGGCTCCTTTCGCCGTCGTTGCTTCCAAGTTCGCGATCGACCCTCTGCCAAAAAGGTCGAGCAGACGCAACGAGACAAAACTAAAAGCAAACTTGTAAAGTGCCTAGAGTGTAAAAGAAAGGAGGGACGTCGTGGTGAGTCGGTCCGGTAAACCGATCCGTCCCTAGGCGGGGTCGTGCAGAGTCCGGTGGCTGCGGAAGTCGTCCGCCGACAGCACCTGCTGGCAGGTGGCACACACAAGCAGCTGCACGGCCGCACCCTTGGGCAGGGCACCCGTCGACGCCCCACACGCCTTCCGGCGGGCGTTGTAGGTCGCCATGAGCTCCCGCTGCTTGCGGATGTCCGGCAGCAGGAAGAGCAGCTCGGGGAAGACCGCCAGGAAGCGCTCCTCGGCTCCGAAGAGCTCCAGGCAGTGGGAAAAGTAGTCGGCCGCAGAGAGCGTGCCCCGGCGGAAGGCCCCGGAGAGCGCCTTGAAGCGGCCAAACTGGTCCCCGGCCAGGCTCTTCTGGATCTCCACAATCAGCTCCAGGTTGCGCTGCTGGAACCTGGCCGGCTGCGTGTACTGCGGAGCCTGCGGGACCGACGGCACGGTGGCGGCCCCCGGTGCCAGCGAGACGTCTGCCGGCCGGGAACGGTCCGCTCCGGGACGCGCGAATCCCGGCGGCGGCTTGGGCTTCCGGAACCCCGGCGGGGCCGCCGTGGCTCGGCCGTTGAGGTGCGGAAAGTCCTTCTGGGAGAGCGCGCGTCGCTCTTCCTCCTCGGAGTCGGAGCTCTCGCCGCCCGACGGCTGGGGGTGTGTCGCATTTCCTTTTCTTGCGGCGGAAATGAGCTGGAGCAGGTTGTCAGTCGCGTTCGTGCCGTTTGTCGCGTCGTCCGTTGCGGCGGATGGCTTCGGGGCAGACGCCGCGCGGTGAAGCGCGGAAGGCTCGACGGCGGACGACTCTGTGGCGGGCGGATGACCGTCGACTACGGGCGCGGGCTTTCGGGCTTGGGGATCAGCTCGCTTCGGCTCGTCCGCTTTCTTTTTCTTTGTCTTGATTTGCTGCCGGGACGACGACCCCGCCTCCGCGGAAGTTGCAGACGCTGCCGACATCCGGGGCACGACGCGGGACGCGAGTGCGGGAAAGTCTTCCTCGAAAGCCGGCTTCGGAGGTCCACGCGCAGAGGAGTGCGCCTTAGAACCGTCTCGCGCGCACGCTGCGGCCGACGGTTGACTTGCCGCGGGAGGCGGCTGCACCAGACGAACGGTTACGTTGGCACCGCCGTTGCGACGGGAGTCCGGGTCACCACCGGCGTTGTTGTTCCGGTCCTCTTGGCCACCTTTCGCCTGCCCGTTGGACTGCGGCTTGGCGGACGACGAGGCCCTCGCGGCAGGCGGCCGAGCCCGGGGAACGGCCGACGCGGGCCGCGGGGGAGGGGCGGACGGATTGAGCGACGGGAACTCGTCCACGCTGTCGAAGTTGACCTGCTCGGGCCTGCGAGACGAGTACGGCGTGGGCAGGAACGGGCCCGTCCCCGGCCCGGCGCCTTCTCCACCCAGCTGCGGGAACTCCTTGTCGCACTGGTAGTCCACGGGGGGCGGCGCCTCCCAGGTCAGGTCCAGGGTCTGCGCCTGCCTCTCCGCCGGCCGCTGGGCGGTGCTCGGGGGGCCCCTGGCTGGCTGCTCCTCCCTGCCCCGCACGGAACCCCTCCGTCACTTCCTGTCCTCTCGAGCACGGTTCGCACACTCGCTTTCAAGCGTGCTCGAGCGCACCTGCCCTAACCGCTCAGTACTACGAGACATACAAATATTTTAATTAGGGGTACGCAAATATTCGAAACTTAGAATACTTTGCAAATAATGTTTGCTATTTGATTCGATTCACACTTTTGCCGTTCGAAGGATTAGAATTCTTCGAATACTTCGAAAATTACGAATAACGTGGAACTCGCTGGTTAGTGTCAACTCGCAGTCGAGGTCCTCGTTTTGTTTTTTGTAGTGCACAGTATGGTTTTGAGCTTGGCAAACTCACAAAAGCCAACCCAAGTGCCTTTTTTTTTCTTTGTAAGAAGCAGTAGAAAGTTATTTGCATAGCACGATCTGTCCCTTGCTTGCCACGATGTCTGGATTGCGGAGTTGGCGAAAGAGTCGTGGCACGAACGCTGCAATAGATTTGATGAAGGACTACAACTCGCAACGGTACGTGCATCGTTGCGAGCGCAAACGCGAAGGACCACACTTAGTACGGTCCTTCCTACAGTCACTACACTTGCCAAGGTGCTCTGGATTCGGATATGAATATCTGGCACACGTTTTTTTCCGCTTGATTTTCCGGTTCATCAGTTTGCCAGATTCCTTTTGTTATTTTATTCTACACATTCCCACTGGCAAAAGTGAGACCATCTCCCTCTGCTAAAAAAAAAAACAAAAAAAAAACTAAATTTTTTATTTATTGTTTTTTTGTTACACCCTCTATCGGCAGAACTATAGCACACGGAAAGAGATTGCACAAAGTCGGTGCGGCTGCAGGCTGCGATCTTCAACTCTGCTGTGGACTGCCGACCTGCCTCCGCTTGTGTAATTCCATGCATGTTCACAAGGTTGCATTCACCCGCGTAAAAAGAGACGGCACAAAGTCGGCGACGCCATCTTCGATTTTGCATTGTGGCTTGCCAACCCGCCACCGCTCATGTACTTTTGTTGACGTTCACGTGGTTGCGTTCGTCTGTGACGCAATCTCCGACTGTGGCATTGTGTCTTCCCAACCCGCCTCCACTCGTGCACTTTTATTTACGTTTTGTAACTTTACTCCTTGAATGGTGTTTTACTGACTGATCTTTTATTTCATCTGTATTTTATCAGTCACATGCGTGACATTTTTCTTATTGCAATAAAATTAACATTTTCATAAATGTTTGCTAAAAAAAGTTCCAGTTGTGTTCCAATTGAGCATTCTTGTCTATCTCACGCCAGATAAAAAATATTTGTTTTCAAATGTTTTTATTCGAAACAACAATTCAAATTCCAAAATATTTGATTCAATCCGATTCATAATTTTTATTATTCGATTCGAAAGATTTTGATAGTCGCACATCTCTACTTCTTATAGCTTTTGATGCATTATTCTTTTACCATGGGCTCTAAAGAACGCTTATGCGATGCTAGGAGTGACCGTTATCTCGCAAATTACAAAAAATCTTTTTGATCCGGAAGCATTCTGGAACTACCCGACGGATGCTGCGCCCTCTTGTCGTAAGAGATTGTGGGCCGGCGTGCTCCGGGGCGAAGGAGCGAGCCCGCCTCGAGAGGGGCGCCCATCCCGAAAGCCCACCTGTTGTTCTGCGGGAGAGCGCCGCTCCGGTTCGGCCTCTGGTGTCCGCCTTGCCTGGGCAGACGTCGCGCGTGGCTGCCGTCCTCGTGGTTGCCCGACACGCCTGCGCAAAGTGTTCAGTCTTAGACGATTGAAAGGAAAAACGAGAGAGCTTCGGTAACATGAGAGATGCAAAGAAGACAATGCACGAATATTCTAATTTTCGAATAATACGTTATTCGAAATTCGCTCCGAGATCCAACTGCGATATTTATACTTCTTGAGGCGTCGATCGCGGTGGGTTAGCCCCGTTCAGTGCGCTTCTCACCAAGCACAAGGGGCATAGCTTCTCATACTTTTACTACATCTGTCCAGACGCTTGGCTTCACCTTTGAGTGCGTCTATGCCACCTACCTAGTGCAGGGGTCAGCAACCTACGGACTGCTGGCCGGATCCAGCCTGCGAGGCAATACGGCACCCAGCAAGCCACCAAAAAAACCTCCTCCCCCACCCCCCAATAAAAAACACACACACATATAGAACAAGAGGTATGTTTGGGTGCATACCCTGTAATCAAACGTATGCTCTAGGGAAGATCTGCCTGACAGAGCTGGCTAATCAGCTGATCTCCGAACAGGCAATAAGCTGAAAGATGCATCTGAAAGTCAAAACTACTTCACTGAGTGTTTTGCAGACCTCCCTGAAATAAAGTTTTCAAATCTACGCAATCTCAGAGCCGCCTCGATCGAAGTGTTTGCTGAAGCGCATATATATATTATTTGCGAATATACCTTCTCGAGATGAAAACTCTGAGGTCAAGCACAGACGTTGTGCAAAAAAGACGGGCACCTCCAAAATGTTTTACGACTCATTGATTAATCGTGGCGAGCAATATTGAACACCCAAAATTTTACAGACAGGGCTCCAGCAATCTTACTTTACCTGCTCCCGATTCAAGAGGACGTCTTTGCGTAGCACTTAGGGTATGTGATAGTTCTTTTATATTATAGTACCCCCCAAGCTAATCTCCTCCTCCTCCTCACTCTTTGTTTTTCCGGCCCGCTCACTCTTCCCCTTTGTGGCGATTTTGCCCGCTTTAGCAAAAGGTTGCCGACCCCTGATCTAGCGTATTAATTTTAAAGTGGCAGCTTCCAGTCAGACACAAGAAATAAAAAGGTACGCCAAATTGATTGCCTTTGCCGCCAACCACAGCGATTTGGATATGGCCACCTGCTTGAATGTGTCGAGGTACTTTTTTTTCAAGGTCAGAAAACGGTTCTAGGATTTTGACGGGACGTTGTATCCGTGGCCAAGCGAAAAAAACATCCCCAGACGTTGTCGAGAGAGACGGCCGAGTTTGTCCAGCTGGTGCGGGACATTGTGAAAGTGAATGAACGCCATTGCCAAGAGGCTGGAGAAGTTTATTTTCGGGCTTTTGGTGTACGAGGACCTCAAATACCAGTCATACGTGATGAGGAGAGGGCAGTTTATGTCCCGAAAAACCCATCCGGTCCAAGTGCTTGTTGAACAAGCTTCGGTTTTTTTCCAACAAGAAGGACTTTGGGTGGCTCTGTGCGAGTTCCGAGGAGGTCCCTGTGGTCATGTGGACAAAGTCCTCAGCGGTGGCCGCTGTGAGCAACGAGGGTCTGGCCATCTTTCGACCAGGCCTACATCGAGACCTTGGCACTGTCCTTGGATAGAAGGGCAGGCCATAGATCTCTCAACAGGAATCCATGCCACGAGGCCCACACGACCCTAAATTGGCTGGCTGACAACCTCCACGACCATGTCACCCCCAGTGGCCTCCTGTTGTATTCTCACTTCTTATTTCATAGCCACATCTTCGCCACATCTATAATTCTCGGCCACTAGATGCCACTTCGTCTTTCTCTCCTTCTCGAGCTGGGTCCTTGCGCCCCGAATAGACATCATTGGCCTGATGACGGCTGTTCAGTCACGACGTCCCTGCCGTTGTCCCTCGCTGGGACACGACACCTCCTAACTCTCCAGATGTAAACCCCCTGGTCTACTACGTCTGCTCCGTGCTCGAGAGAGACACCCAAGCGGCCCCACAACACCAAAGAGTGGCTACCGTTGTGGACGCTATGGCCAACATCAACGAGGACCACTTGGTTGGGTTTGAAAGAATAAAGTTCAAGAACACGAACAGAAAACAGGACCTGTACCAAACTCTGTAGATTCCTTCAAACATACTTTTTTTGCTAAAACCACCGTTATGTTCTCAAATACCTCGCGCACCCTGTATGTTTGGCAACGATGTCTCAACAACTGGCGTTCACCATTCATGCTTTTTGGGGGGTCAAATCTAAAACTATAGAAGGAATACTTTTAAATAGCGAGCAGATTTACGAATCCCCTCAGTTAGGATAGCTGCGACAAAGTTGTTCTTAACGTGCCACAGTTCGTAGATAAATATTGTTGTATTAAAACTAACCGAGCTTAGAAGTGGACACGCGGAAGGTTAGGAACGACCTTCGAGAGTTCAGCTGAATTTTCGTTTAAGGGGGAACACTGGTCTTGGAGCATTTTTTCTTATTCTGTGACCAAACCCATTGAAACTTCATGAGCTTGTTCAGCTTTTTGTGCTGATTTCATATATCTGGTCGCTTTCTCAGTCAGGAGAATTTTCCTCAAGGTAATTAAAACTTGCCTCCCTTTGTTTGGAGGAACGATAGGAAAAAAACTACTCAACAAAATATCCTTTTTAACACATGGCTAGGTACTAGAAAGTGTAGAGCATACAATGTTGGAAATACTTTTAAGATAAACCCACTATTAGTGATTTTACCACACATAGAAGTTCAGTGCTCAATGCATGGTTAACAAGTAATAAAACAAAAGATCATATAGAAAATTTTCTAGACTTTTATTAGGAAATCTGCTCTCAACATTGTATGCTTCACACATTTAGCGAGAGTTTTCAGGAAAGGTTATATTTCTGTCTGCTTTGGATGCTGAGATATCCCTCCTGCAAACTCTCCACGAGTCCAAAAATTGTGTCTTGTGAAAGCAATGTTTTAGAGTCAACTTCAACTCGCATTCAGCCCACATAGACATTATTAGTTGATTTATATCCCAAATATTCACCCACAAAATTAGAAGCCTGGTAAATTCAGAAGAACAACAGCCATCGCCATTTTCAAAAGATACAGTTATAGGACGTTTTTGGCTCCAAAGACCGATGTCTCCCCTTAAGCATGTTGCACATAGTAAAAGGCTCAGAGAAACTATTCAATATTTGATACAAAATATTTGGCCAAAACCACCATTTGCTTCGAATACGCTTCAAAATCAAAATCTGCAATTCGCACATGCTTAATGACAACGATGAATCGGTTAGAGGTATTGTTTTCATTCGCATCGGGCGCCATTAAAGTCATTGTTGGTGGCAGTTGGGTTCTGCGCTTCCTCCCGGCCACGGACAAGGAACCGGGTTTAGACCTATTGCTATATTACCCGAGCATCAAGGAGAATGCAGGGATTGGTGTTCCATGCGCCGCGCGTGCTGGCATCAGCAGTAGCAACTTTTCCAAAGCAAAAGCCTAAAACAAATGGTATCTTGCACGCGCGTTCGTCAACGCTTTATTTTGATTATTTACTTCGAACCTCTTATACGGGGAAGGCGAGCGCGAGTGGCGCGTGGAACACCAATCCCTGCATTCTCCTTGATGCTTGGGTAATATTGCAATACGTCTATTAAATACCTAATGTAGGGCCCACCCCGTAGGTCAACGGGAGATTGCGGCTCACTGCAAACCTTTGCATCCACTATGAAAAACCCCCTGCGAAGAACGCCCGCCTACCGACCTGGTACCCTCCCCGGGTGGAACTTGGCAAAATCGTCGTCTGTCGTACGTTTTGTAGCAGACAACGCGTGGTCTGCTTCAATGGGAGGCGCAACCAACAAAATTAGTCTGTCACAAATTTTAAAGCGGGCATTTTTCCCCCCTCACATTGCTCGCTCGTAGCAGGCAAAAGACAGGGCCCCCAAGACATACTCCCCTCCCTAAACAAAAAGGTTGACCGGTTCCATGTCCTCCACATGGCGACGACAACCGAGGTACTGCACACTGCAGCACTCTCTAGGCACAGCCACACTACACATTAACCGTGAGATCACGCCACATCACAGCACGTATTGGTATCGTAATGTAATGAGCCATACATCGCGACATCCCGCGATGTCAGAGCGCCACGCAATGTTACGGTGTCACCAGGGGCAGATTTAAGGGACAGGGATGACCATCCCTCTAAGCCTCCCAAAAGTAACTTTTTTAGAGCGCAGCTCTTAGGGGCCCGTTTCCAGCCTGAGCGGCGTCGCCGTTGGCGTCGGCGTCGCCGTTGGCGTCGCCGTCGCCGTCGGCGTCGGCGTCGGCGTAACCGCGCCCCTCCCTCTCCTCCTCCTCCCTCTCCTTCTCCCCCTCCTCCTCCCCTCCTCCTCCTCCCCTTTCTCCTCCTCCCCTCCTCCTCCCCCCTCTTCCTCCTCCCCTCCTCCTCCTCCCCCTCCTTCTCCTCCTCCTCCCCTCATTGTCCGGCTTGAGCGGCAAGGAGGAAAGCAGTACGAAGGTGGAGGAGGGGGGGAGGAGAGACGAGGAGGCGGAGGCGAGGGGAGGGGAGGAGCTTGAACGACGAGGAGGTGGTAAAGGAGAGGGAGGGGGAGCAGGAGGGGAGGAGGACTAGCAGGCATGATCACGAGGGAGGAGGAGGAATATACCCTCCACTCCTCCTCCTCAAGAGCTGCGCTCCAATTCGGCGTTACAGGAAGTTGTAAACGGCTTTCACTTTTTTATTAAAGAAAAAAACGGCATATACTAACTTTTTTTTAGGAAGAAATGTCTACAGTCAGTGAGAGGTTTAAAATTCAGCGGAGGCTCCGTCCTACAGGCTTAATGCATCCGCCGTGGGTGCTTCCCCCGACAAAAAGTAACGCGTCGTCTGCTCCGCGACAAAGCCAATGTGGCGACGTCGGTATCGGGCGCGAGCGGAGAGAGCCGAGCTCGCTGTATTTTATGCAGGACGACGTTGTCGAGAGGTGGCAGAGGCACCTGCGTTACCTCGTAAGAGGCGAGGTGCCGGAAGATTTTTTACCTCGTGTTGTCTAAGGTGACGGCAAGACACCTTCGCGAGTGACGACGGAGGCAATTGCTGGTTACCCGATTTACTACCCGACCGATTGCAGCGACCAGACTCGTCGAGGGTGCCAGCTTCGTCAACAAATAAGTACCGCTTCGAAGGCGTCGTACCAGGAGTGGCATCCTTCGTTTATTGAAGCGAGCGGAGATGCAGACGGGAGTCCGACGAGGCAGAATGGTGGTGGCACCGCTCAAGTATTTCACGTGGCGTATCGTATCGGTAGTGGGGACTCTGGAGTTGGCACACCACCACGAAGAACACCACGATGATTTTGCAACGTTCATCCTTACAGGGGCAAACATTAAATGAATGAAGGCATCGACGTAGAAGAAGCTTGCGCCGGTTTCGACGGGTGAGGTTTACGCGATTGGCGAAGTGGAGGCATAGAGCACAAAGCATGGGACTGCGCGACTCTCACGTCGTCGCGCAAAAACTACCACGAAAAAACGCTCGCATTGCCACATTTTGTAGCGGTATTTGTCTCAACGGCAAACACCAAATGAACAAAAAGTTGTCAAGCGAGGTTGACGCGACTGTCCAAGCGGGGCACCGAGCAGGTCGAACAAGTTGGACGGCGAGACAGTCGCCGAATCCCCTCGCCGCAACATAAAAACTAACGCGCACAAAAGCGAATACCGGCCCTGCGACGTAAACCCAAGTCACTTCGACAAGCCGACGGGCGAAACTGTCGTTGAAAACTCTAGTTTATCGATCCCTAACGTCGGTGACATCAAGGAAGGCGTGGAAGTGATTGGCTGGCGGAGTGATATAAATCCCTTTGAGGTGCATCTGCCACTAAATTCTTAACCTGTGACATACTATGCCGTATAATACCGGGCAAGCACCCGCCCCATTTTCGCTCAAAACGGGATAATGTAGATTTTGGCGCTTGTCCAGTCAAATCGGGCACTTAACGCATATTTAGCGGAATTCCCAAGTTTGGGAAATGTTAAGTGTGGGCGCCCGAAGGAAGAGGGTGCTTGCGCGGTACGTAGTTAGTTGTCAATGAAATGGCAATTATTAGGTCAACGAAATAGGTGTGGGCCATGCTTCACCCACAAGGTCGGATCTCCCTGCGGGTCTCCCATAAATCCACCCTCGACGTGACATTGTGCTGTCGTGTGACGTCGCGGCATCACGCGAAACCATAGAGAAGCTCTACTCGGCGGAGAAGATTTTCCGCCAGACGTCAGTTTTCCGCAACATCGCGAGACACTTGGACGCCCCGACCTGCACCAAACCCCTCAAAAAAACAAAGAGGACCGACCGGCCCGTGGGGCGATGGAGAACTCCAGGTCGAGGGTGCGAGCCTGCTTGGCCTGGGCTTTGGTCATGCTGCGGTTGTGGTGCTGCGCCCGGTGGGCCTTGAGGTCAATCTCACTGCGGAAGGCCGCCGTGAACGTCTCGTTGCGGCAGTCCCCCTCCTCGCACAGGAAGTGCTCCTGCCGGAAGTGCTCCCGCAGGTACTCGTAGTTGCTGCACCCAGGGTTGCTCGTCAATTTCCCCGTCAAGCTTATCAAGCTCGTACTCTTATCCAACCCATCAGCCCACCAAGCTCATAGACTCGCCAGACTAATGCCTCTCGTCAAAAACATGTCCCAATCGAACTCGTCAGTGGCATTTTTGGAGGTCTGAGGCGGGCTAAAGCCCCATAAGCCTCCCCCCTGGCTACGCCACTGGAACTCGTGCTCTGACCAAACTCGTAAACTTATCAAACTTACTGAACTTTTTTTCTTTTAAGTATGTGCTGATCTTTTGCCTTTCTCTCATTCGCGTGTATTTTGTATTAGAATATAGTCACCTTGTCTCCTCCCCCCTCATGTAATGCCTTTGGGCGATTTGAGGTCAATAAATGAAATGAAATGAAACTAACAAAACTCGCGTCCTGCACCAAACTAACGCTATCACCAAACTCACCAAACTCGTCAACTCAGAAACAAGCGCCTCGCTAAACATCCATCTCTCGAGTTTTTGAGGCTTACGAATTGAGTCACCCTCACCTTGCATCTCGTAGCGAGGGTGAAAAGGTGAAAGTGCACTCGTGAACAAGTTTTGACAAGACACGAGCGACGGTGCCACGAACCCGACCCTCGGGCGACTCCTTCGTCTGCGTCGGAGACTACCAGTGGAAATGTCGCGAATGCTGTTACTTCATTTATTTATTTTATTTTAGAATATTGTCACTCCCACGAAGGATTTTAGTGGGACTGAACACGCACAAACAAAGAAAAGTAATGCACCTTGAGTAAAACATCATAAGTAGATCGTTCACATAAATATGCTCGTGCTCCGACCGAACTCCACCCTTTCACAGGAAACAAGTCATGCTTTTGAATTTTGCTAGGTAACGCAGGAAATACGCCACCCTTCGATGGAAATCTGAGCTCTCCACATGCATGTGCAAATTTTGTCTGCTCGTTTTATGGGCAGCTACTCTATTCGTGCCACTCTGTACACGTTTGCAAGCGGGACCCTGCCCTAAACTCAAACTGCGCGTCGAGGTGAGGCATCTCTTGCTGAAGCATAGACCACAGGGCGCCCAAAGAGACTACAAAATGATTTCTTAAACATACAGGTTAACAAATTGACAAATTATAAAAATAGTTAAACTCTCAACCTGCTTATAAGAATGCACCAGAAGCCACATGGCCAATGCATTACCTAACCAAAGCTGCATTCGCGGCAGCTCTTGGTTCTACGATGTGCCGGAACAGACGCTGCCATCATTACAAACTCTGAAACAATTCAATATTACAATATTGATGCAATACAATACAATATTGCCTTACAATATTTGACGCTACGATTCTGCGTGGATACCTCCTCCTGCGTTTTGCAACAGTTAGTGCGTCGCTAATGCTGGCAGTCGGCAATGCAACGGACGTTGCTACCTTGTCCTCGGGCACCCTAATGACATGCCCCCAGCACACACCAACATGGCGGAAACGTTAGGCAATGAAAGCATAGCTCGAAATGGCAGTGCACAGAAGGCTTTCTTGCAAACATGTATATACAGGGTGTTTTTGTAAACAAGGCCCCATTTGCTCATGCGAAAACTATGCATTGCAGAAAAAACAATGTTGAAGAAGTAGTAGTTTGAGCCCAAGTGCCTATTAAATTTTTTTTATTAGCATTCAGTGTAATGAAAAAATGAATTACTCTTTAGTAATTGCTTTGAAGATATGATTTCGATCAGAAACTTCATGCAAATCATCCAAAACCACTAAATTCACCCACATTACAATAATACGAGGCATTTTACGGCATTCCCAAAAACTGCTCAATTTAGACGCCTTTCTAGGTTTTGAAATTAAAAATGGAGCGTATCTTCGGGTCAGCCTATGGCCAAAACACACAATGTGCGTGCACTGTCACGCATTGCATGTAAAGAGAGCATCTTCACCAACGTCGAAAGGGAAAACCTCATGTGGCAGTCCATATGTCAAGCCTCTTTTACGTGCGATGCATGGCAGAGCAAATAAGTTGCGCATTTTGGCCACTGGGGGCGGGATATCCGGAGCGGAGGTGCGCTCCGATAAGAAACCGAAACCTAGAAACGCGTCCCAATTAAGCATTTTTTTGGAACGCCGTAAAATGCTGCACCTGCTTTATATCATTGTAAGGTGGGTAAATTCAGTGGCTTTCGACGATGTCCAGCATAAACCTGTTGCAGAACGTAGAGCGCCATGACGACAGGTAATTTTGGGAACCTTGGGTACAGATCAGGCGCTTTCTCGTTGCACCTCCGCAACTGCGCGCGAGTCGCGGCAGCTACCGCCAGAAGCCGTCGCGGCCATCCGTAGTTGGCGGCATACTGTAGCCTATACGTGTTTTTTTTTGTGTCTAATTAGGAGAGCCTCTGTGCTATATGTTCAGTCCACATAAACATGCCCGAGTGACAGAATGTAAGAGTTTTTAGCGTTAAAATTAACTTCCGCACTTTAGTTAAATGAGGTTGACCATACATTGGCGCTCGTTACGCGCGTTAGTTTGTAAGAAATAGTGCTGAAGACTAACATAGTACCGCACAAAGTAATATCTGAGAAATAAGAGTAGCTCTGAATAAGTAATGAATCACATTAGGCGTTGGCAGTTCCTATTTTGTTCTACGGCGGTGGCAGCTAGTGCCCCTTCCCAGCCAGAAATGCTCATGCAGGAGCGCAAAAGCCCTCCCTACAGCGAGGACACTGCTCTCCCCGCCGTTCCTTAGATGCAAACTGCGGTGAGGCTCTCTCTCAGTCCCACCCCTTCCCCTCTGTAGGCCGCCATGGTTCCGAAAAACCCCGGAGATCACGGGGAGAGCGCTCTCCGCATCCCCATTGTTCCATCCGCGCACCCTCGGGCGATGCTCTCCCTTTCTCGCACCCCTCCGGCAGCCGCCGTTGCAAAATACCCCCGTGGTCGCCCCGCGCGGACACGGTGGCGCACCCCAGGTTTCTCCGTGCCTCGACAGATCAGCTCGATACATGCTTTCCCTTCTTCCACTGCAGTCGTGGGCACTCCAAAGAGTGCCCACCAAAGAAGAAAAATTTTTAGTGGGGGAAAACCGACGGGTGGGCAAAGACGAGACAGAGACGAATTTGGGCCTTTACGCTCTAAACCGACCGAGGGCACCTGGCGTGCCCCGACGAGGAACTCGTGACGTGCAACCGAAGTCTCGGTTACGCCTTCTCCGTCATGAGCCTCCTCGGATTCGGAAGATTTGAATCCCGGCAACTCTACCGGGTTTCAAACCCGCCGACTGGGGGTCCGTAGGCTGGCGTCATGCCTCGGAGCCAAACCAACATCAAATTCCGGCGTCTGGCATTCGCTGTTTCTGTTCGAACAGTCAGTAGAGACCACCGTGACACAGACAAGCTTTGCATCTATCTACCGATTGGCACGGTGCTAGAACATCGAGGTCGCAATCGATTCCCGTTGGGGCACGCTTAGGATTGCATTTTTTTCTTCTCGGTTTACCACTCCTTTGTACAGATTGTCTTCTGTAGTACGTGTTACCCGTTTCGTCACGGTTTCTGTGGCATTCTATGACATTTTTCCCGAAGATCCCAGCCTTTAAACACATTCTGCGCACATTGTAGCCGTGAACCGTGCATTCGAATACAAATTCCACGGTGCCTTTCCAGCAGAAAGCACCCGTGCGAGGCCCTCACCGGTAGTACTGGAGGCGGTAGTCATCCCCGCAGAAGTGGCAGTAGTAGTGCTCTCGGCGCAGGTGGCGGTACAGCTCGTCGTGGTCAAAGTAGCGCACGTCGCAGAACTGGCAGAGCGGGTGGCCCTTGTGAGAGGTGTCCTCCAGGTCCCCGGAGTGCAGGTGCCGGCTAAGGTCCTTCTTCGAGTAGGCCGTGCGCTCCCCGGGGAAGATCTGCAAGGGGCAATGGGGTCAAATGGTTGGTGAGTGCGCGTCCCCGCGTACGTTGAACGTACGGCCAGTGAGGTGCTCGTATCTTCGGGCATGCCCGGGCCGGTATGCGAAACACGCTTTTATGTGGATTTCACTCACTTTTACCGACTTATACCGCATTTCAATGAACACGCGGAGAGGCAAATTGAGCTGTACTAATCAGGAGGCCACAAGGCAGCACTAGCTGCTCATCTTATACAATCTTGTGCGCAACGAAGACGAGGACAAAAGCAGAGAAGAGGACACAACAAGGCTTTTGTCCTCGTCTTTGTTGCGCACAAGATTGTATAAGATGTCAAACCAACTCGCCTAAACAACCACTCTTCTAGCTGCTCAGTTAGCACGATAACCCCCAGGCCCAAAATGGAGAGCAGTGTCGGGACATTTGACGCTGCTTGTCTAAGTCTTTTTGCGTTGCTACTGTGGCAGCTAAAGCTGCCATATACCATGGATCTAGCACCGACAATGTTTCGAGGAACGGTCAGAGGCAGCGGAAAGCGTACGAGAACCCCAAGGCGGAACTTCTCAGTCCATCGTTAAAGAAGGTGTGCAACGATTTTCAAGATAAAAAAATTTGCATCTCGTCATTTTTAGGTTGTTTATCGTGTCTCGAAGGATGGAGAAAACATCTCCTTCATTAAAAGCGAGTACAGCTCTTGTCCTGTCGCGAGTTCTTTTCGTCGTTGCCATTGTTTCTATCGTGTTTGCCAACTCGGCCCTTTCAGAACTCGGTCACGGGTTCGCCGGGGAGAAGGGAAAGCTCTCCCTGGGCAGCCGCGAGGGCGGCCTCCCGGCCGGAGAGGGCACTCGCCTTGAGGTGCTCGACGCAGAGGTCGCAGTAGGTGCGGTGGTGCTCCCTGCGCACGTGGGTGCGCAGCATGCCAAAGCTGGCGAAGACCGGGCGCTTGGCCCCCGGTGGGCAGTACTTGCAGCGGTTCTCGAGCAGGGCCCGGTATGCCTGGCGCACCTGGTCGTCCTCGAAGCACACCTGCGGGTGCGCGTCCACCGGGTACAGTCGCCGGTTCAGCTCCTCGAAGGGCCGGGCCTCCTTCACGAAGATCACCTGCGAAGCAAGGGGGCAGGGGGTCAACCCAGTCGCTTCCAGACAAACTCCGAAACCGTGGACGAGCAAAAGACGTTCTGGTCCGTGGGGATCCAGGCGGGTTCACGGTGGGGAGGTGTCTTATATTTCGTCTTCGGAGCGAGCGTCTAGCCGTACGTTCTGTTTTGCCTTACGTTTAACTGCGGCGAATGCTACGAGCCATCTCGGCCGATCCAGCTCCAAGAATGTGATGCGCTCTCTGCCCGTCACTGCGCTCCCTCTCAGAGATCACGCAACGCTCGCACGAAACCGAATTGGCTCCGACGGCTCGTAGCATCCGCTGCAGTCGGCTGTAAGCTAAAACAAGGTACCGACGCGAAAAGGGGGAGATTAATATCCTACCTTCTTTTTGAGCAAAATAAATTTCCAGCTTTGTGGCTATATATTGGATGGTCGAGAAATAAACCAGTTAGCTGAGTTTGAGACGTCCCTTTCAGTCTGTTCCTCCTACTGAAAAGTTTCCAATATTTTCCACCACAGTCTCAGTCGTTATATGACATGATTAGCTATCACCAGCTTGCCTGCACACTCACTGTCTTTTCGTTAAAGACTTTTCGTGCATGCGTCATCCTTTGCTTCCCCGCAGCCTCGGGGTCATGTTATGTCTAAACTTGGCGAGCTTGTTGGCGCCCCGACTTGCAGTCTCTGTCCTTCCTGCCAGCCACCTAGGGGATTCGTCCGCGAGAATAGCAAGGACCGTCTTGCCAGACACCTTCGCTCCGCGAGGTAAGTGGCACCCGTTGCCAACGAAGGCAGTGGCGAGCGACGGTGCCTCCGCAAGGATCGCCTTTCCCGCTTGGCAACCACCGATTTGGAGACCGGAGCGTACCAGACCCGCTACGACGGGCCTACCTCGGCAAACCTCACTCATGAGAGCCCTGTGCGAGATGACCAGTTCTCTGTGAGGCCTGACTTCGCTCGACGGCGTAGAGAATTTGCGAGGGGTTGCAGCAGGTATTGCAACCTCTCGCGACATCTCCCGGGAAGTGGGGTAGACGCTCGCCTCGCAACAATTTCGCCCTGCAGATGCATGGTGCGGTTTGATTATTGGGTAACGGGTGAGAAAGCAGGAGTTGGTGCAAGCTAAGGCTCGCTGCTTGGCGCTATTCGAGAGCGCGGTTTGCGCAGCTAGCATTAGGTTGGCTGTTTTCTTCGTTACGTTCGAGAGAAAAAAAAGGAAGTTGGGTCCGAATGATTGGGAGCTCGCTCACTCGCTGTTTTAGACAGGGAGGCGGCGGTGAACGGGCGGCATTTTGCCGGTTGGCGGCAAGCCTCGGCAAACCTCACTCGTGAGTGCCCTCACTCACCCTCACGCGCCCCCACCTTTAAAGGTGAGATGAGGGCGAGTTTCCGAACCCCAAAAATTTATGAGTGTGAGGGTGAGTGAGGACCGTGGGGGGTGCGAGGGCAATGAGCGCGTGGGGGTGAGTGAAGGGCTGAAGGTGAGTGTGACCGTGAGGATGAGTGAGGGGCTCAGGGTGAGTGTAGCTGTGAGGATGAGGGTGAGTGAGCGGCTGAGGTGAGTGTGGCTGTGAGGGCGAGGGTAAGGGCGACCTAAAATGCCGACCTCTGACGACAGGTACTCTGACAGCAAAGCCGGGAGAAACGGATCTCCGCCAGAGACATTGGGTGGTGCACTTAAGTGCATGGGAGAGTGCAACGAGGCAGTCTCCTTTGACAAATGTGGATTTGTTTGTAACAGCAGACAGGGCTACAGTCACACCGGCTCCATCTGTTCAATATAAGCGAGGTCATAAAGCAAAGGTGAAAAAGTAAAATTGCAGGCAAGCTGGTGAATGAATTCTATGCTATAACCCGAGACGAGGCAAAAAAGAGAAGGAGAAACACACACCATCTCAATATCAGCAACTCCTGTATTACGCAACTTTGCCCCCGTCAATGTGCTGGGTGTCCCCCCAAAATAGTTACGAGGTTTTCTTCACCTCGAGAGCAAACTATGCATTGCCGAACGCTCATTCTCCGGCCAAATGTAGAGCTAGCGGTCCCAAACCAGATGCCAACGTTTCAGCACTAGCAGTCATCTTATATAAAAGCTACGAGTGACTTTCTGAAGAAAATGGCGGCTGATAGAGCTCTCAAATGTATACACTTTTTTCACAAGGGCGCAGCCACCTTGAATGTTGTCACGTCTGGTATGCGGTAACACATTGTTTTGATCCGTCCACACCGCTGGAAGATGTTTACGAAGAATGTGTGGTTGTCACACATTCTTGTTTTGCCTCACCTATATTTTCTCGCAGATTTCAGGTTCAAAATGTTTTATTATTTTTTCGTCCCGCATACCAGATACGGCACCCGTGTGATTGAGAGTGACAGGAAACAGAGAACATCTATAGACCGTTCCATTAGGGTCATAGCAGAGAGGGTAAAAGAGAAAAAAATGCACTCCCCCTCTCACCCCGCATGACGTCCGCCCCGCCGAGTGGGCTGTAGGTAGCGTCCGGCTGGTGTGCAAACTCTGTTTAAAATCACGTCATTTTGGAACTTTCAAGCGCAGATGCGCACATTTTGGTATGCCAGTTGTCGTGTAATATTATGCTAGATAAAAAGACTCACGGGGTCCAATTGCGCTGTTACCTGCGTGCAAATAAAAAAAAAATATTGGGAAAACTGTGTCTGATTGGCCGGTCTTTTTGGCGAAAAGTAAATCCGGTGGCTGTACATCTTTTACTATACACAAGTTCGTACTGGTGTAGGCCTTTAGCGACCGTGAGTGGAAGTCTGAAATAATAAATAAAACGTGCTCTCCTGCCACAATACAAGCAGTAGTTGAGGGTAGTACTGCCGGCTGACTCAACTGCTATTTAAGTAACGGAAAAAAGATATGCTAGTTGATCATTTAGCAAAACAGAACAACAGAGAGCTATAGGCTGATTTTGGAGTAGCCACAACTATTCTAAGAACGCGAACCACTTCAGAGTGGCAGCCACGAGCGAGAGTTCGATGTTCCGTACAGCCCGCCGCTACAGCCCAAAGATGGAGAACGGCAACCTCCCGGTTTGTCGTCTGCTAGCGGAGTCGCGCGCAGGCCCTCTCTCTCGTTTTACCCCGCCGAACCCGCGGAACTTCCCGGAGGTGTGGAGAGGGCGCTGCGGTCGCACAAAATGGTGCCGCCCAGAGAGCGCTTAATGGAATGGTCTATAGCTTGCATGTGACAGCACTTGTGGCCATGTGCGTGTGGAGAACCGAGCGTTGGGCGACGCTTAGTTTATTGTTTGCAATCAAAGAAACACCGCAAATTTCTTTCTTCTTGTGCATGGTGCATATGCGAGGGTGAGGTTGTAACATTAATTAGTTGATCCAAGGGAGAAATGCTGCCGGCACCCCACCCTTGGGGTGCCGATGTTTTGTGCGCACGCCCTTCGTCCTTCCCTTTCTCTTTGCACGCCTTACCTCTCGCGCTTTTAGTTTTGTGCACATTAATTAGCTGCAGAGTTTGTGATGGTGCACGTCTATGTCAGTTTTTCTTTCATTTACCCATTTTTGTACTCGTCTCGGGTTGAAGTATGGAAGCCATACATGCTTATCACCCGACGTCATCCCGCCAGCTCTCTGGCCACCACCAGAGAAGAGGGAAAGGAGGAACTCTCCTCCCACCGGGACTCTGTTTTGTGTGTCCAGGACGTGGCTATTCTCCCTCTATAGGATTATAGTAGGTTAACCCGTCACTCAAAACTCGTACAAAAGCAGCTTCCCCCTCTCTCTCTTCCGTGGTGGTGCAGAATGGATGTTGTGACGCCGGTGCAAGGCACGTATATTACAATCCCTCTTTTGGGTGTGCAGCCAGCCTGAAGGCAGCCAGATGTTGGTCCACACCGGAAACAGGCAGGCATGCTCGACACTCGTTAGTGTGAAGTTGGCATGGAAACGCGTCGCTCGCACCAAAAACGGGTACACGCTGTCGGCGTCGCCGCAAACGCGTTTGTGCACGGACCAAGTGTATCCATCCGAACCCCCCAAGTGGCCAGCGAAGGTCCTTCTGGCCCGACGTGACGAGCCAGGCTTCCGCAACGGAAGTCGGGCTCGACGGCGATCGTCTCGAGTGCGCCGGGGTGCACCCACCTTGGGCAGGTTTCGCCTGCAGATCGGGCACTCGCTCTTGCGGCAGAGCACCCGCATCCTGGTCGAGCACTCGTGGCAGACGGGGTGGTCGCAGAGCCCGATGGCGTACACCTGGATCTCACGCCAGCAGACGATGCACACGTTGTCGTCTTCCTTCACGTCCATTCTCGGGTGTCGGGTGGCCGTCGACGGCGCCGAACAGAGAGCCGTCCGCCGTTCACGATTTCCTGGGGCTCCCTCGGGCCGAGTTTCTGGGGCCAAGACCGCGGTACGAGCCACACGACATAACCGAAAAAGTCTCCGATAGAGGGGTCGTGGATTTGGATATGACTTCGAGTCACTACGGGGAAGTTCCACGTTCCACCGCAACAACTGCACTCCTGAACGCTAGAACTAAAAGTAGGCTTATAAATTTAAAACAAATAATATCGGAGGCAATATTTTTGTATATAATATGATTGATACGATTATACTAATTAAAATATAAAAGCAAAATTTCAAGTAGAGTTTGCTAGATTCACGCTGGATTCACACGACTAGTGTAGAATCATGTGATACCATAGAAGAACGCCATTTAAAGGGTAGCTATTCCTCGCCATTTTTATTAAAAAGATACGTTCATTGGGCTTAATATTTCGTAATATTGTCCTCGTGTCAAGCGCCTGAGGTTCCTCAACTCAATATATGACAAAAACGTAAGGCTTATGGGAGTCATGTGCACTAATGAGCGGTCCTGCGAGTCTACTGCGTCGGCTCCGTCGGCTCTGGACTGCGTCTTTCGGCATGTAAAGTCTCCAGCGTCCGTAGCCAATCCGTAGCAGCCAAAAGAGCCAGAGCTGGTTTTGGAAGGTTTCGGTTTCGTAAAAAAGCAGCGGTGCAGCGGAGCTGGAGGAGCGAGCGAGGACGATACACCAAAATCAACGCAGGCGATGACTTTAAACCAAGTAAATGATGACTTGGCCGCGCTACCGCGCTACCTTAGTAAAATTTGTTAATTCCTAAACACCAGATACCTGAATAAATTAAAAAAAAAAAAAAAGCAGCTCGGAATTGTCGGATGAAGAAACGGTCCGGACAGCGGAGCGAAGCCTCTCGTGACGTCAGCTTTTTTCCCACCAGCACTCCTGGCGCTCCCGCGCTCCTTCATTCCCATCGATGCGCGCTAGAGGAGCGACCCTTCCAAAGTCCGCGCACCGCACCTTGGCCACCTAGGCGTTGGACCGCGACTGGGCCACGGAGAAAGAAGCGATCCTGGCATGAAGAACCAAGCCCACTGCGGTCTCTAACAAGTGCCCTTGAGTACCGTCTACCGGAGCGAGAGGAGATCCCGCCGCAGAAAGATCACCGCGAGCGCCTCGGCGGGTTCAACCGAAACCTTCTCCACTGCCAGGTCTCCGAGGGCCCAACCCGTCGGGCGTGCGCGCGAGATCGCCGGGACCAGCGCCAGCAAAGCGGCACTGCACCAGCGCCCGAAGAAGACTCGTTTGGACGGGCGAGAAAAAGAAGGCGCAGTCACCATGAACGGGGGAGCGTACGGAGCTGGCAAGGCCGGTCAGGCATTTGACCCGATCATGTTCTTGATCAAACCGCAAGTCACGCTGCGCATACTGTGCTGGGTGAGTGCTCGAATGGTTTTAGCTTGTCTCCGCTTTGCCACTGAAAACACACTCGGGCTTTCAATTGGAGAGGGGAGAAAAAAATAAATAAAGGAGAACTGGCAAGCAGGTATTGATTTTTGGTCGGAGCTCGAGTCCTTGCCGGAAATGGCGGACTTTGAATGTGGGCCTTCGCGCAGAGGCTTTCCACTAAAATCTGGCTGCTTTTTCGGCTTTCGAATCTATTCGAACGCCCGTTCGCCCTCGCCCGAGTAAAACTGGACACGCTCTGCGCTGCACACTCCAAATTTCGCGAGCACCCTTGAAACTTTTCGAGTGTACCAAATGCTACAACTCGAGCGCCCTGTTTGCTCTCTCGAATTTTGTTTGCCGCGGGCTTTGAGCTCTTATGGTCGGAAGATTTGGCCAGCCGAAAGGACTTTTTAAGTATCCGAGTGCATTAATGTAATGTAAAACATTGGCCAGACGGAAATTGATTGTAGATACAATTCTCCAATGTGGCGAACCAAAATTGAATAAATGACTTCGTTTATTATAACGATAATGTTCAGTGTGCACAAATCAAACCATAGCTTAAAAAAAAAGAAGAAAAGAAACAAACAGTGTAGCTGACGTAAAGCTTTGTGTTAATCTTTTTCGGCAATCGGCGATGCTCGGTTTAAAATATGAGTCATAATATTCGGAGGAGGATCGAGCTAATATATAGAGAGCAGATACTTTATTGATAGAAAATGTAACCAAATTGAATTGCAACGGGAGCCGATTTCTTACTCGTCACGAAAAAGGAGATGCAAAATGTTGAAAAATACCACAAGCCGGTCTACCCTTTAAACCATTTGGAGACGTAGGAGCAAAAATAGCTGACTATGGTATGTAGTTGCTTACATACCCTATGAAAGGAAGGTATAATGTGGTGTATACATATATGCGTCTGTGCAAAAATTTTCCAAAGGCGGGGATTCATTATGATAAAGCAAACTAGGCCGACATGACATAACAATATTAACAGTTTAATCGGACCTTTTTGTCTCCCATGCGGGAGACATGTTGCCTGTTTAGTGACACACACTGATGATGTACCGTGCATAAGACACAAAAAGGTCAGAATAAATTGTTGCGTCTGTGTAGTTATCCGTGTGGAGAGGATACAAGCAAAGTGATGAAAGCTCTTCCCACGAGTGTGGCCCAGTTTTGGCCAGGCCAATGGTTGCAGGGTGTGACATTTTACAGCTGTTTTCCGTTGTGGTGTTTGGCTGCATCTCGTCGGGCGCCTGGCTGGACGAGCGTTGCCTGTACAACAGCGACTCCAACGCCTGCAACTTCGGCGTGGCTATCGGCGTCATCGCCTTCCTGGCCAGCTGCGGCTTTCTTGCCATCGAAGCCATGTTCGAGAACTTCTCCAGCATCAAGATCCGCAAGAGGGCCGTCATAGCCGACATGGCCTTTTCCGGTAGGAATCGCTTTTCTGCTCTTTGACACGCGCTCTCTTTCGCAAAGCACTTGGGAGAACGCTGCAATCCACGGGGATGATTGGCGGATAACATGTCGACCTTGGTCTGCGCCGTAGAGTGCGGTGCAATGTCGTACTGTTTTTGAGTTACAGCGCAGCTCCTAGGCGCCCGTTTCCGGCTTGAGCGGCGTCGCCGTAACTGTAAGGTCACATGACCACCCCCCAGGTCACGTGACCCCCCCCCCCCCCCCCCCCGAGGTCACGTGACCCCCTGACGTCACATGACCCCCCCCTGAGGTCACATGATCTAAAGGAGGCATTTATATCCCTCAGTACCCTTCCCTCCTCCTCCTCAAGAGCTGCGCTCTAACCGGCGTTACAGGGAATTGTAAACGGCTTTCATTTTTTCTACGGCAACAGCTGTTATGGGATTTTCCCAGCCCTGGAAGTGGCACCCGTTGTAGACAGTGTAGTTGTAGTTGGCGTATAGGGTGTCTATCGCCGAGGTTGCGAAATTCCTAAAAAAGGTTGCTCGCTTCTCACGGGAATCGAGCCTGGGTCCGCTGCGTGCGAAGTACAGGCATTACCGCTGAGCTACGGCACAGCGTCAAAGAGACATTGACAAGCCCCCCCCCCCCCCCCCCCACACCAAAATGTTTTTGAAATTTTTTGCCAGGCGAATTAATATGGGGTTAGGAAACTACCAAATGAATATTTTTCTGGAGTCACATACTTTTAATAAAGCAAAAAAAAGAACTCAACTGCTCAAAATCGATACACGAGCAGGAAAGCTTATGGCTTATGGCAGCATTTTTTTTTCTCTCCGCTTCTTCGGCGTGTGAAGCAGACGACGAAGCCGTGTGGAACGTTTGTCGTGCGATTGTTCTGCACTTGTATCCCTTTCCCTCAATGTTTTGCGTTTGAAGATCGATTGGCCAGTACCACGTCTGTCGCAAAGTTGGCCCTTCGTGCACCGCCGTCGCATCTTCCAGTCCGCAGTACGTCGCCATATTCAAAATGACGTGTTCATGTACTTCCTGTGGTCTGTGCCGCGTTTTTTTTTTTTTTTTCTTTTTTCCAATCAACGTATTTGCAGTTTTTTGGAGGCCACAAAAATGGAGTTCTTCTATTTTTAATATCGGCTATGTGCCTTAGATAACCCACGACTTCGAATATATTTGGTACAAGTAGTTTGAATACCACACGATTATGAAAAAGAGTGAGCGCGACTGAAACTGGACAATTCTGAACCGGCTGTTTTTGGGTGGAAACAATATGAATTTCGAGCAGCAAATTGTGTTCTAGGTATATTCCGTTTCACAATAACTTGGCGAACTGTGGAGGCTGCGGTCCCCACGACCCAATAAGGGCACCGGAGTAAGGCACGCGATAACACTCCACGGTCGAGGCCACCGGGGCCTCGTTGCCGCCACAACAACAGAGCCCTCCACGACAAAAAGTAGTTCTAGGCTGCTTTTTTTTTTTTTTTTAAAGGCAACTGAACTTGCGAGATTCCATTTATAACGAGAAGATATGAAGAGTAAAGAATAAATAATCGCAAATTTACGAGTTTGTGGTCACGCACACACGGATATCCGGTGGTGGCCTGCGGAAGCTTCGGGATACCTTACCCGGCTCTGGTGCAGTGTCGTCGGCAGACCTTGCCGCATGCTTACATTGGCCCCCCCCCCCTATTATCGATTGCATGACGTTGGATAATATCCCGGCAATCTGACCATCTACAGCAGACACTACTCTCTCGTTTGGCTGCCTTGTTGCCTTGCGGTTGCACCACTTCGTGCCACCGGGGGGGGCCACGAGGGTACAAAAGAATGCGGCGCAGGACAACACAGAGACGAGACGGAGACGAGACGGCCAGGGACCAGTGGACACCGACACCGCGTCCTCATCCTTATTCTAAATTCGGCCATATTTTAAGTAATAAAATGTTAGTTTTCTTACGAACCGTTTCAGACCAGTTTAACTTCCGAGTCGAGTCTGGAACAGCCCAAGACGCTACAAAGTGACGCCACATCCGTATCCACTCAATTTTTTTCACCTTGTAGCGTCGTCGGCGATGGCAGCCATGTAATCGGTTGTTTCCGCTCCAAACATCACACTGTGCCCTAGCATTATCACACGTTGCAGATTCGTGGCTAAATTGAGCTTACGGTTGTCTCATGAATTTTCCCGGAGTGCTCCCTAGTGTAGCGATTGGAAATGTTGCTGCGGTGAATATCCGTCCGAAGTTGGCTGGTTTCGGAGCAGATGACTCTTGGCTAGCAGACGACAGCCGGTTCCTCCGGGCCTTGCGGCTCGCATTTAGCGTGGTGACTCAAATGAACGAGTGAGCGACGAAACAGAAACAAACGACAGCGACGAGCCTCCAACACACGCAGCATGCTCGTGATAGTATCTTTGGCAGGTGTTTAGTTGTTCGGTGCTCATGAAGTGAGCACGAGTGATTTCGAACTTGCCAAAGATACCCTCGCATGCATGATGCTCGTGTCTGAGCATAGCCTCCTTTATTCTACAAAGCCTGTCAGTTCGCGAAAGACTCTGGTTGGAGGCTTGTCGCTGTCGTTTGTGGGACTCGGGCCAAATGCTCCTAGGATGTTGGGTCACGTGCCTTGCTCCGACGCTCCAATTGGGTTGCGACGCCCTAGCCTCCACAGTTCGCCAAGTTATCCTGAAACAGAGTATAGTTGGACTCTTATAGGTCATGTTAAAAAAAACAACCTCGGTGAGCATAAATACCGTCTTTGTTGCTTTAACAACCCGCTTCATACTTGGGGTTTTTACCCAATGCCCACCGCGTGCGCTCTCTGGAAAAAAAATAGCTGATAAGAAAATGCCCTTGTAGCACTGTCTACGCCATAAGAGCTCGTGCCGGGAGACATGCTTTTACGCGCTCCAGAACAAAAGGAAACAAAAGCATTTGGAAAAAAGTGGTCCGACGTCTATTTTGTTCCGAATGCTTTTGTTCACGCACCCACACACCCCTTGGTGCGTGAATGTGACGCCAATGCCCAAGGACTTCGCCGTGACGTGTGGCAGCTGTTGCTCTGACTCAACTATGGATCAACACAACAGGACAGCCAGATTTTTGTTTTAGGTCTAGACCACATCCTTTGATATTTATATTTGATATTTCTTTGTTTAACGCTTGAGGAGAGTTTGGTCACCACAAAAGGCCAATGGCCCGTACCCGTAGATACACACGCTCTCAGATAAATAAACAAGAATTGAACTAAGAAGGGAAGTAAGCATGGCAGTCTAGCTAGCGCAGAGGGAATGCACAGTGTCCCTGCGGAACTCCTTGACATTTATCTCGCCTTCCAGGACTCTTGCTGTCGGCCTGTTTGGCAGTGAGCGTTATATCTGAACAGTATGGAAGGGATAGGACTGCCGGTGACGCTCTGTGCGCACAAACAGGAGTTGAAGAGCTCCATCACGGGTGTGTCAGAGTTAATCGAACTGGGGAGGGGGACGCTAGTCAGTGCAGGTTATGCTGGCAAGCAGCCTGATGGACGCCACTTTCTGTCGGAGGGCCAGAGCGTCCCAGCCTATAGCTTTGAGCGATTGAGGAGTCCGCGTGTCTTTGTGAAGGGCGTGGTGGGGGGCCTCTGCATGCACAGGACAGTGTATGCAGCACGACGTTGTACACTCTCCAGTGATGCAATGAGGCTAACCTGTGAGGGGTTTGAAGAATAGTACTCGAGCTGAGGAAGAACGAGCGGAGTGAAAAGGTTCTCGAGGGTATCGGCTCCGGCACCCTTAAAGATCGGAGTGATAAAGCCCAGCATCCTCCTGGCTCCTGATAACGCCTCGTTGATGTGTGTAGTGAACCAGAGTCGACGGTCGAGCGTAACGCCCAGCAGTCTCGTTCTTCGATTGGTTCTATCAAGTGCTTTGCGGGAGAGTACCGTATTTACTCGCACAATGAACGCACTCGCGTAATGAACGCACCCCCCAAGTCGGCTCTCAAAATTTCGACTTTTTTTTTCACTCGCGTAATAAACGCACCCCCAACTCGGACGTCAAAATTTTGAACCCCCCCCCCCCCCCCCCCCACGCGCGCGAAATGAACGCACTTTTTTATCCTGGTGCAGCGAGGTCGCGAATGCATGGGCAGCGTGGGCAAACAAAACGCCTTGCAAAAGGCGTTAAAAAAATTCGCAAAGATCTAACGGAAGCAAAAAAGAAAAACATGGAGAGGAGCTTTTTTTTTTTTTTTTTTTTTCCACAGCGCTGTTTGGATTTTGGGTTCGTGCGCCGCCGCGCGACAGGAGGTAAGAAAGACAAGCGGAGAAGCGCTCTAAGCGAACAAAACAACTTGCGAAAGGCGGCAAAAAGAAAACACGGAACTAAGAGAAAACAAAACCAGAGGAACGTTTCCTTTTTTTTTTTTTTTGGCACAGCGCAGTTTGGTTACGGGGGGTCGCGCGCCGCGCGCAATGAGGTAAGAAAGAGGAGCGGAGAAGCCCTCTAAGCAAACGAAACAGATTGCGAAAAACGGCAAAAAGAAAAAAAACAACAAAAAAAACACGGAACTGAGAAAAAATACAAAAAAAGGTTTTTTTTCTTCTTTTTTCCACAGCGCAGTTTGGTTACGGGGGTCGTGCGTCGCGCGCCGCGAGCAAGGAGATAAAGATAAGCGGAGAGCCCTCGCCTAAGCAAACAAAACAGCTTGCGAAAGGCGGACAAAAAAAAAAAACCCAAGGAACTAAGAGAAAAAGAAAACAAAGAGAATTTCTTTTTTGCACAGCTTAGGTTACGGGTCGGGCGCCGCGCGCAAAGAGATAAGAAGTTCGATTTTTCAGGATAAAAGGTCCGTTCATTATGCGAGTAAATACAGACACAAAACTTTTACTTCGCATAATGAACGCACCCCCCAACTTTGCGTCGATTTTTCGGAAAAAAAAGTGCGTTCATTCTGCGAGTAAATACGGTAGTTGCTCCAGATTTCTTAGAGTGCAGTGCCACCACCGGGAACGCGGCAAATCGGCCTAGACACCTCGAGCACCAGTCAAAACCGTCTTCACTCTCACGGGCCTCGTTTTTCTGTCGATTGCCGAAACGTTAGTGAGGCTATCGTTGAATTTTCTAAAAGATTTACCGGGAGTGTGAACTAAAGGCGTTTGCCAATAGCACTCCGAAGCTGGCATACCGTTGCAGCCAGCGTTGTTTGCGCAAGTACAGAAGGCTTCACTTTTCGCGTCGTTGCGACATATAAAAAACTCTGCACCGTTTGAATGTTCGACTAATGGAGCTCCCCCGGACAGGCCTGTGGGCCTTCATGTGGGTGGTGTGCTTCTGCTACCTGTGCGACGCCTGGCGCAAGTCGGACATGCCCAGCGACGGCTACGGGCTGAACAACATCCGTGCGGCCATCGCCTTCAGCTTCTTCTCCGTCTTTGCCTGGGTGAGTGGGCGGCCGTCTCTGCACTCGTCGCGGGCGGTGCTCGGAACGCATGTCCCATTGGCCCCTGCTGGCAAAAAGCATGCGCCTCAACGCCCCAACCCCGGCCGGCCAAGCTTCCTTCGAGCCACTTGCGGCAGAAGGGGCGTCCACCACCGCGACGCTGCCGGCATCGCTGCCGCGCTACGCTTTTACTTGGTCGTAGGGGGCAAACAGAGGGACTGAACCGGTTGCAGACACAAACCCTAGCGGCCATCGAGGGACGTTCTGCTTGGCCCTCCAGGAAGAGTCGGCGAGTTTATTTTTCCAACAGAGACTGCCAATCGTGGCCAACGACGGAAGGATCCGACGACAGTGCTCAGAAATTGCAAAAATGCCTCAGGGCCACTGAGCAAAGTGAAACATCAAGCTCATTTCCTTATTTACATTTTTTTTGTCTAATCCGAGCATTGTCATTCACTGGGATCCTTCTATCGTTTGCTGCGATTGGCCGTGTTCAAGTTCTTTGGAAAAAGTCAACTCGCAGACCTTTTTAGGGCGTAGGGTCGGCGGGAGAGAATGAGGAGAAACAAACCGATTAGACAATCGTAAATGGTTTTGTTCTTCTTTTACGATCAAGAAACACATTCAATTTCTTTGTCCATTATCTAGATAAAGAAACCAAAAGTACACGAGACTGCACATTTGATGCTACAGAAATGCTATGGACCCTAGTTACTTTGGCAGATCGTGTAACGTGACAACACAGATTGAAGAACGCTGGACGCGGGTAGGTTTTGGAATGCCAAGGTACAAAACTCTTACCCTGGAGTAAGATCGAGTAAATTTTCCAACACGGCCCAAGTGACGCAAAAAATTCTAATACAGTAAAACCTCATTATAACAAAGTTGAAGGAGCGGTCGTAATTATTTCGTTATAACCATTAGTTTGTTATAGCCACTGTCCATTTCTTCCCACTATTAGCAAGCAAGGGGAAGTATGATTGCTTTGTTATATCCATTAGTTTGTTATATCCCATTTTGTTATAACAAGGTTTCACTGTACAAGTTATCCTACGGTAATTAATTCATTCTTGGTTAATTAAACCCGTTCAAATTCCCAGCCGGCACCCATTCATTTCTGAGGAGGAAAACATTTCTGTATTAAGGATGCGGAAGGTCTACACATCGTGTAATGCGACGAGAAAAAAAAAAAAGATTGACTAAAATGGGTCACTGGTGCCGCCATGTTGTTCTTTTCTTTATCCTTGTCACTTGTTTTGTTTCCATCATTCTGCTGCTTCGATTGGATTGCAAGTTCTCGGTTGAAAATGAGTGGAAATTGACGGCCGTTTATCGTGCCCTTCAATCAGGAGGTAAGGTGCTGGGAGCCATCATACTCTCCGGACTAACAACCTTTCGGAAATACAGTCTGGCCACCTTAATAACTATCATCATCTTAGTGCCTTTGTATATGCTAATGGCAGCCTCTAGATGGCTGGTGAAGGAAGAATTTGAGGACAGGGACCGATGCGGAGCCCGAACATTCCGAACGCTAGTTTGCTCTATTGTTGGATGTCACCTTGACGAAAAGCCTCTATGCTCCAGGCATTTCAGGGCGTCACCTAAATCCTTGAAACGCTTGGCTTCTGCAAGTCCCAGACAACAGCTGACAACAGGATGTGGTGAACTCTATTGAGAGGTTTACTTAAATAAGCGCCTCGGGCGGAGTGGTACACACCATCGAAACAAACTAATAAGAGAAAGAACTGTACAGCGAAGAAAACCAAATGTTTCGGTCACGTAATGTCGACGAGTAGGCTCTGAATTTTAACCGCCATTAGCGTGCAAAAATTTAGATGGCTACTTGAGCCACTACATAACAGGGAGTTTGTGAAAGGGTCTATTGTCCGCACTCCGTGTATAGTCCGCAAAGGTTAAATTTTGGACTGAGATTTTTTTAGGATAACCCGGATACGGTGCCGCACATAAAATTACCATTTGCAGCACACCGAAGAATGCCTGTTTTAGTACTTCAAGAAGAAGCTCGTATCATACAGAAGTAATCATTAACCTAACCTGTCATTTTCGACATTCACGACTCTCGTCACAATGAAAGATCTTGAAAAACGAATCCTCGTATAGCCCACAACACGGAGAATTTCAAGTTTCAAACGTGTGGAGTACACTGAAAAAAGTCGGGGAAATACGGTGGTTGCAAAAGAGTGTGTTGCGACGTGTACGAAAGCACACCAGTCGCGCCGCCAGAAATATTATCGGGCGCGTAGGCAATGTCCGGTAGAGCTGCACCACGTAGTGCGTAGGATTTCTACGAAAACAAAACCTCGCGGCAAGAGAGAAAAAGAGTTCATTTCGCGGATGGGTTGCGGCATGTCGTCGACCCTAAATCCAAGTTGGAGAGTCTAAGTTGGGACTAATGCTCGTGCACATTGTCTTTATTTTTTTTTTGTTAAAATATGGGCACCCTCCCAAATGTGCACGTCTTAAAAGCCGACCTGCAAAATATTTTTCAGGCAGGGTGAAAGCCCTCCTCGCCACCCTTCCCATTGCTGCATCTTGGGGCCAGATAAGCCAGCAGCTCATTCCAAAATGCAGCAAAAAAAGGAGTGAGGGGGAGAGGGGGAAATGGGAAGGGTGGTGAGGAGGACTTTCACCCTGGCTGAAAAATATTTTACAGGTTGGCCTTTAAGTGCGTGCGACACAGAACGATGGCAGACTCTATTTGGCAACACATTAATCGTAAACCCGGCAGACGCTTTGAGTGCCCGGAAGACACTTGGTCGCAAGCGCAGCCAAAGCCCGGCAAAAGGCAACAAGCGCACACCGGAGCTTCGTCTTGGAATATTTTCGACCAAGTTGCGAGGTTTCGTCGAGATAGAACTGGAAGAAAGGTTTGCCATACTCTTTACATCTAGCGCACCTCGACGCAAAAGACGCTGGTGCCTTTTGCGTCGACGTCGGTCCTTGCCGGTTTGCTCCCTTCGCGCCGGGAAGGGAGGAAACCACTCGGACGGGTGGCATGGAAGCGGCCTCTTTCCGGCAGACGCTTTTTCCGGTCGGTGGCAGACCCAAAGGACGGGTGTGGTCCTTGCAGGCGAGCTGCGTGTTCTTCGCCTACCACCGCTACCGGCAGGGGGCCGACGCCCCCTTCATGCCCAGCTACGAGGCGGACCCCAGCGGCCTGGGAGGGGCCACCCCCTTCACGGGGGGCTACCCGGGGGACATGGGCGACGCCTACCAGGAGCCCCCCTTCTCCACCAAGGCCGACCCCGGCATGGGGGTCGGGGCCATGGGGGCCGGCAACTTCCAGGCGCCCGCCTACTAGGGCCGCCCCGCCGCCCCGTATCCCAGAGAGCGCAGAGGACGCCCCCCGGGGAGCCGGTCGCCCTCGGACGACTCCCCTCGGCTCGCTTCCTTCGGGTCGCTCCCCCGGATCGCTCCGTCGAGGCTACTCCCTGGGACCGGGTCCTGCACCCGGAAAGCGCCCCCCGGGAGTGCTCCAAGGGACGCGACCCCGCGGGACTCTTGCCCCAAAACCCGTCCCCGGGGGGTCCACTGTTCCGCGGAATACTCTCGGTGTGGCAGATCGTTGCCGCCAGTTTTTCGGTTACTTTGGATCGCGTTCGACGAATGTGCGAGGTTGTTTGTCGTCTGTTTGCCCGCGAGACTACTTCCCGCGGTAACACTCCCCAATTCAGAGTCGCGTCGGGGTTCCCGATTTCCTACGTCTGAATTCGAAGCACACCCAGCTTCGTTGTCTCCGTTTCCACGATCGTAGCGTTTGTGGCGACGTTACCGGATGCGAAGCGGAATTGGTTCACATCGAGTTTGGAATGGAACCGTGCGAGGGAACTCTGTACGGGATCACAAAAGGAGCGGGAAGTGGGTGGCGACTCTCTGCTCGCAGGTTGTCATTGCGTGGCTCTTTTTGGAACGACCTGCAACCGAGCAGTCGCCGCATTTACTTTCATGGCTCGCTTTCTCTCTAGTCACCCGTAGCCAGCAGTTTAACCGTACAGATCAAACGCCACTGCTGTAGCCTAGTCTGTGCCACACGCGGCCTCGTTCTAGTCATTTACGGAGTTGTCCACTTCGGTTTCGAATTTGAGGATAGCTGCTCCTTGGTGCCTGCATTTGGGCATTTGGCCGTCGCCCACGTTTACTCGCGGGATAGACGCGCAACGTGAGGCACGTTGAGTGACGGCCACCGAAGCGGCGGAATAACACTTTGCACTTTGAAGGCAGTCTCTGGATTGCGGTTGGCAACTCGCGTTGCCTAGGCTTCGTCGGGGTTTGCCTAGTTGAGCTAAGGGTTGTCACTCCCGCGCACGATCTCACAAGTAACGTTGCGAATGACCTTGGCTTTTTTTTAATCTTTTACCAAACGGGGTGCTTCGGCAAATGGCTTGTTTGGTCTTTAACGTCTACGCCAAGCCTGTGCTGGACTCCTTGCCCCGACGTGGTTACCGTAGAAAGCGTGCCGAGGTTGCACAATTGGGCATGCTGCGCAGGGTTTCTTCTTTGCAGGAAGGAAAAGATGCCCGGGAACTGTCTACTTAATTGCGAATGTTTTGTTGCTTTTTTTCCCCACCTTCCTCTTCTTACGTTCGCCGTTCACGCGATAAACGGTGGAGATCTCATTGCTGCACATGCCGACGGTTTGCAGTTTTACGTAGTGTGGGTTTTCTTCCGCTCACGAGCTCATTTTCTGGACCGTTGTATCTTTTCGCTTCGATTTACGGGTGCCAACGACGTTTCCCTCAAAATATTCCCTAGTGGCAGCACGTAGCTCGAGCCTTCCTTCCCTCTGGGGGAGCGTTTTTGTTGGCAATGAGCCTGTAAAAATCTACCCAAGCGAAGAAGAGGCCCTTATCCCAAGTATTAAATATTGCTCCTTTTATCCGACCCGCGCAAAGTGAAGGTACGGCACTGGGATTCAATCTCGTTTGAGATTCGCGCAACACGTCATCCCTACGCGCGTACCGTCACCCACCCGGTGCCCGTGGAGACCAAGCGTTAGGAACGCCCGTGGCAATAACGGAGAGTATTTTTCCCGAGATCCCTCCCAGTACCCGAAAGAATGCTCGCAATAATCGTGCCTATGTGAATACGACCGAGGGCAGGAAATTGTGGGTCGGGTTCGACCAGTTCCGGTAGTCGAGACTCAAAAACTGCCATAACGGCGACGAGACGCTCACTTTGCACTCCAAGGCAAACTTTCTCAAGGAAGGTTCTAGGTGAGCCTTTCCGCAAGGACGAAGACGCAAGATTGCGGAGTGCGCCTGCCGGGCTCCGTACCGGCATCCAAATGGAGAGCGCCCACCCGTGGGGGCGGGAGTGTAGAGTTCTGCGCCGGGCAAATTGCCCGGTTCTGCCGGAAACTCCCTTACGGACTGAGAGGTTAAAAAAAAGAGGTCCATTTTCTGTTTCCCCTAGAGCGGAAAACCCCTTGCGCGCACACCGCGTCACCGGCGTTGCACCTGCTGGGTCGGCATCTGTCCTGCGTTACGCCGGCCTCGCAAAGCGTCGGAAATATGCTCGGGAAACGAGTGTGCACAAACCCCGATTACGCAATGTGCCCGAAGTCTCTTATCTTGCCTTAAAATAATGAGAGCCGACAGCTGTCGGGAGAGGGTGGAAAAGGAGCGACGCCGAAAGAAACCGTAAAAAAAGTTGTACTATACTCTGAATGTAAACGCGGCCTACCTATAACGTCTCTAGTCTACGTTGTAAATAGCAGCAATGTTTGTGATCGCGACGAGCTTGTACATAATGCCGGCAGCCCCAGTGTCAGTCACATTCCCCCGGAGCAGTTAGGAAGTGTCGTGTCGTCTGTCACTCTCGCTTTCGAGGAACTTTGTTTTTTAGGGGGGCAAAATGTACAGTTCTTGTCTATATTTGAAAAACATTTACAGATGTCTCCCACTGGTTCTGCAATCCTCGTTTACTTAGATTTTATCTCATTTTTTTTGCCAGACGACAATAAGGACAATTATCTTTAGCACGATGGCCGTTGTACACGTGTAGCGGTGCAGTCTGGTTGTGGCAAGCCGGGACTCTATGCTGAAACGGTCGGTAAGATGCGGAGATACGTACAGTGGCCCAAGTTTTTAATAATGTAGAGCGAGTGTCGACCGCCAGGCCGGCCAGCGCTGTGCCGCGGAAGGGTTGTGACATTACGGGAGATTAGGCGCGTCCGCACAAACCTTTGTGCGGTGCAAGCGTCGTCTGCCATGCTAATCCGTTGACCGCACACGGCCCCTGCTCCAAAATGTAGGGCAGTGTACTTTCGGGCTTGTCTCAATACACAAACCGGAAGTAGACTGCCCTACAGTTTTCTGCACCGGTACAGGAGGCGCAAGTCAGCTACTGTTTATCCAATGCCCACTTGTCTTTCTCTCTGCTTCTCTTATCTGTTGGTGGAGGAAACGTCTGAAGAGCGTGCGCTGGCATGAACAGTGGTGCAGTGAGTGTACGCTACGCCTGAGGAGCATCACCCAAGCAAGCGCCCTTCAGGGGCCCTAATCTGGACACTCGGCGAAAAAGGCGGCGACAAATCTGGCGACCGGAATTGGCCAACGCCGTACTTGAACTTGGCACCGGCCAATCATAACCGCCGGATTTCTGACCGACGTTTTCGCCAAGTGTCCAGATAAGAGCCCCAGATCTTTGCTTAGCTCTGCCAGCAGATAAGGAGCAAGGGTCGTGCGTGGTTAAGGGAACAGCCTAGCAGACGACGCTCGCACCGGAGAGGGCTTAGTGCGCACGCGCCTAATCTCTCCCGTATCGCTGCATCCCTCCGTGGTACGGCCCGGGCTGACCCGGCGGTGGACGTTCGCTCCATATTATTAAAAACCTGGGCCACTGTACACGACCGCGTTCCAAATCTCGCTTAAGTAGATTGGAGTTCCTCTTGCAGGTTGCATCTCGCGACACCGGACGCAAGTGGGTTTCCGAGCATCAAGGTCCTTTATGCTGGAGCAAGACCGAGCAAATTTTGGAACGCGGCCCTCCCAAATAACTTCCTTCGAAGGGTTGATTGCTCGAAACTAAGGCGATTTCCTCGCACGTAACTCGAGAGACCAGGGTTGGCAGTTGTTCGCCGGGCTAGTGTCGCTACCTTTTGTGGTGTACTCCACCGCTACTAAAACCGTCGACGGCCGGTCGTCGGAGGTACGCTACCCTGGCGCAAAATGTCCCGGGTGGCAAAGCGTCTTTCCCCCAAAAACTCGCGTGCAGTTTGTTTAAAAATGGAGAAAGGGCATATGCCGGGCCATAGAAAGAATGTGCGTGTGTGTGTGTATGTGTTTGCGTGCACGCATTCCAACTATTCTAGCAAAGACCAGAAATCTGTTAAAGTGTGTCGCTGTATCTAGTCGACAAAAAATAAAAGGCGCGACATAAAAAGGAACTTGCCTCTTTCGTCGTTTATTTACCAGCGCACCTCCGAAGAGAATCGAGCCATTGTAGCCACGACAATGGCACCGGTTGACCGCATCGACCGGAAAAGACGAAGGTTGCGCCGGCACCCAGAGGCCGCGTCAGCTTTGCAGCCGCGGCACACTCGCGAGAGATTGGTCGCAAGCGGGGTCTCTAGCCGGTCGAGCTCGCATCTTTTAGAGAGTTGTACCTTCGAACCACGCTCGTGCGGTGTATCGGCCGCGCAATGACAAGATTTGGTCGTCAAAAGATAAAGGACGACGCTTTTGTGCGTTTGAAACGTGCGTGCTTCGATAATAGAACAAAAACTTAACTACGGTTTTTGATGTGAAAATGAGTATTGGGAACTGTATGCTTCTGTGCTAACATTCATGCAATGCAACTGGCGCTGCGCTAAATAATCTAGATATGGACGCTTAAATTTTTTCTATTTTCTCGCGTTTTGGTATTGGCTTTATTAGGGCCTATCGCTCGTAGGGCGAGGCCCGATTTTGTGACCCGCAAAACTTGCCATCTTGGGGAGGAGCGACGAACCAAATTCGACTGTCATTTCCAGTCGGTAGTGTTCGCTTATCCCCCGCCGTGGCTAGGCGACACCGTTTCTGCCCAAGTCACCATTGGCCAGGGCCCTGGAATTGGTACAACTGAGCTAAAAATAGTGAATTTAGCCAAAAAATATGGGCGGCTTATCTTTCGGCGGTTGGGAATCTCTCGGGACGTTACGGTAGTTGTTGATGTACTTGTTATCGTCGTCGATGTTGCAGTTGGCGATGTAGGGCGTCCGTCGTCGACGTTGCCAAATCCAGGAAAAAGATTGCTCGCACCTGCGGGAGTTGAATTTGGGTCCACTGCGCGCGGAGGCGTTAGCACTGAGCTACGCCACAGCATTAACGAGCCACTTTAAACTTGGGGGTTTTGTAGTAGCCAATGCTCACTGCAGGTGCTCTCTTGGAGAAAAAAAAAGAAGTTTTTTTTGCACCGTCAATGGGAAGAGCTCGTGCCGGGAGATGCGCTTTCCCGCGCTCCGGAACAAAGAAACAAGCGTTCGGAAGAAAGTGGTCGAATGTCTGTTTCATTCCGAACACTTTTGTTTGTGTGAACGTGACGCCGGTGCCTAACGACTTGGCCGTGACGGGACTGCTAAATTTTTTATGCTACCCAACGGATGATGACCACCGAGGGACCAGTCGGGCCGTACCCTCGCTCGACCAAACGTCCAACTGGTCCTGCAAATGTCAGAAACACGGCCAAACCCTGTCGGGCGCCGCTCGCGTGAGGCCGATTGAGTTCGGCCGCCTTCGTGCGCGACCAAACGTCTGGTCGGACGTTTGGTCGCACGTGGGCAGGGCCCGACCGGCCCCTAGTGGTTACTGCACGACCGGTGGCACGAAGAAACGCCCCGCAAGGATGCCATTCTGCGGTCCTCAATACGCCAAAAGCGACAGTCCAGACGTGAATGCGAGGCTCCCAAAAAGTGGTTCTGGCAGGGCACAGGCTGCCACCCAGCTGCTGAGAGGGCAGTTGGCTGCCGGGCGGTCTGATGTGCCAACCTCTAAACTGTAGATACATATGACACGCCCCTCGTCTTACAGGATCTTCTTCTGCTCACACTCTGCAGGCATTCCACCTGGCATTGGGCAAAGAGTGCAGCAGTTCCCGAGCAGTGTTGGTCTCACCCCGACGGAAACTGCCGTCCTTCTCGATTATTCTATAGAGTTGATCTTGCAGTGTTCACGTCGGGGGTTCCCAATTCTCGGGAGGTGTTCGTGACCGTAGAACCCACATTTGGGGCACGAGTTTGGGAGAGATGCCGTCAAGTACTCCAACAAGCGCTGAACCAACTGCAGTGCGGGGCAACCGGGGAAACCGTGAAATTCATACCCAAAAGTGTTTTCTTGTCACTTTTATATTCTCCTCGTAACTCTGAATGAGACCAAAAAAAAAACGGACAAAAACCTTCAGCTAGGCATTTCAGCATGCACAAATGAAAGTCACAAAGCGGTACCGAAAAGGTTGCCGCAAAAATGCAGGAACGACAAACGTCGCGCGAGGATGCGAGGAAATGGCCGTGAATCTCGCGCGATGTTGAACTTAAAAAAAACCTCTAACAAATTTGACAAAATCATGGACTCTAGGTGAGTATATTGAGGGCAGTTGCACACGGTAAAAAAAGTTTTTTACACTCATAAATAGCTGGCATAATGCACAATGTAAGTACTATATCAAAAGCCACCTAGGAAACAATCACCAAAATACTGCGCAACCTTAAATAATACCAAAAAATACACTCGTACACGAGCAATTTTGCCGAAAAACTCCGACAAATCGACGTAAAAATGCCTCTCGCACGTGAAGCTTTGCAGGACACAAAAAACAACACAGACAGATTGGCGGGACAATGTGGGTAAACATCTGAAACGCAAGATAGTGAATAGGAAAGGACATTCCGTAGTAATAAATAGTGAAGTAACCGTTTTACGGCCAATTCTAAGCTGAGGCGACGTTACCTTGTCCGATGTTTTGCTGCAGACTACAAAAACATTCTTACAGCAGCCTCGCAGAATAGCCGATAGAACTCTAAAGTGCGGGCAATTTAATGTAACCAAATGAAATTTGTCACGCTGTTGCGCCACCGTTGCAGCAATGCACTTCGTATGCCCATTTGAGGACGTGCCTAACAATGTGTGTTCATGGCAGGTCTTAAAAAAAGGGGCAGACTGTTCTGTAAGCTCATTCCCTTCATAATCCCTCTGGCAGTGTCTTAACACCAGTAGTGTCAGACTCTAGCGAGAAAAGTCCCGCGTCAAATGTAATCCAAAGCCACAAACTGTTGCAAATATATACGATTGGAATTACTGCAAAGCATTGTCTGGTTTGCAGCACGGTGATTGGCAGTGTACCGTCTCGGCATTGCCACTGCAGCTAGTAGTGCCTGGCAACACTAAGATGGAATGGATAGTGCGAGTGATTCCTCTCGTATCTTAGAAGGCACAGTTGGTACAGTAACAAGTTTCCTCCAGTTCTGAAAAGCTCCTCAAATTTGGCTACCTCTGGTGTCTTTCACGAGAATTCCCAAACAAGCCCAAAGGTCGTCAACAACACCCAACGAGTAAACGAAAACGTTTCGGCCGGACGTAATCTCGCCGCACTTGCGAAGAGAGTTGCAGATCGCGGAATGAGCTAATCCAACGTTCTAAGCGCGAGAGAAAAACACTGGGATGCTGTGCCGCAAGCACCAAAGTAAAGAAAACATATTGCACATAATGCTCCGGGTGGCAGCCGGCACGAGGCAAAGACTCAAAGAAAACCGAGATATTGAGCATCTGCAAAGATTAGAATGATACAAAGCTCAACGAGTATCACCGGCATTTCAATTTCAGAGTTGTTGCAATGTTGCGGAAAAAGTGTTGCGTAAAAGCCCTATGAGAGCTTAACCTGGGAAAGTGCAGTGATTGAATCAGCCTCGAAAAGGCCCCCATCTGGTAGCTGCTCAAAAATGAGTACCGTGTCAGCATTTGGTGAGGATTCAAATCCAATCGCACGCTTCGTGCCTGAGAAACGGGGACCACCAATGTTACTCTGTGTGGGGGGGGTATTGCCCGCCCCAATGTTCCGTTTCAACGGCGGTCAACCGATCGTGCAGCCACTTCAAATTCGATCGATCGTTTCGAGACTTTGCAGCTGGCACCCTCGTCGCGAATCGGGAGACGACTTTGTGCCGGAACATTGTTCTGCGGCGAGGCGGCAAAAGGTAGAGGCACGTGGGTGTGGCTTCGTAGTTGCCGACGCTCACAATGACCGAAGCAGCTTCGTAAACTTCCCGTCTGTCGGCTGCACGAAGCTGTCCGAGGGCCGAAAGGAAGCGTATGATGCGTGAAATCGAGATTCAAACGACGCGATCGACGTTGCAGACGGGCGCCAAATGATTCCACCCGCTTAAAGCTGTCAGGAGTGGAATGTAGATTCTGCGGAACAGCCCAACGTAACCGTGCGCAGCTAAAACTTGCATACCCCGAGGCTACACATGCACACACATACCGATTTGTACGAAGCTCTAAAACAGAGGGGAACCCTATGCCACATATATGCAAGAATCTGACAGTAACATGGGCTATGTACATAAACAGAAAGACGCGCAAATTGAACCAACCCTTACGCAGCAAAGCGAAAGAGATTCCAGTCGAAAACGATAGTTGCTCGAAAGACGAAAGCTGCATCGAGTTCACGCCAGTTGAGCGTGGCGCATCCAAACGAACAATGAAAGGAGACGATGAAGATTGTCACTCGTAACTGAAGCTAACAATGACATTAGGCACAAGTGGTGACCGGCTTGTTGCGGTCACTGGATGTTTCGAGAATGGAGGCGAGGCATTCTGCACAAGTCTGTCGGACTGCGCGGACGAGTTGGCACGCTTCACGTTTCCTGGAGTGAGGGAGACTCGCACGTACAAAACCAGACCCCAGGTCCGGAAAAGACCCAAAGCGGGCAGAGGGCATTGCTGGCCCTCAGAGAAGGGTGGCAGTCTTGAGGTTTCCCCTGAGCACGGTGTCCATGGCCACCTGGAAGACCACCTGAACGTTGCTGGTGTCCGTGGCGGTGGTGAAGTGCGGGTAGACCAGCTTGCCCGGGTCCCGGTTGCGGCTCTGGAACCGGTGCTGAATGAACAGGGCCCCGCTGTCCACGTCGTAGTCCGGCCCTGCACCACACGCAGGCCTCACTGGGCTGCACTCCGGGGGAAGTGAGCTACGCCCTAGGGCAACCTCGCTTCGATCGCTCGGTTTCCGAGAATCGGCGGAGTTACTGGCTTTTGCAGACATGTTGGACCAGCCACAGTCCGTCACGCTCGTCGCTAAAGCGACTTGCGACGGCCAATCAGATTGACCAAAGCAGTCGTGGCAGCCCAGAGAGGTGAACGCAAATGATTACGGCGCGGTTGCACCAATCGCCCAACGTAGAGCCGAGGCGAAAGTCTTTGAAAATTGGGACCGGAAAACGCACCTTTGTAGTCCGGCAAGTAGTAGCGAAGGTGGCGCTCCGAGTAGAGGATCTTGTCGCGGAACAGGTCCAGTTTGTTGAGGAACAACACCTGAAAGCAGAACGTCCCGTCGGATAGATATGAAGCAGCGTCCGCGTAGGCGCATCGCGACAACAATCCAGGAGTCGAAACTTAAACCCTCGTATTAAACCGTTTTTAAAGCGGTATTGCGTTCGTACGGAAGTTAACTCGGACATCGCGAGCGTCACGGGGCAATGCAATTCCACGCGCAACGGTTCTTCACAAGCATCGATATACTGCCACAAATAATTGTTCAAGAACCAAACTTACCAGGGAAGTGTCGGTGAAGAACATGTTGTTGCAGATGGAGGCGAACAGCTTCAGGCTCTCCTGCAACCGGTTCTGCAAAGTTGGAGGTTGTTGGAAGACGGAAACTTCCAAACCGCACACGCTTCGGGGACCGGGCAATGGGCACTGCCGGCAAACCCCGATAAACGTCCCGCATCGCATAAGTTGGTTCGATCGTTTTTCTTTTCTTTAAACGAGCAAAGAATGCGTTTACATAAAGATAAAATAATTCTGAAAAAGGACGCCACCAGCATAGACACAATTTCTTCGAGACTGGCCACGTACCGCACCAGACTCCGGGGCACGAGTACAAGGGATGACTGGCGGTAAAACGGCGTTGACGGTACGTTCTCGGTCGACCCGGCTGTCACATTGGCGACAGCTGGTTCCCTCCTTGCGGGGGCACGGTTAGTATATTCCTGTTTGTTGCATCTGCCTCCCCAGCTGCTACGTGCGAAGACCTGAGCCGTCTTTGTTTTGCTCCTCTCTGCACGCCCCTCGCTCGGGCAACTGGGCACAAGTCCGGGCCGGGCTTTCGCAACAGCCCCTCAGTCTTCCCTTTCTCCGCTGCACTTCTGCCATCCTCGACTATGCCGTTTTGTTTTGTGTGGAGTTCAAAGTCCGCAATCATACACCGCAGGTGCACGAAGCTTCGCTGCTTCGCTCTGGCGCATCAGGGGCGGCGCCCGACGCAGGGCTGCCAACCCGTGGGAAATTTCCCAGATTAAGGTCTATGTGGTAATAAGAAAATCTTGCTAGTTACAGTGGAGCTGTTAAGAGCTAGGTTCCCCAGGATCGTGTGTGGTACCAAATTGATGTCGACACAAACCTATAAAAACTTCTGGACAGCTACCGCCATCTATGAGCAACGGTGGCAAGCACACAACCAGTCTGGTTGCCGCCCTCGCTGATAGATGGCAGCAACCTTTCCAGCGATTATACAGAGTGAAACAAGGAGACGGCAGGTTCTTTAAATCGACCGCAAAATTCGGTTTCCCAACCTATCACGCTGCGACTTTGTGCAGCGTTGCCCACAGATGGTGCATTTTTTTCATAAAATTTGCAAAGAGCGAACTTACCTGAGGAAAAAGTAAAGAAAGAAAAAGGCTTAGCTCCTACGGAAACGCAGCGACGCCACCGGTCTTCAAACAACACGGCGCCGTTTCGCACGGGAGACAAGAGATGGCGCAACGAACGCCGCGAACGAGCGAGCATACGGCGCCGAGAGCCAGCATCTTTAGCAGACAATCTTTTCGACTCAAAAGCAGCGCATGTTCCGCAGGCGGCGACAGTCGCAGAAACAAAAACAGGTGCGATAACGACAAGGAACTGCAGTTTCTTGTCTGGTAAATACGCTGGCTCTCGCCGTCGTCTGCTCGTTCGTTGGTGGCAGTTGGCGTCGCGACCGCTTGCGCCATCTCTTGTCTCCCGTGCGAAACGGCGCCGTGTTGTTTGCAGACCGGTGGCGTCGCTGCGTTTCCATAGGAGCTAAGTCTTTTTCTGTCTTTACTTTTTCCTCAGGTAGGTTCGCTCTTTGCAAATTTTACAAAAGAAATGCACCATCTGTGGGCAGCGCTGCACAAAGTCATAGCGCGATAGATTAAGAAACCGAATTTTGCGGTCGATTTAAAGAGCCTGCCGTCTCCTTGTTTCACCCTGTAGAAGAATGGATAGTTGGGCGCGTTGGTGGGAATTCATCGTAGGAAACAGCGCGAAAAACGGGCGAGGACGAAGAAGAAACACACCTGACGAGCGCAGCGCACGTCACGTGTGTTTTCTCGTCCTCGTGTGTTTTGCATGCTGTTTCCTACGCTCTTATCAGTTTCAATTTGGACTTGGGATGGATTGGCCGCGTGCCCTTCCGGGGAAAGAAGACTTGGTGCGGAAGGAGTGGCGACGTGCGCAGCAGCGCGAATGGGTCTGCAATTGACGCGAAGCCACTGTCGCCTCCACTTCCACTCCGTCCACCGCTTCACACTCCCTCGCGAAAGAAGAGCACATCTCTCGCCTGGAAAGCCGCCCTTGAAAACAGAACCAGCGATGTAAACGGCGCCGGCGGGCCAACGCCACCGACAACGATCGTGCCACGGAGGCCAAGCGCAAGCGCGAGGCCCGACGACGACGGCGCTCCATCCCGGCTGAATGGTTCCCGGGTGCGACGGCGAGGTTTCAGAAAGAGTTTGTGGAGAACCCATTTGACGTGACGTGCGCCGTGTGCGACCGACTCTGGTTCGCCGGAGACGTGTCCACGATCCACGGCGTGTTGGACGCGAAAAAGCGGGAAACGGGCGCGTTGTGCAAGTGTATCGAGTCGGCGGACGTCTGCAAAAAAACCGGTGTGCAGAATAAGCCGAGATTCCCTGCTCAAAGGCGTGGTGTCCCGGTTTGCGACTGTGAACGGCTACGAGGGCCCACCCGTACCGGAGCACCTACTAAGGTTGAATGTAGTGGAGGAACGAGTACTGGCGCCTCGACTCCCGTTCGTGAGCCTTCGGCAGTTGACGTGGTATAACAAAGACAACCGGGGACAATACGGTTCTCACATAGTCAATTACCCAATCACACCTTAATCCTTACATTTATAAATACCTCATTTACACCATAGTACAGCTCCGCTGGTCTTCCTTGTTTACGAGAGCGGAAAGGCTGAAAGGTTTTTGAAAGGAAATTTTGGGCACCATATATTTATTTGGAATTTTTTAGGTCAATTATGATTTTATATAGAGATAACATCGAATGTTAGCGGCTTTGGCTACATTTAGGCTATTCCCTCCAGCCACTTGGCGGCAAAGCCAATTTTCATCTGTTTTCATCGCCCCCTATGGAGGAAGGGATTAACCGAGCAGATGCTTCTGAGCGCGCCACTGTGCCTTAGTACAAGAAATGTCTGGAGAATCCAGACTTACTATGACTAGTAATATTTCGTGAAGTGATGTGCACGAAATGGTAGTTACTGGGTGTTGCGTTTGAGTTTGAGAACTCTCGCTTGGGTTACACCATTCGTTTTGGACCGACTATTATAAAAAGCACTATGGAAGTTATTAAGCAGTACCACGTTCTAAAAGCGTGCATAACATTTAAGGAGAAAATAGGGTTTCACTCGTCAGTTTGAATCTACCGCAGTAACACTTCCCGTCGCCAGATTTGCTTTGGTCACGCTTTTGGCCCAATGAACTCAACTTTGGGAAACGTACGCAAGGCATAAAGGCTACACAATATATCTCTCATCATAAAAATGGAAATGATGCGAGAAAGAACAATGAATATTTAGTATTACGGAATTATTTGGGCAAGCGAAGGAAATTTCGCAGAAATAGGGAAATTTCAAGCATTCGCTAAAGAAAAATTTTGACTTTCTGTGTTGGCAGCTCTGGCGGCGTCCCAACCTGCCAAAGCTTCCGTAGACTGCCTAGCCAGAGAGCAACTTGCGGCGGGACAGGCGTTTGCTACACTCATCGCTCCTGCGACGACGCAACACGTCCGCGACGTGCCGAGAGACCACTTTTAGTAAAGATGCTAGTTGGAGACACATTCGGGGCAATATAGTTGTTGGGAGACGACAGCCTGTTGGGCTTTTGAGAATCAGATGGTGCGCTAGGGTGCGACTGTCGACAGTTGCAAGCGCGCCCAGAGACGCCCACCCACCACGCTGGGGTCCTCCTGGAGCGTCATGTCGTAGCCGCTGAGCGCCACCACGTACAGCAGGGCCTTGACGTCGTCGAAGCACTGGATCCACTTGCGCCGCTCCGACCGCTGGCCGCCCACGTCGAACATCCTGCGGATCCGCCGGGGTTCAAGCGCGCTCGTAACAAGTCGCAACCGTACCACTCGTTGACGCCCAAGTGCCGACGGGGCCGCACCTTCAAAACGACAAAGGATTGCGGAAGTGCGAGCGAGACCTAGAACTAAACACAACGTAAACGAAAACGACGGGACGTCGTCGGTGAAACCCGGCCACGAGTCGAAATGATGAAATGAGAGCTAAGAGTTGGAACTGGGAAGCACTTACCCCGAGGTGGGAAAGCAAAACATTACATTAGCCGTAACTCGCGACGAGCGTCGACCGCAAATTTAATGACGGTAGCTGGTCGATGTGGTACCCTGAGCGCATTCACAAAATTGGGGCACACATTCTTGAACTCTGCTCGCGACACGCTCTTTGTCAGCCTCCTGCTTCTCCTCTTACTCGGGGCCATTTCGGGCCCGTCCATACTAATAATAACAATAATACTTTATGTACTGAAAAGAAAAAACACGCAAGATAGTATGCTGGCCCACAAGAGCAGAAATGCTTATGCGTGGGTCCAGCTAGTCAACAAAACACTGCATACATCATCACACAAAGGTTAAAGGGCGACTCCGGCCAAAATTCAAAAGGAAACAAATTACTGGTATCGCTTTAGGGACACAAAATACGACCCCAGCCAAAATAGTATGTCAAGGGGACGCCGCATTTCCAACTAATGCCGATAAAAAAAATGCGACCCGCCGCGAGCAGCCGCTCCTTAGCTGGCCGCCAGCGAGTCACCGATCGCTAAAGCAACCTTGGGCCGCGACGTCCACCATTGTTCTCTTTTTTTCCCACCCGGCCCGGACGGGCTTGCCCGTTGCGCGGTCGAGCTGCGTAAAATGCGCTTCTTTGAGATGCCACCGCTGCTACTTCGGCTAGTGCTTGGCGTGTTTAGCTGCTGCTTTTATCTGTAGCCCGTAAGTATAGCCTCGAGCGGCTAGTTTCGGTTTTGTCGATCGCGTCCCAAACAAAACCTTGAGGCGTCGATATCTTTAAAACTATGCACAATACCGAGAAAAAAAATTACATTTTGTAATTCAGGGACGCTGACTGCACTAAAAACAGTCATAATGCCAAAAATTGGAACCATGGATTGGAGTTGCCCTTTAAGGAAGAAACTGCGTACTAAGCAAACGATTACAACATTTAATCCACAGGTAGTCGCAGCGAGCGTTTGACACCGTTCTCTAACGTTTAGTTTTACCGCGCAAATGGATGTTAAATTACATAAAGTTTCAGGCAACGCCCTAAATAATGCAGGGACGTAATATTTCCTTTCTTTTTTACCGTAAATGGTTAACAACTTGCCAGCGCACCCCCACCCCCCTGTTGAAGGAGAGAGGCGTCCGAACGACACTGCCTCGCCATGGACCGAGTGTGTGAAAGATTCGGTCTCATTCCTGACAAATGTCGCGCGACGGCACGGCACAACGGCAGCTCGAAAAACCGTCCTTTTTCGCGCATTTCCGAAGGGGCAAGATGCGCCGAAAGGCAAAGGAGATGCGCAAAGCACGAGTCGAACCCCGTTTCCGGCCTCGTTCCGCCGGCCCGCTCCCCGAGACTGGCGTCGCTACGCACGCGACTCCGAGGACGCGGCGAGAGAGAAGGCCCACGTGCCTGAAGACGATGTCGTCGATCTTGAAGTGGGTCTCGATGATCCCGTTGGTCCTCACGCGCGCACGCAGCACGTCCCTCGGCGAAGGCACATACTTCTCCGAGCAGATGCGGTCCATGTTCTCAAACAGGCTGCGCGGCATGGGCAACCCACGGGTCAGTCGCTCCGTTCGCCAACTCGCTCCCACAGATCGACATAAAGACGAGGTTGGTCGATCGACCAACGGAACAATATGCGAGCTGTATCTGCAAATACTTCAAACACTTCCTACAAATGGAGTGGTGGATAAAAGAAGACTCTTTTCGGGAAAAAACGGCCAGCCACGGTGGCGGATGTCGGGGATAGCGAAAGACACTAATTAGCGAAATAACAACCTAAGATTCACCGATTCACTTTTATATTAGCAAAAATTAACGTACGGTTTCAATGAGAAACTTGTCGGGCGTCGTCAAAAGCCCCCAAATCGGTCAATTTCAGGAAGGGTCGAAGCACGGGGGTGCGCTAAATTTCTCGCTCGTGCGGCCGGCTGGAAAACCGGCGACGTGAAAACGTGGACAATTTTTGTAACGTTCCATGCTTTCGCTTCGGCGGCCCTTTGCCCGCAATTTCCGGAGCCGAGCAACGGTTGGCCCCCCGCGTCGGGACGACGGGACTCACTAGAGGGCCGAGTCGTTCAGCTCGTACTCGAATCCCCTGGCTGCCGCCAGCCGGATACCCTTGTCGTTCCAGAGGTTCTTGAGGGCCGAGCCCACGAAGGGCAGCATGGCCGTGCCCTCGTCGAAGCAGCACTGGCAGCCCAGCACCGTCTGGGCGTACGCCTGCAGAGAGATGGTTCGGGTAAGGGGCCCCTCTTGGAGCCCCCGAGCCCACCCACCTTGTTCTTGGGATTCTCCAGGTTGATCCGCAGGATGCCCATCCCGGTCAGCACAAACTTCATCGAGCCCAGCAGGTTGTCCAGCACCGTGGGCTGCCGCGGGAGAGAGGTCAGTCAGGACTCGACGGTGCCTGAAAAGCGTCTTGCACCTGCGCGTCCCTCGTCCAAGGTGGTCCTCGAGCAGCAACGAACGACACTGCGGCATGTCGCGATCCTGGTGGTTGCGTGTACCGAGTCCCAGTAAAAAGTAACAGCGAATGGGAGCGTTTTTCCGTTGCCAAAGCTTTCATGGACTGTCAAGCTCGAGCTCAACCCGTGGCAGAACGGGCATTTGCCGACGCCTCTACGACATCGTCGGGCGGAAATCTAGGGACCACTTTTTAGGATGCGGTAAACACGCCGGTCGGAGAAGCATTCTGGGCATTGAAGCGATGGGGAAGGACTGCATCGCGCATTTCCGTTCTACGAACGCTTCCATCCCACTACACGTCCCTTCCTTCATCGTCCCGCAGATATCCAAGCTCCCTAAAGTGTCAGCATTCTTCCTTTTTTTTTTTAAAGAAATACGACGGAGTGTCTAGATTAGCCCAAGGTCGTCCACGTCTGTTCGTTAGTGCTATACGGCTAAATTCAGTCGGAAATCCGGAATCGACGCATACCTATACGGCGATTCAATTTCCCCGCTAAATATGGCTGGAAGCGTTTTTCCGCAAAATTTTAGTGGCAAGGCACCAATCGGAGTGTAGCTCGCGTTCCCCGAGAAATGCGAGCGGCCGGACAACAGAAAGCTGGACGACGCCGGGAGAGGGCGTCCCCACCCTCTGCCCGACTGGGCGTGGCGGAGGACCTTGGACGCATCCCTCACCCGGAAGCTGCGCAGCTCCTCGTCCGAGAAGCCCTCGTTGTGGATGATCTTCATCTGCTTCACAATGGTGCTCTTGCCGCTCTCGCCCGCACCTGGACACCCGAGGGTCCGACCGTCAGGATGCGGCACGCCGCGAGACCCACTCCGTGTGCTCGCACACCACGCCCGGACCCCTTTTGACGGGCCAACCAACCCTTTCCCAAACTCAGTCTGGCATCACTGTCGGCCGACTAGGTTTTTGTCGAAGAAAAATTGGCAGCCCCCTCGCCAGGGGAGGAGGCAAGAGGTCGTGCTTTAGAGCGTAGCTCTTAGGCGCCCGTTTCCGGCTTGAGCGGCGTCGCCGTCGGCGTAGCTGCATGGTGCATTATGGGACGCGTGAGGTCACTTATCACGTCATTAGTGATGATGACGATGACTTCATCCTCACCGATGACGTCATCGTCACTGATGACGTCATCAGTGATGATGATGATGTCACGTGACATCACTGATGACATCATCACAATGACGTCATCGTCACATGACCTCACAGGGGTCACGTGACGCCACAAGGGTCACGTGACCCTCGTGAGGCGACGGCGCCGCCGCTCGGAGGGAGGAGTAGCGGACAGGATGAGGAGGTGAGGAGTGGTATAGCCTCCCTCACTATCCTTCTCTCCTCCTCCTCTAGAGCTGCGCTCTAATTCGGCGTTACAGGGAGTTGTAAACGGCTTTCATTTTTTTGTTTCTTCACAATCCCACAAAGGTCGTCCAAACGACATCACACACTGCCTGACGATACTTACAAAAATGCCAAGGGGAAGCAAATTGATTTAGAAGGGCGAGAGGAAGAATCACACTTTTGGTTTCTACGCTAGGTGGCGCGAGCTACCACCCGCTACGAGGGGTACAGCCATTAGCATCTATCCATCCATCTCGGGTGTATGGCATTGGTGCCAGACTAGAGGCAGCCCTCTTAAAGTGGAGGAAGGAACAAGCTGAAGATACTACTGAGCGGAGGATGCATGAGGCCCAAACGTTCCGAGACGCCGGTACCACTTGAAGCACGAATTAGATACGACGGCTGCGTAAGCGCTCATTTCGGTGTGTGGTCCAATCAATCAATCTCTCGGCACAAGTATGGCTCCAAAGCCTTTTGACGGTGCAAATTTAATCGAGGCGCTTGTGGGTAGCCACTTTGTACTGGTCGGTTCTTATGTTCATACTGTCGAAACTGAAACGAATTGAGAAAGAATTGTGAGGTCATCGAAGAAACAATTCTCACTTTTCGTGCAAAAGTGACAATGCCCGATGAGGTGCAGTTTTATGAATGCCATTAGCTTGTCAAAAGTGAAACTGCTTTTCGAGCCACCAGGTGGAACTAAATATTGAAAAGGGTCCGTTTTCCCCGTGGACTCGATGTTGGCGACGCGATGTTGCCACCAGAACTCTAGAATATTCTAAGAGGATGCGGGCGATCCGGGACGCGAGACTTTCGCATGACTGATTGCGTCGACGACATCGACAAGCAAGGGTGAATCCCGTACCGTTCTTCTTCGCTTCGAGCTCTTTTTGAGGATCGATGCTCTTAAAGGAGCTTTTAGCATTCCCAAAGCTATTTAAACAGGTAGAAAAACCTCGATTATTGCATCTACATAGTGTGACAGAGCCACATTTTTAAACGCTGTTAAAACTTCAGTTTGGGCGAGGTTGTTCACGAGTACTGTCCGAGTGTTCTGTGTGTCTGTAAGCTTGAAAAACAGTTCTTCTAGGGCGCCGTAACGTCGGCCATCACCTTATTAAAGGGTCCGTGCAACATTGCGTCGGAGTGTGTCCCATTTTATGCGAGCTTACCGACGCCCGTGTGACCCGAACATACTCGCACGCAACTGACCAAAAAGCATTTCCGTTACAGTGGAATTTCGAGAATAAACACACACTTTTGGAGTCTCTGATTCGCGAGACTTGGTGACAGAGTTGTGGTAATCACGGAGTAATTTCTCCACAACTTTGTGGCGACGATAACCGAGAGTGGCTCGTAGGTTCAACATGGGCACCAAGCGAGCGCTTGATTCGGGCTCGTGACAATCAATGTTTCGGCTCTCGTCCAGGTAGCGGCTCTCGTCCGATCGCTTTGACGACGGGAATGGTTAAACCCTAGCAATGTCCGGAACTCGGAGAGTGCCCTGCACTTTGCCAACCCCAACAGGTGGTCACAGTGAACATTGACGGCATACAACCGCACCGGGTCACGGGGCTGCTCATTCTAGCTGTGAGCCCAGGTGTTGAAGGATGCTCATTTTTCTCCGACTAAGGCCTGCTCCATAGCTCATAAATATCTAGGACCAATTCCAGGCAGCACTTATTGAAAGTATGAAAGCCGTTTGCGCTGCCCCTTTGACGATAACCAGTGTATAGTCACGGACGGTAGGAAAAGGCCCAGGCAAGTGCATGGCTCCGAAAACCTCCGATGCTATCCAACGAAAGAAGGCTGCATTAAGGCTATTAGGTTAACGAGTGGCATTTCAGTAACCGTTCCACCTTTGCCGTTACTCCCCACTTAATCGCCGCACGACTGCCGAGTCAACACCGACAGTAGCGGCGCTCGGTGAAATAAAATAAATACCGCTTATTGTCACTTATTCCTCAAACTCGTTATCGAACGCCCAAAAACTAATCGCTCAACGTGCCTACCCAATGGTTTCAGCCACGCTCGATTTTACCTGGAGTTGCAGAACGCCTCTACGTTCGGCGTCGGCACGAACTCGGCGACAGCTCGTCAAGCGAGGGGCGACGACAAAAACTGTTTGGCTGCCGAGGCCTCGACAACAGTAGAGTTTTCTTCGGACGGACAGCGACTGCTAAGCCAAGGCTTTGCCCGGACTTTTCCGTATCGATCGTACAGAGCTGTTGCGGCTCGTGGAGGCGGGAGACTGTGGCCACGGGCAAAGGTGGCCCGTGCACCCACCGAGGAGCAGGATCTTGATGACGTTGCGCTCTTGACGGGCGAGCTCGGCGATCTGGCGGTCGATCTGGGAGCTGCGCAGCCGGGCCCGGCGCTCCTCTTCGTCCTGGCTCAGGCATGCCCCCATGCTGCCTCCATGGCCGAGCACTCCGACACCTGCGCCCAGCAGCGGGCCAAAACAAAACGGCCCACAGTTCCCTAGTCGCAAGATTCTCGAAAACGCGCGCTTGAACCCCGCTGCAACGGAAGACCCATAAAGGGCTGCCCAAACAGGACGGGTTTTCTGATTTCACGCCGTGTGCCCCACCGGAAGCTTTCTCTTTTCTGATCTGTTCTCGCGGAGTCGATGTGTTTGAACATTCACTCCGCATTGCGGAGTTGATGTTCAAACTGAGAACGGACGAGCGCGCCGCGACTCTCTTATAAAAGACGTGTACGCTTATCTCTTTGCCGTGGAAGTTTTCACGGTGTCCTGCTTGGGCAACCTTTCAGACGATGGGCCGTAGGCCCGCGTAAGCTACCCGCCTGTGTACAAAGAATGCGGCAAAGCAATGAGCCCGCAGTCACTGACAGCAGGAAGAGCGGGGAACCTCGGCGTGCGTACAAACGCTCGTAAAACTCTGCCGTGTTTTGTTTGCAGGGGGGCGACTCCTCCAAGCAACGAGCAAAACGACGCAGGCGAGCACGGAGAAATCTAATAACGGACGACACGAACTCCCAAGCACTCGACTCAAAAGCGATGGCAACGGATCGCTACGACCGTTGCCAGTACGACCCGAGCTTACGTGCCGCGCTGGGAAGGCCCGAGATCTGTCCATGCATGCACGTGGGAACAAAGATTACGGCCTCGCTGAAAGTCGAGTCCAGAGGCGGCGGACATTTTTAAATTGACGCTCGCGAAAAGATGTTTTAATATTCACCCACGTTTTGCCAACGTATTTCGAAGCCGGGGATCTTCGCAGCCGTCCGGCGGTCGAACACGGGCAGCTCGTAAATCCTAGAAAAACACGTTGCCCCGCAAATTTCGAGACGAAAGTACACAACGTGCCGAGAGCGCTGACACAAGGCGATGCAAGTTGGCACAAGCACACAAGCCACAGGCGTTCTTGTTGACATTCCCAGAATGCTTTGCTCGAGGACGCCAAGGGAGATGCATAGAAAGCCCGTCATGTGGCGCGTCGATCGGGGAGCGGCGCGCCACCGCCCGATCCTAGGTGGCGTAAGCTGCTGCCCGATCCAAAGGGCTCAGCCATATTCATCTATCCATCCATTCCTCCGGCGGAAGGGTTGCGTCCATGTTCCTGTCGTATTTTTTACCCGTTCTTCGTCCCTGTTTATCTGCCGTTGTCCTGTCATTTACCCGTTCTTCGTCCCTGTTTATCTGCCGGTGTCTTGTCGTTTATCCGTTCTTCGTCCCTGTTTATCTTAGGCTCTTTTTCATCATGTTTAACTGTTACCAACTGGCCCAAATCACCCCCCCCCCCCCCCCCCCCCCCACACACACACACCAGGGAAGAGGGCAAGAGCTCCCGAGCTCTTATCAGGATTCTCTTTGTGCCTCCCGGATTTGCACAGACGTCGCTATTCTCCTCTCAGAAGATTACAGATTAACCCGTCACTCAAAATTCTTACAAAAGCAGCTTCCCTCTCCTCCTCTTACATGGTGGTCAAAAGTATGCGATGCGACGTCAGTGCAACCCATGTATGAAAGCGAGAGGAAGTTACAGGTGAAAGTTACCTTGGCTACGTGCCCGCCGGACCAATCAATTACCAGTCAATCACGTGCCACTCAGTGGTTTGCACCAACTGCTCGCTGCGCAGGAGGCAGCGGAGGCGTCCGCCATTAAAGGGATACTACAACGAAATTTCGGCGCTCATTTTTTTGGTCTATATGTGTTCAAAAGAGCAGTATCACATGGAACATACCAATATCTTGTTAAAAAAGTCTCGGAAAGGAATTTTAAAACGAATTAAACGATTAGCGAAGAGCACCTGGTGGATGTCGCTAACGCCCCGTTTGTAATGCCCGTCTAGGAACCTTGACAGCTAGTGACGGAGGTTGTCTCGTCTCCGGCCACGACGAGAGAAGGCAGGAAGGAGGAACTCCCCTCTTCCCGAGAATCCCTTTTGTGTGTCGCCAGAAGTCGCTATTGTCCCCCTAGAAGATTATAGAAGATTAACCCGTCACTCAAAATTCATACAAAAGCAGCCGCTTCGGTGGCTCGAACAACTAGGCCATCCTCTCGACGTCAGCCTCGCCGTAGCTTTGCTCGTCCTGAGACGACCTACGTCACGATTGCGTTGGATGTCACGTGCTCTAAGCTGGGCCTTCTCCGAGCGCTTGCCAGAGTGGGCCGTTTATAACGAAAAATACAGCCACCAGGATCAAAATACAAACGTGCGATTGTCATTTACGGATATTGTGGATCATATTCAACCTATTTTTGAACACGACGGGAATATTTCAAATTTCGTTGAAGTATCCCTTTAAATTGCAAACGCTACCCATGGTTTCACTTGGAGAGCGTGCTGGTAAGGATAATATAAGTAATGGGTAGAACACAAGGACGAACGAGACGATTTCCCGACAGACGTCTGGTGCCAGTTGGGAAATCCTCTTGTGCGTCCTTGTGTTTTCGCCATTATTTATGTTATCCATGGTTTAAACAGCGGCTAGTGCTTGGCGCGAAGGGGCAGCCGGTGCCACGGCTCTGGCCGGTGCTACAAGCTGGGCCAAATACTGGCAGGTACAAACTAAACGGCAAAACTATATCTGGTTGCGTGTACCGTACGTTTCAGTTATGTTCTGCATGCATTTACAGTCACAAGGTGAAAATTTTTCGCTTTGATGTTTAACTCGCTCTCTCCAAGCTAGGTGGTGCCACCTGTGAGTCGGCATTTCCCCCATTTCCCTTCCCCAATCGTCTCCCGAAAAGCTCGACGGACAAAGCTCGAAATGGGAGGAGCAAGGCCAACTCCAAGATGACACCGTCCTCCCCCGGTTCACAAAGATCATCAGCTGTGCAGATCCGCAGGGTTATCCTCGAGGCGGCCAGCTAACCCTTCCTCACTTGGCGGCGTGTATCGATGACCAGGTCCTAGGGAGATCCTCCCTACGTCCGAGCTCTGCGGGTAAGCCCTACTTCCGTCTAGGTTCTGGGGTGGCGTCGAGGGTTAAGGAGACCACCGCGTAGTTCTATTCATCATAACCAGGCTGCAGCGCAAAACTCTTCGCAAATAACGCTCCTAATTTACTGCCGTTCCATCGTGTCCAAGGGGCCGCTTTGAATTCAACGGGCAACGCGCGAATTTCTTTATTTATAGTACTGCAAGTAGTTGCCGGGGCCATCATGATCACAAAAGAAAGCTTCGATGCGTCATATAATATCCATCGGCGGGCGAGACGAATATCACGCACACGAAACGCAACTGTCCAAAGGTGGTCTTTCACGCAAGACACGGATGATGAGCAGGCAAAGCACGCTTTACAGGCACGTTTTTTATTATCTTTTTTTTTTTCATTTGCTTTTACTTTGCGCAAAACAGAAAGTTACGTCACGAACCTTTTCGAGACGCATCCAATAACGGAAGTAACGTAAAAGGTAAAACTTAAAAAAAAAAAAAATAAATAAATAAAGAAGATAAAAAAATGTGGGAAAGGTCGCCTGCGTGTGGATGGTAATTTTTATGATGTCGGTACGACCGATTCCTCGATGCTCGCGAAATTCTGTATGTGCGCGGCATCTAAAACGTTTCGCACTTTGCACGCAGTTCGTTTAACGGTTCTCTTTCTGCGAGTGAATATTACCGAAAGGTTTTATTTACGTGAAAGTCTGGGGAACTGCGGACCGACACCGCATCTTAGCGCCCAAGTCGACAGCGCACAGCGCCGGTTTTCTTGACGACTGCCTTTCAGCTCCGGGAAATAGACGAGGCTGCTCGCCCGTGCAACGCTCTTGCAGCTCCCCGTATCCAAAGCGGAGAAAACAAAACATTCCCGGAAAACGCCCGCGAGAACGTTAACGGCTAAAACACACAAAAAAAAAAAAAACACGCACACGCGCGCGAAAACAAGAACAATTAACGCTAGGCAGAATGACAAGCTGTCCTGCGGGATTATATGGAGTGCGATCTGCATTGCACGATAACGTCCAACGATCGCTTGCGCCCCCCGCCTTTTTCCTCCTTGCCCGAGGTATAATGAAATTTCAGTCCTTCATTTCGCAGCCGTGGAGGCAATCGAAAACGATGCGATAAAAAAAGCGAGCAAAATATAAAATGCACCGAAGCAAAACTAAAAAAAAAAAAAAAAGGAAAGCCGGAAGCAATATATGTTTTATTTCTTTCCAAGTTTTTGTTTTTTTCCCCTTTCAACAGGAGAATGATATATGAACCGAACCTTCTTCTTTTCCTTTTCTCCCTATTTTACACCCTTTATTAGCTCAAGTAGTGGTTTTGGCCGAATATTTTCGAATGGAATACGGAATAGCAATTCTGCGAGCCTCCCAGTTGAACTTTTGTTGTATTTAAATTTTTTCATCAAAGGTTGTTCCCAAGCTTCTGCACTTCTAAGCTAATCTTAATTTCACTATATGGAGATGGGTTTCAGAAAGCAAATGCCTACATTGATGGCAAGTAAATGACGCGTATGACAAAACACATACAGAGATGGCCAGATAGGTTTAATCGAGGAGATTTATAAATATTCTCGCTATATATGCAAACATCCTTTCTTAATTCCCAAATTCTAGAAAAAAAAAAAGGCAACGAATAAAGCGAGTTGTTAGGACATATCTGGATAACATATACACTGCCTTATAGCCAGTGTAATAAAACAAGCACAAATCACTCTAATATAGATATCAATATTCACAAAGTCTTCGTTTCTTTTTAAATGCACATACCATCCCGCTTTAAAAGTGCGCTTTCCTCCTAAGCATGCGACTGAAATATATTCCTGTATTTCGAAGTCTCGATCGCGACGGCTTAGCCCCTTTGAGTGCGCTTCTTGCCGAGCACCGGTGAACTGCGGAGAACAACAACCGCAAGCGAGCTCCGCGGGTGTTGCTTCTTCGCACTGCACCGGTGCTCGGTAAGAAGCGAACTCAAAGGGGCAAATCCGCCGCGATGGAGACTTGGAAGAATATGGATATCGCAGGTAATCTCAGAGTGAATATCGTATTATTCGGAACTATATACTATTCGAATATTCGCGCAATCCTAGCTTATTCTCTACAAACGTTTGGAAGGTGGTGCATACCTGTTTTCTTTTTTTGTAGTGCCACAACGATTTGGTTGAAATAAATAAAAAACTATCTAATCATTTTGAGGTTATGTTACCCGTAATCGAGGTCAGAGTTACTGGTATGCTTTTGCCGAGATAGTAGGGAAGATAATGGGCCCCAAGTTTATTTATTTATTTGTACTCTACAGCGCCGGAGCATTACAGCAAGGGAGTGGGGTACAGATCACGTCTATACATTGGAAACTCGCACAAAAATGGCGCCTGTCGGTCGCGATTACATTGTATGCGTAAAAAGTGCGATGTTTGATTCCGACGTCATCAATTTGAATTCAAATGTGTCACAAAACCTCCTGCTTCGAAACATCCCATGAACCTCCCTGCACAGCGATTGTACCTGCTCGTCTGAATAGGTGTGCTCTTACTGGTCGTACAATCAATATATCTCATTACCAATCACAAGAATTCGGACGCGTGCAAATAATTTCGGGCGCATGCAAACTCGAATGTTTTCGACAATTATGCTGATTTGGAGAGGCACTCGTGCGAGGTGCTTACCCTTTCAGCGAATTTGTCTTTTTGCTTGCTCAATAATTTACTTCAGCGCGTTTTAGATCCTATTACGTTGTGCTTCATTACAGACAATTGTATTTATGGGCACAGAATTAAAGAGACAATGTCGATGGTGAAGCAGTCCAGTGGTTCTCTACCCTTGAAGTTTTGAGGACCCCCCATCCACCAGGGAGGAGGGGAGAGTTGGACGGTTACAACTGCACAAGGGTCAATGTAGAAAACTAAATGTGTGGACAGCATCCTTCAAACTCTGAAACGGGGAATAATCAACCTTATTCACTCTACACACGTTTTGGTCTCTTTTGCACTGTGCGACAGCCAGCACCAATAAAAAACAATTGTTTTATTGCTCAACTTGACTAACAGTATGTCGAGTGATTCCTTGTTGCACACTCTTGATTCTTCCATCATTTTCAGCCTGGAGCACCCGTATCTGGCATTATTGCGGGGGTAAACAAATGTGAAAAAAAAAAAAAAAAGTTTCTGCATTTGCGGCATAAACAGTATCACCAGGCGGAGCATTACATTCCCTAATGGTCTTGAGGGAAAAAAGAACTCTTATCCAAGTCCGTCCCAGTCTCACATGTACTCTGGAAGCATTCTTTACGTTGCAAAATATACAAACAAACGTAGGGGTGCTAGTAAGCTGGTGCATGCTGTACATTATGAGGCAACCTGAGAATCAGGAAATACGAAAGTTGACATTAAAAGAAGGAGAACGTCTCAAAAGACATTCTCCTTTTGGTGTCAACTTTCGTATCTTCTCTCTCTCAAGTTGCTTCAAAATGTGCAAAATAAAACTTGAAGGTAAAAAGCTATGACAAACCGTCGATGTTAGTGGTTTTACAAAATTACGCAGTCTAACCTCTTTAGAGCAGATCTGGGTACAGTAGGCGTTTAGTCACAACATGCCGATTTGTGAAGTTTGGTTGGTCTTCCGCTATGTCACTGAGCCAACTTTGCCGATTGCAGATTTTGTTATGACATACATTGGAATATAATAGACTCTATTAGGGAGTTCGTAAGAAATCCACAATTCCATTGCAGCAGACTCTTCAACAGCAGTCCTTATATTGGACATCACTCGGCTTTAATTCGGTAGTGGTGGCATCCGTTTTGCGAACTGCTGCCTTCGCGTGACCGAAACCGCCTGGCGATGATCATCAGTACAGCTTAACAAAATCACTAGCTGTCAAAGTTTAGAAATTTTGAACAAACCAGTTCTTTCCTAATAATCATTCACATTTCCTCACTGGTTCGACCAGAGTCCAGTCATAATGAACATCAAAGTCTCTAGTATGAGTATCTGCATTCTGTATACTCTTTTTACGACAGACCAAAGCCTTGGCGCACTATGGCCTATGTTGCTGCTGCGCCAGAAAACTCCAAATTCATTCATTCATTCACCAAAGCCTTTATCCCTATAAAGGTCTGTTAGAACGAATTTACACTGTGTAGCACGAATTAATTTTATCCCAACTCTTATATTGTGTCGGTGATGCATTCATTCCCCACCCACCTCTCTTCTCTCAGGTACGATCCGAGCCAAAAAAAGCAAGAGCGGAAGCAGCGCCACCGGTCGTCCTAGCCGTGGAGGCGATCGGAAGCCGACGGGCGACATCCGAAGCAGACTCGTAGGACCACGATTACACGATGAAGCCTCTCACATTCACGCGAGACATAATGGTACGGGACAGATAACGGCGAAAGGTGTCGCGGAGCTTCGATTCGGACCGCCTGGCCGAGATGGCGCCCCGCAAACGGTCTCCACCACTCTACCCGCGCCACCGGGCCCTCTACCCGTCCGGCAAGCGCGCCGTGGACCGGCGCTTCCTGTCCGTCTACATGGCCCTGGTGTTCTTCCTGCTCTTCGGCTGCCTGTTCCTGTCCCAACTGGTGTCGGACGCGCCCGGGGCCGTGCTCGAGCCCTTGGACCCCGGACTCCTGGAGGAGATGTTCCGGCCCAGGTCGCCGTCCGACGAGCGGAGCCCCCTGGGCTTTCCGGACTCCTCCGAGTACGACCCTCCGGCCAACGTCAACATGTCCACCCTCTTCAAGATGGCCGAGTCAAAGCCGGATCACTGGCAGCGAGTCCGCAGGTTAGAAGTTCGTCTGCATGCTCGCAGTTGCTCGACCGACCAATGGCCCCGGAAATGGACTTTTTTGAAAGGTGCGCCGTACATATACATATATATTCGTTTATTATCACTACAAAGAAGTGTGGAGAGCAGAAAAAAAAACCTGCAGTTGGAGCTTGACAGGCCCCTGCCCCCGTATAACAGTCCTACAAACAACCTAAAAAATTGTGCTGGGTCAACGTACGAGACAGAACATTGGCAACAGGTAAAAGGTCCGTCTTTTTGTTCACATTTCTTTTGTGGGCGATTTTTAAAATTGCGCGAGGTGACGGAGTCTGGGTCAGATACCGTAAATGCGATACATTCTGTGGAGGCACTTAATTATTGCGAATAAAACTTATCGCCGAATTTTGTGGCGAGTATGTGGCATATTACCCACCCAACTAGTCTATTGAGCGGCTTTGAATCGCAAAATTAGCTACTGCGTAACGTGTCTGAAAGAAATATTCTGGCCCATTTGAGATATTAAGCGCATGAATATAAACTCATTGTTGCCACTTAGCGACGGGTCTGGAGGCGAGACGATAGTTTCCGCACGTACAGTTGTTTTACGAATGACTTCGGGAGCTTTGAGTCTATAGCTTCGCAAGGTGTCGTCTCGAGTGTGCTACTTCCAAGACCCCAGAACTCTCCACTCAAAAGCAACACCGTATGTCTTTCTTAACCGAAAACTGTAGGCAAGTCAGAAGCAGGAAGAACGCAATGGCAATTCTTGCCAACTGAAGCCAGCTTGCCAGACTTTAACACCCACCAATTGATATTGTCAAACATTTACCGACATTTATTTATAGCATCTTTTGCCAAAGGAATGTGCTGCTGTTTACTTTCCCTTTTTGCTTCGGTTTGATTCGAACATTTTCGCGCAGTGTTTTATAGAATTGTTGCGTTTACGGAACTATCTCGAGCCGCTGAACTTTAGGGGCCAGAGGCTTTGTCAGGCACACCTTTTTCTTTGCCCCCATTGCAGTGAAATAGCGAAAAAAAAAAATATTTCTTCATCACAAAAACTTGATACTCCCTGGTCGTTAAAACTTGAGCGCAGCTTAAAATAAACCCAGTCTTTATTAAGGCGAGATTGCCAAGGTTGTCCATTCGGAATTGAAGAACACTTTTAAGCAGCCTCACAGTGACCGGGGCAAGTGTGCCTCCTCCCGCCAGGACCAATGACCGGTTCTACGTCTTCTCGGCCTACCTGGACACCCGGAGGGCGAGGGCCGTCCGCATCATAGCCGCGGCCCGCACGCGGCTCACGGACCGCGTCGTCTGCCGCCTCTTCTGGAAGACCACCGACGGCAGGGAGTTCCAGGTATGCGGCGAGGGGCTCGGCCACAGACGGATGCTTGCGCGGTTCCCTTTGAATTGGGCGGCGACTCGCGCCCCAGCCAAATAGTATATTTAGTTTTAGATCAAATAGTGTTTGAGCCAACTTTAGTGGGACTACCTGTCCCTCGATTTTAGCCGCCATTCCCCTAATCCTCTTTTAGCAAGCTCTACTTCATCGAAACATTTTGTTTCAGCATTGTCGTAAAATCCCGGGTCCCCGAGGAAGTGGGCCTCTTGGCGCAGTGCCCTTGGATGGCAGAGCCATTTCACAACGACACTTTTGGCATTTCAATTTCCTCCCCGCTCATAGTACCCATCTCTCGGTATTTGACGCTGTCCTAGTTCTCAAAGCTCTTGTCCTAGCCTCGAACGATAATGCACTTCCTCTAGAGTTATCAAATGTTCTCCTTTCTATCCGTTTTCAGTCCTGTATATTTCTAAAGGTAACTGCCGCCCCTTGCCCGTTGGTGCTCCACCGAGGTGAAGCCGACGCAGACGCTATCACAGTATATATGCCGTACGGGAAGTTTTCTCTCGTTTCTGGTCCGGTTTTGCCTTTCTTTTTTTCTACAGGGAGCAAAGCTTTCTTCCACTTGCGTCTTTGAACGCCTTTCACTGGCGTCTTTAAACGAAGGCTCAGAGCGTGCTTATCGCGTGGGTTTGGACAGCCACTCGCATGCTCTGCTGGCCGTCGTCGACGCCTCTGCCATTGTCCCTCCAGAAAACGACAAATATAGGTAGATTCACTTGAAGCTATACAAAACTGATCCATTCGATTTATATTTTCAAATTATATAATCAAACCGCCAGCGTTACTATTATGAAATGTAGTCTCTTTCTCCCCAACGTATCGACTCGTAAAAAATAAGCCCGACTAAGTTTATTCCATAAAATCGATTACACCGAGGCCACACTTTGCAGTAGGCTCATCACACCTCCTCTTTGCGTTTCACCTAGGCTCGATTGTCAACACAAAGTCCCTCGTGCTTGCACCAATCTCTTTCGCCCCGTCCTCCAGCTACAGCCTGCGACTGGAATGACGTCCCTGGTCCCATAGTTTTATTCACAGATCATGTTCATTTTAAAAGTGCCTTAGATTGTTTCAGTATAACCAAGCAATGCTCATGTTTTTCCGCAAGTTTCATTCCAATTTACGGGTACCCACTTCCCCCTACGTAATGCCCGAGGATGAAATAAAATGAAGAGACAAGAGCAAGGAGGAAAGCTGCACCGCTTGCGTAGTCGACGTTCGACGAGCTGCAACTTTAGCATCTCTCTTTCTCGAGAGAGAAGCGTACGCCGTTGAGAGATGGCCCGGGGCAATGGCGGGGGGTGCCCGCAGGCGACGACGGTGCTGGCCTCCAACAAGCTGATCCGAGAGAACTGGAACCTGCGCTACAGCGCCTTCTTCCTGCTCTGCCCGCTGCCGCCAGGCATGACTGGGGAGACCCCGCTCTGGGTGTCCGTGCAGCGCCTCAACGACCGGGCCCTGCCCCGCAATGTGCTGCTCGTCCACCGCAGGGACCAGCACCCCCGGCCGCCCGAGGAGCTGGCCGTCTGCGTCAAGCCCATTCACTACGACTACAACAAGGTGCGCCACCTGCCCCGACCGGGCGTCTCTGACCGGCGCGTCCGCCCGCGCATCCAATGTGGTCCAGGCGACAGACAACGTCGCAAAAGCCGGAGTGTTGCGCCGTCGGACGTCGCAATCTCGGCAATTAGGCTCTCGAGAAAAAAAGCGAGGGAAAATCCGACTGTCGTCGCGGCATCCCAGTCGTTGTAGCTTCCTTGAACTGTTGAACCGGAGAGCGACATGCAACAGAATCGGTGTGTGTTATTGTCCACCACCGCCGGCGTGACGCTTCTATTATGTCGTCGGGCGGAAATGGAGGTTTCTTGCATGCGGTCAATGTGCCGGTCGGAGACGCGTTGGGAACAGAGCTCTACACGGGGCCGGGCCAATCCGAAATCCTGGGCCGGGTTGCACGGATTGTTTCCGGGTCCGGACCGGGCCGGGCAGCGCGGATTGCTTCAGGGTTTCTGGGCTCGGGCAATGGCGTAGCACACTTTCTAAAACATTGAGATGAAATTGCTAATGCTTTGATCGTTTCGATTCGAAAGAAACGAACAAGCCGATTTGCGAACTCGCTACGACGCCACTAAAATAATCTTAGAAATAAAGAAAGCTGTTTTGGACTAAGAAAGTCCACAAGAAGATACGGAGAATCCTGGGGATTTCAATTGGCATAGTGGGACAGCTGCCAGCAAGCAAGAAAACGAGGGCAATCCTGTCACAAGGGACAGTACAATTATCCTTCCCTTTCCTTTTCAAACTCTGAAAAAAAAAAAAAAGAAAGCACTGTTTTGCTATTAAAGATAAGCCATATGTCTTTTATATTTGTGCAAGCTTTCGAATGTTCCCCCTGTGACTGCGATATGACAGCATCTTTTTGGCAAATTAGTAAACGAATCAAATGCACAAACATCTTCCTACGGCAGCTTTGAATTTAATAGATGAGGCACGCTTTGGCCTCTCACCGGGGCGGGCCTGATCAGGTAGACGTCTTGTCGGGCCGGGTATGGGTCGGGTAAGACTAAGAGTCAGCGGGCCCGGGCTGTGCCTCAAAAAGCAGGCCCGTGCAGTGCTCTAGTTGGGGGCACCGTACCGGAGGCAAGGAGTGCAATGCCCCTCCCCCGCAGGTGCTGCAGTTTGCAGAGTTTGTGGAGCTGAACCTGGCCCTGGGCGTGTCCCACTTTGTGCTGTACAACCACACTGTGGGGCCCGACGTGGGCTGCCTACTGGAGCGCTATGTGTCCGAGCGGCTGGTGACCCTGCTGCCCTGGCAGCTGCCCATCGCCTCCCAGCGGGAGATCCGCACCGAGGCCCTCTTCGCCGCTCTCAACGACTGCCTGTACCGCACCATGCACGCCTTTCGCTGGGTCGCCATGATCGACCTGGACGAGTTCATCGTGCCCGCGGGCAACATCACCCTTCCGGCCATGCTGCGCCGCCTGCATGCCGCCCACCAGAGGGCCGGGGCCTACTCCTTCCGCAACGCCTTCTTCTACCTGCAGTGGCCGGACGACCCCACCGCCGCACGGGTTGGTGCACGCCCTAAGACCATTTCGAGGCCCTCGCTTTTTTCCCCGTTGCCGGTGGACGCACGTGGCGCCGCCTAGCTTGTGTCAAGCGCAACGCCAGGGGTCGACGACGCCAAGACGTTGCGCCGACAATCGTCGAGCTTTGGCGCGTTTGTCTCTCAGGGTGGGTCGGAAATCCGCCAGCAACGAGGTCGTGCGCGGGCCTCGTCTTGTGGGTGGCATTGCAAAGAGGCGCCCCGGCCGCGGAGAATTTCCTTTTTCGCGGGACGGGTTTCTCTGCAAGTAGCCAGCTCGAGAGTGGGCAATCATGCTCATTCCCAAGAGTGGAGTCGTTTTGAGACGTCTTGTAGCCATTCCAAAACAGCCAGAATTAGTAGCAGACGTCTTGGGATACACGAGACGCGAGAGTGCAACGTGCCAGACGGCCTCACCTGGATGTCTAGAAAATATGTTTACCTATATGTCTCGAAGACATCTTTTCGAGAAGTCTCTAACTACTCGAGACGTCTAGAAGACATATTTACGGGACGTCACGGGCCAGTTGACACGTTGTGGTAAATTGTCTCATAAACAGATTGCCGAGACATGGTGAGGAAGCATAAAATTTAAAATGTAGCGATAATAGAAATGTTTTTGGGCATGTGCACGGTTGCACGCACCACCGTGCAACAAAGCCAAAGGCGGCAAAAGGTGCGGCAACGCGGGTAACTACCGCCGTACGGCCGCCCGTACGTCAAAAATGTCGTCAAAGCGTCGCAGGCGATGTACCCCGTCGATGAAATTGCTCTCACTAACGAAAAACGGCAACACGAAACGAGTTTGCCGTAACCTGCAACCTCGTTTCCAATATTTGTGCAAATTTGCAAGGAATAGCCGCTCGTAGATCGCTTCTTTTGTATAAATTTCCGCCATTGTACGTCGAAAGGTCTCGTTCGGGACTTCGCCGAACGTATTGCCCTTTGTGATTGATACGCTGCTCCTCGTCTCATCCGGTCGCTTCTCCGGCAAAACAGAATGTACAAAGGAAGAGGAATCTTGCAAGAGTCGTTTACCTCAGTCGCATTCCGGTTTGCTGGTTCAGCCTCCCTTCGACGGTATTGGCATGCCATCGATCTACGGGGCAAGCCAACGCGTCAGTCACCATTTGTCGTAAACCATAGTCCACAAAGCAATGTCCCAAAGCATCTTTTTTCGACGTTACTAGATCACTTCGCTGGCGGAACTTCTCGCAAACTGCGTATAACGGACGACGTAAAACCTTGCATCCGATTTTGTCCTAGTGGCGGCACGTCATGCTTGGGTCATCTAATAGCTGTTAGTTCTGGACAAGAGTCACACATAACCCACATATAATCGTGTAGGTGACAAAGATCAAGTCAGTCGTAGAATGCTGCGTGAGAGGAGACAAAACAATCATTTCGGAGCGATCTGTGTTGCGACCACCGTGAAGATTCTTTCTCTCCTAAATTTAAGCAAAAAGCTGAACGTTCAGAATGCTCTTGAAATAACGATTCTTCTGCCGAAACCGATTATAACGAGGTCAACGGGAATCAAAAATCACTTCACTATATCCGCTATTTTGTTATAATCGACTTCAGTTAACGAAGTGCAGAAGGGAATCTGAAATCGTGATCGCTTCGCTGTAGCCGGTATTTCGTTATAACAGAGATCGTTATAACCGGTCTGGACAGTATCCCAAAATTATAATATGGCCCTTAAAGATACGTTTGTGTTTCTTGAAGGATACCTCGAACCTTTTTGTTTACCTTCACGCGGTGGTCTTTTGGGCCTTTCAAGCTCTCCAAGTGCTTTTAAGGAGAACGAGTGTGCGATGGATGAACCGCGGGAATTCTTCTCCAGTGGCACGCGTCGCAGCAATCGCAAAGCCATCGGTAAACGCAGACGATCGGTTGGGGCCACCTCTCGTAGCACCCCCTAGGGGAAGGCGAGGCACATACGCAGCAGAAGTATCCTCTTACGGAGTCTTCTGGCCTCAATGCCCTTTGTGCAGGACCGTCTGCCGCTGGTGACGATGCGTAAAACCCTGCGCAAGGCGCACCTGCACGCCCACCGACAGCGCTCCAAGTGCATCCTGGAGCCCGAGAGCGTGGTGGAGGTGGGCAACCACTTCGTCTGGGAGTTCCTGGCGGGCAAGGCCACCGTCAACGTGGCCTCCAGCGTGGCCTTCCTGCACCACTATCGGGTGTGTGAGTTCGGCGGCAACGACTGCGTCAACGCCACCTCCGTGCGGGACGCCCGCCTCCACTTCTGGAAGCCCCGGCTGCTCGAGGCCGTCGGACGCCGCATGCGCATGCTGCGCCGCAGGGACCTCGCCTGCCCCGGGCGGGGCAACGGGACCGCTGCGCGCCGGTCCTCCCCGCCCGGTCGGTCCTGATCGAGCGGCCCGTCGCTCGGCCAAACACCGACCACGCCGGGAACGAAACAGCGGCTCGTCCTTCCGTCCGGGAACACAAACGCACGTGCGCCGCCTAGAGGGCGTTAAAAGCAACGGAACGGCTGGACAGTTTCTTCGACGGTATCGCTCCGCGTTTGGGGAAGGGTAGGTCTGGGGAAGCTGAGACGGGCGACACGAACGATTTGCACAAAGCGAACGACGCTACGCTGCCCGAATTGGTACAAGCCACCGTGTGATGTCCGGCAGAGTATCTGGGAATTGGCGGCGACGGAGTGACGTTGAATTAGGCTCGCGTTGGAGCTTGGCCGTAACCTCGACTGACGGTGGACAGCGGCGAGTGTAACCGAAGGGCTTCCGACAAAACAGGGATTTAGACGACTGAACTCGCGAGTGCGTTGGGAAAACGTTGCGTCGACCTTCTGTCAAGAAGTCTCGAACCATGGGATGAGCATTTACGTCGACGAAAGGGTAACGTTTTCTTGTCTTGCACCGCAGGACGCTCGGACCATGTGATCCAAGAACCCCAAACGTGAGTTGTGATGGAGTGGACGTGCGGTATTGTCTCGGTAACGGTACGAAGCAATTAACGAATTGCACAAACAAGCACAGAGGTAGCCACCACGCCCGACGCTTAGCTTAGGATATGAAAATGGAAGAGATGCTCCCAGGGGTGAGAATTCCCGGGACCGCGCGAGATCAAATGTTTGAACAAGGTTTTGCCGCCTTCTGCGATTGGGACGACCGACGACCGGGACGTGCGGGCAGTGCCCTTCTTGCGACACGACTCCCGGGTGCAAGCGACAAGGACTGGAACCCTTGCAAGAAAGCCAACGATGTCAGAAGACATTGAGAAGGTCGAACATTTGATGGACGACGTTCCGCGTCCTCTACGTGCGACAAAATGTGCCCATTTATAAGAAAAAGCAATCGTCACGCAGCCAAGTGCCGTTGTCCACGTTTAACGGGCGTGCGCGGTCGTATCCACGTGACGCTGACTGACGCTCTCTCGAAACAAAAACAGAGATCTAACAAACTAATGGACGACTGAAAACAACGAAACGATGATCAGTGACCACGAAGGAGTGCGCTCGAATAGAGAGACGGGTTGCGGGAACCCCGAAGGCTGCAACCATACATGAGGAAGACAGGAGTGCTTCGCGCAACCGTCCGATGCGCCCGTTTAAATGTGACTATCGAACGTGCAGGATGTATGCAGGACCCTGGTGTGTTCGCTGGTATCGCAGGGTTCGCAGTGTCACGCTTTCTGTCCGCCAATAAGCTGCGCGATTGTTGTGGGCTGAGCGTTTTCAGATCACACGTCGAAGAAGGGGAAGGGGCGGGCACCAACGTGGGGACACGAGACAATAAAATGTCAATTCAGACGGCCAATGTGTGTTCCTGGTGTTGTCGCGTGATATGCGAAATTCGTCCCAGTTTGTTATGACAACGGGAGCATAGTACAATGCGAGAATAAGCTGCACAGCCTCTACAAAAGGTATGTGGAACATGTTTTTTAGGCTTTACAGATTTGTTTTAAAAAAGTCGCAAAAGCTGCACTAATGCAGTCTGTGCAGAGGAGCAGACAAGGGGACGTCGTAGAGGGAGCAAATCCCCGTGACAAGTTGGATTATTAACTAAAATTTGTTAAGTAACTTTTTATTCAGTGAAAATAAATGTGCGGCTCCAAGTAGAAACTTGCTGAGCATCATTGAAAACCACTGAATAAGTAGATTTTCGAAAGCGATGTGAAAACGTAAATAAGAAACTGAAAAGCCGCATGGGCCTGTTTTTGCACCCGCAGCCTAGTGCCTGTTCCACCACGAACGGCAATTTTAGCGCACGACCCCGCTCCGAGTCTTTCTAAAATTGACTGATTCATTAGTTTATGTTGATGCTCATAGGGTTTGTAATTGGGACAATAAGGCTATCTTTGCTAATCAAAACGTGAATGAACAAATTTGAATCAATTCCCCGACTTACTGCACGCCCGGCAATAAAAGTTGTATTTTTCTAGATTGAGAAGAAACAATCCAATTTTCGAGTCTGTTTTCTTGCGTGTATGTCAATGATAGAAATCTAGCACTTACTTATATTGATTTATTAAATCATTATCATAATTAGCCTATACCTTTCCCTTCCCCTCACCACGAACGGGGTCTTCCATCATTTTCGGCGATCCACAAGGGGTCCGCGAAACACCAATGGTTGAGAACCACTGGTCTAGAGTAACAAACGAAACTCTAACTACTTTCAATCTCTCAGAGTCAAAAGCAGTAGAATTGTACGTAAGGTAGCAGTAGCACAAGACTACCAAACAGCAACCTGTCTTTCGATTTTTAAACGCGTTCCATTTTTCTTTTTGGGGAAATGCTCGTATGACCAGGAGGGAGGCGGGGGAATGTGTGTGTGTGTGGGGGGGGGGGGTGACTAGGAGAGGGAGCCGCAAGCTGCACTTTACCACGCGAAGAGCCGCATGCGGCTCGCAAGCCGCAGCTTGGCCACCCCCGATATATAGGGTGACCAGGCGTCCCATTCTAGCCAGGACATTTCCCTTTTAGAGGTTTGTACCAGCCGTCCCTTGTCCCATTTTTGTGGGAACTTGGTCGCAAAATCGGTACCTAACAAGTGGAAGCAATATGAAATTTGCAAACTTGTGACAGTGTATTAGAGTTACGGTGACCCTATACATTCGGTTTTGGGCGAGGGTTTTAGCGCTTCATTTTATGTCATTTTGCCTCGGAAAAGGTGCCTAATGCCCAGTTTCTGAGGGAACATGCAGTTGCGAAATTAGCACTAAGCGAACGGAAGCGAAATAATGTTCATCCCTTAGAGACATAATTTTATAAAAACAATCACACTTTGAAAATGTTATCTCCCGTAGTTTGGCAAGAATAAAACAGTACTGGCGACAAAAGCCACTTGCCCGGAACAATGTGCTCAATGACTCACCATTTTTCTTTGGCATCACCTCTCAAACATGAGTGTCCCGTTTTCTACCCTTATGGCCACGCAATTAGAGTAAGCATTGTATAAAAATGTTATTTCCAGTAGAGTATGCTTTCTAGCTTCTCCACTTGTCAATAAGCTTTGTTTGCAACAGACGTGTTTACCGGGCATTTTTCTGTATTACTGAATGTGGCATGCTTAGGTTTTGCAGAATAAGTGAGAAAATTGCTCGTGTACTCAACTATTTGAGGAAATGCCCCAGGGAAGCGCGTTTCCACGGTGAACTGAATAGTAGCAGAGCCACTTCTCTCTCTCCCCCTCTTTTTGATGTCCGTGTTCTACACTGAGGGGTATGGTCACCCTATCGACATCCCAACTAGCTCAACTCTCCACATTACTTCACGTAGAAAGCACACTGTTAGCCAGAGAACATTTAGTCCACGAATCGGCCCTTGTCGCTCCCGTGTCCCCTTTCGGGACACAGTGTCCCCTTTCGGGACACAGTGTCCCCTTTCGGGACACAGCAGACATAAGGCAGGAAGCGACACGGTCTCCGCCATTTCAGGATTTTCAGAATCTGGGCGCAACAGACTGCGTGCCAGCACCGCGCAACGGACCCACTGACCCGAGCTGAAAATCACGGTGGCCGGGCAGATTGCCACACGATCGCCCTCGGCAACGTCGGAGTACCGCAAGCCCGTTCCACGACGTCGTAAGCGTTTTCGCCGTCGAAGCGGTCGAAGTACATTTGAATTTTATAATTTAGATTGGATTGGATTGGATTAATAACCTATCTCAGAGTGTAAACGGTGTAAATGTCGCAGCCGGCTGCTAGAAGAACACTTCCATGTTTTGGTGACGCTTACCGCCCTGATTCGTTTAAAATTCTGAGAAATTATTCTGAGAAATCTAGAAGGCCCGGGTCGCCTTTTTCCAAAGCATAAATTTTAAAAGTTTGGCGGATTCCGTGTGTGCACTTTGCACGGTCAACATTATGCACCACCGTACACAACATGGCGACTGCTCCAAGTAAGCGTCGTATGCCCTTCCGTACTTTCACGCCGTATGGGCATCTCGGTATTGCGGAGTTTATATTGCTCCAGAATTTCAAAGGTCGACAAAATATTGCTCTTTCGCTGGATCACTTTTCGCGTGAAAAAAGTCGTGCAACCCAAAGGCGGTCGTTGTTTCCTGGGGGGTTGACCAGCAGACGCTCTCGCGTACGGGCTTTCTGCTTCGCCTCGCACGCCCTCCAGGACACAGTTCGCTCTTTGTGCTAATAAAGATTTATTATTATTATTATTATTATCGCATTAACAGCAACGACTAACTTGCCGTTCTATCTTTGTGCGTGTGTTTGTTTACCTTCCTGCACAGCCATAGCACGCCACCCAGGATAACATTCTTGGCGAATAAATATTATTATTATTATTATTACTTGTTTATAAATTGTAAATCTGTCTCCCATCATTACAGCTCGCAGAACTGCCTTGCCTACACGCTACAGGTAATGCGTTAACATTTTGCAGCACGATGAACATTGGAGCGAGTTTTGCCTTTGTCTTTGTGCCCTCAGACACTACGAGCTGCGGCCGAGTGGCGAGAACCATCCCGGAGACGAAGCGTCGGCGGGTCGCCAGCGGAACAGAGCAGATTCCCGACGTCGCTGTAAACGCGCCAACGTGGGCCGCAAGTCGAGTGAGTTGGGCTGCCCCTCGTAGAGCCAGCCGGCAATGGCGGCGCCACGAGAGGGCTGCATTCAGCGCCACAAGTGGAGGCAGGTGTGTTAATGGGGCGGCCAGTCTGCCCGTCGGCCCGTGACGAGCGGCGGCGACCCCGATTGTCCGCGTCTACACGTGCGCGCCGTGTCCCTGGTCCTTTTTAAGACCATCGGCAGCCTTGACAGGTCCAAGTGTTTAGAGCATATTCTACAAATGAACGATGCTAAAGTTCAGGCTTGGGCAGGGTGTAAGATAGACAGGTGGGGAAACGAGAGCCAAATGAGCGACCGGATTGTGTCCCCCTCTAATTTCTCTTTTTCTGTGGCGCCATCTATGTGGAGCACCGCGAACCCTCACTCCGGGTGGGCGACCGGTGGCGACCGGCTAAACTGACGGAGGTAATTTCTCGCGGATTTTCAATAAAGGAATGTCGTCCTCTCGGTTTATTTTGCACACTCTCCCATAAAGTTCCATGCAAATTCGACTCCAATTTTTTTCCTCTCGCCGCAGCGCCATCTGTAGCAAGGGGGGGGTACCCGCTAGCAGACGAGTACACAATCCGGTCACGGCGCTGCGGTAGGCTTTATGGGCCGTTTCCCCACCTGTCTATCTTACACCCTGGGCTTGGGCGAGTTGGTACATACTTCGGAAAAGCGCTACGTCCGTGTCACTTCCTTGTCTGGTCCTCGTCTTTCCGCGCTGTTTTTAATTCCATATTCTACAGTTGTCATTTGGACACCAGTTGGAGTTGTCTTCACCACTTGTAGGGTCGCTCTATAATAATTGCCGCCCGATCGGTCTGTGCTTCGCTAGTCTCCCAGAAAGTGACACAACACAACGAGAAGGCAGTGAATCGGTTTACTGTATTCCTCGGCTGCCCGTCTTCGAGAGCCAGCATTCCGGACCCGCCAACCCTAGTTGTCGCCCGTCGTTCAGAGCTCGCACTCGGAGTCCGTGTCCAGACCTGCGGATCGTCCTTCCCGTGCGCCAGTGCTGCGTAGGCTAGCTGTTCGGGGCTATCACAGCCAGGGCCTCGCTGCGGAGCCACCCCGGGATCGCCATGGCCCAGGCCGGTATGGCCAGGGCTCGCCGTTTCCGCCGGTCCCTATCCGAACCTCGTTGGCGGAATGTTCCCGGGGATCGCCATGGGCCAGACCAGCCAGAACGGCTCTGTCGTTCCTGCCCGGCCCTCGTGCAGCACGCTCTTCCTCTTTCCTCGCCGGCTGGCCCCCGCTCGTGCCTCGTTCAACCGTCCTCTTCTCCCGACGCCCCCACACACTAAAATAAAATGTGGCTAATTAGAATCAAACTCTGCATGCTCTTTAGCAGTACACAAGCCTGGTGTAAAAAGGCAACAGGCAACAAAGTGTTTGTGTAAAAAGGATATTTATGCTTTGCACGGAGCTTTTTCTAAAGAAAAACTTTAGCATCCTGTTTTCTGCACGCCGTCACATTTGTTACCAGACTCGGCATTAAATTTGGTTGCTGAAACAAGATTTAGTGCTACAAAAATCCAGTATTTGAAAACTCGCAGGTTTGGGAGGTTTTGGTCATGACCGCGCGTGCCAAACGGCATTATGAGTGCCGAAACGAGACGACGGGCCTCTCGCTTGAAGACTTGGTTGCCCGATTCTCGACGTCACAGCGAAGCCAACAATCGGCCTAAATTGTTCCTACCATATTTCCCTGTGTGGCTGTCTAAATGACTCGTAATACAACTTGTATAAATATGTTATTTTGCCATGAAGTCTGCAAAACTAGTTTTTCAGATTACTTTCCAAGCCAGTACATATATTTTTGTTCACTCGAACAATTTCTGTAAAATTCCCTTACTTGATGCGTCGCACTGCAGCAATCCACTCCTGTCGCCGTGTCACTTCCCAAGATCTTGAAGCGAAGATTTAAAGTTTGACGCTCGAGTCACCTTTGCCACTGTGACATTCTTCTACGTAGCAGTAGCGACGTTTATTTTTTTGGGGAACTCTAGGAGTAGGTGAGATGTCACAGGAACCCGGTGAGATCATAGAGACACGAAGTTTGAACTTGCTTTTACGAAAAACGGTCTCAAAAAAGCTCGCGTCGATCCAAAATGCCACATTTACGCGTGGTTTCTAAATGCGCCCGGCCGCAGTCCCCGCGACCCGCGTCGTCCTGGCCTACCCACTTTTTTATTTTGCAGCCTCTAGATGGCGCAACGTGTAGTGCCAAACTGCATTGCCGGTCGCCTATACGTGGCTTGCACGTGACGTCAGTCCACCCTTTCTGAAAGGGTAAACAGCGTGTCGGTTTAAAAGACCGACACGCTGCTGTTTCCAAAAAAGCCCCCATTTGCCCGCACCAGGTGTGGGCACTGCGTGTTGGCAAGACCAAATGTGACGTCACGCCTCTGTTCTGATGTTTTTCGGTGGCGCTGTTGTTGCCATGGCGCATGGGCAGAAGCTTCACCTCGTGCGAATCTGGTTTCTGCGCTCGCACACTGCCCACACCTGGTGTGGGCAAACTGCGGGCTTGTCTGGAAACTGTGTGAGCGAGTAAAGGGCTGCCAGTGCTTTCCTTCTCACCGAGCGGTTAGGAACGGGCAAAAGACCTCGATGAACGCCTTGGGCGCGTGCGTTACTCCAAGTTCGGTTGTTTTCTTCGCGGTTTCCTCTATTTTATTCTACTTCCAGATGTAATTAGAGCTAGTGGAATCATTGACGGCGATCCCTTGGTCATTGGGACATCGTTGTCCGGTAATAGGCAGCACGAATAACGACCAAAAGCACAGAATATTGTCGGAGGACGTCTGTATTGCGCACGGGATCCGACAAGGCAGCTGGCTGCAATGTCTTCAAGCGCCTTTGCCCTTCAAATGACAAAACCTCCGGTGCAGAAGGTTGCGTCAGTAAAAGGAGATAATTTACCCCAACGCCATCCTCTTGAGTGTGCTCGGAACATTTCGCGAATATAGAGTGCACCAAACCTACCACTGTATACCGTCGATGAACATGGGCAGTGTTTGCAAGGTAGGTGCAAGTTTTCTCGTGAGAATCGCTGTTTCAGCTTGTAACTATTAGTAACTTAGTTGATCTTAATGCTCCTATCTTGCTTTGGTAACGTTAACTCAATCTTATCATCTACAATGCTTAGTTGAAGGCTCGTTTCCCCTGCGGGTATGACTGGGAATTATTGAAAAGTTAGTTCTATCAGAGTTTCTTAATCACAATCTCCGACGCGATAGCAGAGAGTCGTGACCTAACGTTAACCGTCGCAGCGCGTCTTCATATTTTGCAAATTGGTACATAACGTAGCTGAAAAGAAGACTTCAATTTGTATTGCTGAAACATGCTGATGCATTGATTTCGAATTGCTGAATCATTGATCGACTCGCTTTGGCAATAGGCCCATCTCAACTTCGCTGTTTTCAGTTCTAGACAAAGGGCACGCTGGTCGACACAAAATCCTCAATTCCAACTTTTCTAAACATCTGCAAGCTGGAGGGAGCTGCTGTCGATCATTCCCTGCAATTCTCTTTTATCGCGCATCTGTTTTAAAATTAAATACAAAAAAGAATTAAACTCAAAGGACAAACAAAATAACGCACTTGTCCATCCTTTATGTTTTATACTCTCTTGTACTTAACTTTATCACCAATGCACTCAACTAAAGTTTATTGTTCATATTATATTTCATTGTTGTGGACGACACGGATTGCCAACATATTTTCAATGTACTGCATCTAAAACGACAAAAAACCTGAAGAAAAATTCAATCGCTGTTAACTTAAAAAATGTTTTGAGTATTCTCCGATTTCAATCGGTGACGTGTTCAGTGTTCTTCTCGGCATCGCCACACTGACACATGCCATAATGCGGGGAAAAAAATGTTCCGAATGAGTTGAAAAACGCTGTCCGTGGCACATAAGTAGACAAGACGCGCCCCAAGTCAAATACCCAGCACTTTGGGACACTCAACTAGCATGCCCAACGCGGGAGCGGCGTCTCGAAGGGCACTTTCGCCAACGTTTCTAACCACTCGGCATGGCCGCGGAATCTGATGCTCGCTAGATGGCGCCACAGTATTCAAAAAGACGCTGCTTACAATAAGGTGGCCCTGCCACAGAGCTCCAAATTTACTGCTATAGTTTGTAAAGCCGGCGACTTAAAGGGATACTACAACGAAATTTCGGCGCTCATTTTTTGGTCTATTTGTGTTCAAACGAGCAGCATCATATCGAACATACCAATATCTTGTTAAAAAAGTCTCGAAAAGGAATTTTAAAACGAATTAAACGATTAGCAAAGAGCACCTGGTGGATGTCGCTAACGCCTCGTTTGTAATGCTCGTCTAAAAACCTTGACAGCTAGTGACGGAGGGTGTCTCGCCTCCGGCCATGACGAGAGAAGAGGGGCAGGAGGAACTCCTCTCTTCTTGAGAATGCCTTTTGTGTGTCGCAGAAGTCGCTATTGTCCCCCCACAAGATTATAGAAGATTAACCCGTCACTCAAAATTCGTACAAAAGCAGCCGCTTCGGTGGCTGGAGCGACTGGGCCATCCTCTCGACGTCAGCCTCGCCGTAGCATTGCTCGTCCTGAGACGACCTACGTCACGATTGCGTTGGATGTCACGTGGTCTCCGCTGGGCCTTCTCTGAGCGCTTGCCAAAGTGGGCCGTTTATAACGAAAAATACAGCCACCAGGCTCAAAATACAAACGTGCAATTGTCATTTACGGATATTGTGGATCGTATTCAACCTATTTTTGAACACGACGGGAATATTTCAAATATTGTTGAAGTATCCCTTTAAACAATCGTGTAGGCATGTACATAAAATAAAACCGTGCACATGTCTTTCATCGTGTACCTCCATGCTCCACGCTTTTATTTTGTGCAGATTTATAAGGTGTACACCGTGGGAGTCCACACAGCGACGAATGGAGTGACGTTGACAAGGAGATGGCTCGTGCGAGTGTGCTAAAAGATGCAGATCACGAGACATGACAATGGCGCCACCTATCCGCGTCTGCTCGCCGACAGGTACACGCGTGATGATATCGCAGAAGTCGGTGCCGCAATGAAACTTTCCCCTCTGCTTATGTAGCGTCGCCAGTGTTTAGAGAACACGCGTCAGGTTTTTTGACGTGCCAAGCCTCGTTTTGAATTGCAATAGCACTCGCAGGGCACCACCTAACTGACCGTGAGATTGCGCGCGTCCGTGCGTAAGCACCTGCTCAATGGACCAGTCGTGCGTCTGTCTGCTGCCCCGTGATCACTCTCCTGCCCTTGGAGCAGAGAGTGGGTGACGAAAGGAAGTGGTCCATTGGTCTGGCGAGCACGTAGCGTCAGTTTGGGGACGATGGGAGTCTGGCGGCCAACCGAGCTGCTTTCCGTTCACTGCCCCGGGGCCGTCGGGAAGAGAATCGGATCGTTGTGCCCCAGTGGCTAAGTTGAGGACTAAACCTACGGAGACAACAACGTGGACTGTCGTTTCCGGTGGAGCGCCCGGGCGACGTACCGATCTCTTCGGCTGGCCTCGTTACGGCATCTTCATCCGTCAGAGAAGCCGTTGGTTTTCCACACGCACAAACTTGCCTCGTTTTCATACTTTGGAGAGTTTGTTGCGCTAAGACGCGATATAATTTCTAACTTTCCACTCTCAGCGATTCTTTTGAACCTCCTAAGTGAGTTTGATGGAGTTTGAGCCAAGCTCACAGACCCATGGGTACGAGGCAGCAAACATAAATAATGTGAGATACGAGCACGTGGAGGTGCCAGAGTTTCACTCTGCCGACCTTGCCGTGGACGACTCGCCTTTGAAGCGCCCAACGATTGGTTTGGGGCGGCCTCAGTGCGGTCTGGTGTCCGACACTTACGGCCGTGTTCACCAGACGTGACTAGCACCTGTTTAACTGCCAACTAGGTCGTCGATTAAAATGATTACGTGGCAGGCGGTGATCGCAGCTGAGCAAGCACCCAATATTCACGGACCGTGTCACTCGGGGCTTAGTCACCTCGAGTGACTCGGAGGGCGATAAAAAAATCTTAGTGGGGTTACAGCTAGTTTAGCCGGTGTTATCGGGCGGCTAGCGGCTCAGCGTTTTGTCCGACTCGTATCGCCGATGACCACTGGCACTTATTCAGCACTCATTGTCTCGGAACCCCGGGACACAGATCCAGAAAGAATCGGAGCAACAAATATTGTGGGAATAGACGTGTTCAGAGATGGCGCTAAAGCAGTCTCAGCAAGGCGCTGGATGACAAGAGCGCCAGCATTTTCGGCGACTTTCATATTTGCGTATTTGGTCTGGCAGTGCAGCTTCCATGTTTTCTCTCTCTAGTTTCTTTTTATTTCCTTCAAAAAACTGTCTCCCAGGCAGTCAGCTTCTCATTAATGTAACATTTTATTTTTGGTAATAAACATCGATATATCAGTTTTTGTACGATAATATTCCCATTTACGCAGTGGCGTTGAAGTAATGCTCATGCATGACCTATCTTTTTATGTCAATAGACCTATTGCTGTATTACCCAAGCATCAAGGAGAATGCAGGGATTGGTGTTCCACGCGCCGCACGAGCTCGCCTCGGCAGTAGTAACTTTTCTAAAGCAAATATCTAAAACAAATGGCATCTGGCACGTGCATTTGAAATTGCTTTATTTTGGTTTTTTACTTCGAATCTCTTGTACGGGGAAGGCGAGCGCGAGTGGCGCTTGGAACACCAATCCCTGCGCTCTCCTTGATGCTTAGGTAATAAAGCAAATGGTGTTTTCTGTTTTCTTTACTTTTGGCTAGATAATCAGTCACCCGCTCGATTCGTGCTCGTGAACACCCTGTAACTAGTCGCTGCTTAGTCACCGATTGTTTTCTTGGTTCGTGACTACGTATACGCGCTACTAACTTTAATATGGCACTAGTTAGTCATGACTGGTGGATAGGGCTTGTAGGGTTTAGCCACTGCAGTCGTCCTTCCATTCGTGTGCCAGTGAAAGTCGGTGGATACAGCTGTGGCGACCGGCAACACGTGTTGCCGGTCGTGTTTGTCCTTTGACCCCCTCGTTCCCCTTCTCCGGGGATTATTTTTGTCATTCTCGTCCAGCTCGCTCGCACCTTTGCATTAATTGCATTATCACGATGGCCTTTGTTCCCCGTCCAGGCGAAGGGGCGGGGAGTGGAGCATCAGGTCCGTCCAGAAGGGGCGCCGAGAGGTTTCCCTGCGAGACGTGCGGACAGACGTTTGACTCTGGGCTGAAGAGGACCAGGCACCAGTTTGCCCACCTCGGTAGGTGCGCCGTTGATTGCGTGCACGGTGCGAGATATAAACGGGTGTGTGGACACACGGCGTGGCAAACGCCCCGACGCGATCGGCCGGATGAAGTCCTATTGGTGCCCCAGTGGCCTCTTCGGACGGCGTCTCCACGGGCCAAATGGCCCGACCGAGGAAGAGAGACAAAAACAAAATGAGTGTCCCGTTGCCGGGCGCCTTTTCACGCACGTTTTCTGCTCGGCGTGTTTTCTGCGATATTGGTGCCTCGATTGTCGTGCCGAAAATCTCTTCGCTTGGACGTAAAACTGTTCTTGCCGCAATTGAGGCTAGGGTGAATGCCAAAGATGCGTCTAAGCGACGTGCACAGCAGTATCGCTCTAGGTGACGTTGCACAGCCAGAAATCGACTTTAAAAACAAGCTCCTGTAGAGAAGCGTGGGAACCCAGGCCTGCAACGGGCTGCCATGTTTCAAGAGTCGTCGGATGGCGCCGCTTGCAACCGAGGAGAGGACTTTACCTGGCAACACCGTCCACACCCACGTATATCTCGGAACGTGGTCGCATGCATGGCCAGCTCCGGGGTTGTTTCGCAACGGGACTCCCCATGGGAATTCTTGGCGCTCACAATTTGTACGTTGAGAGATTGGTGCCTGCTATCCTCTGTTTCATACTTAGTGTGCAGCGCTCTCAAAGCTTTTGGCGCGAGCATGGGGCTTGATCTCGTTGATCGTTTGCACGCGTTCTCGCGCAAACAAAACCATAGATGAAGCCGCACGCTCGCGCCACTAGCTTTGACAGTGTGGCACACTAACTATGAAACAGAGTATAGATCTGTTTCGAGATACTTAATTGCATGGTTTTTCGAGGAGTGAGCCAATTCTCGCAAATATTTTTAACGGCTGTAAATAACTTAAGTTACGGGAAAAGCAAATTTTAGCGTAATTCGTGACTCGAAAAATGTGTCGAACATAGCATTGTGCAAATATACCGTCTCCATAGTTACAAATACATGGCCGTTTACACTGAGAGAGTTTGGACTTCTTGAGGAGATTTTGACAGCCCGACAATCACAGCGGCGTTGTCTGACAACCAGGAGAGGACTACTTCTGCCTGCCATTTTGTGGCTCTGACTCCTAGGAACTCTATGCGATTTCTGAGGAATAAACGAGACAAACCAGCAACGCCATTTTGTGTTATCGCGAAATCCGCTTGTTTTAGCAGGCAACAAGCTGCACCCATTGGCCCCACCTCGCTCAGTATAAACGGCTCTGACCAGTCCTACTTGCGAGATTTTGTTCCCACGAAATATTGCCAAAATTCACACTTTTCATAAAGACGCAAAGTATCGAGCTCGCACAAATAAACTCGTTTTTAGTACAAAGTAAAAAGAATCTAGACGCTCTAAGTGTAAAAATATTTTGGGGCAAAAAGGCCACGGGAGTTAAGTGTTTTTCGGCAGAATTGCGCCATTCGTTACGATGAAAGTTGCAAAATTGCTTGTTCTATTACGTCGTGAATTATAGTCTCTTCTTCCTCGGTAATAAATGAACGAGGATGTGTCTTCCAAAGACGTGCTGCTTGGCAGTTGCTCGTAGTTAGCGCATGGAGCTCCAGCCCCAAGCACCCTCAAAGACTGCACCTGCGGGCCTCTGATACTCCGCATTCACCCCTACTTTTTGCCGGTATTGCCATGTCGGGACATCTGACAACGTGACACTCCGGCCTTTGCGACGTCATTCGTTGTCACTTGGGCAGAATGGCAGAATGGGACGCTAAATGCACCAGTCGACGTTTTTCATCCAAGCTAGAGGAAACATTTGGCCCGTCTTCTCTTCCGCTTAGGTGGAGCTTCTCGGCCATGCCCGCTGCAGTGCTCCAGTTGTCGGCGCACATTTTCCAGTCGCCTGGCACTGGCCGAACACCAGGTACGGAACGAAAACCACGGCGGTAATTGGCGAATCGCCACCCAGCGTCCTTGCTTCCTTTTGCCCGACTTAATGAAAATCAAACAGATATCCTGTCGCACCTACTGTGAGAAACGTTTTTTTTCCCCACACGATCGGAAGTGCTTTTACCGATTTATCACCCGGTGAGGTTCCACAAACGAGTTTTTCGTTATGAATCCTGGGCCGTACCCGCCATGATGCTTCGGTGCTGCGGGTTGCTCGTGTAAGTAAGTGAATAGATAGAGGCCGCAGTGATGACGGCAGGCTAGAAATCTGGCAGCAATCTCTATCTCAAAAGTCCTTTAATGCATGGGACGTACGGACAAGTGCGAGGGCGACTGGTGCCTCATGCCTGCAAGCACGTGCAGCTTGCGTGCGAAACTAGCTTTGGCGAGCCTGCGCTCGCACGGGCTCGTCTGCACGAGCAGAGACATGGCGGCTGCCAGTCGCCTGCTTGTCTGTGGTGGGCGACAGGCTAAAAGATCAGGGGGAGCTCTCTTTCCACTTTAGCGGAGAGGTCGCCTTCTCTACGGCATTTTGTGTGCCGAGACTCTTAGCCTGTCAGCAACTATAAGGAGCGATCGGTTCCTCGAAGACAACCTATTGCATACAAAGTTGTTTTTCATAAAACACTGCAGAAAATTCTTAAAATAGGCGATTTTCACAGAAAAGAAAGGAAACATTCACTCAGCCTCCAGGTGTTGCTTTCACTATTAAAAAACAATGAGTCATCAGAGAGATGGTAGGGCTCATCATCAAAAACGATAGAGAAGTCGTCACTTTTAGGAATTTATTTGTCAGCTAGCAAACGAAAAGGCCATGCCACCTTTTCGCGTGCATGCAGATGTCAAATGTTCTTTCCAGGGAGAACCCTCTCTCGGTGAAAATTGGGAACGAGCAGCAAAATACCGTATTTACTCGCATAATGAACCCCACAATGGGCATCAATATTTAAACTTTTTACTTTTTTTCGTGTAATGAATGCGCTTTGAACTTTCGGCTCCTCGAGTCTTGAAATTAATTTTCTTTTGTCGCTAAGCAGCCAGGCCAAGTCAAGACAAGCCAAGCCGCTCTCGTAATGGCTGCAGTTGCGTGGTTGCGGAAGTGATCAACCGTGAAACCGCGTGTAGCGCACGCCTAGCGACGCTGGGGTCTAGGAATTGCCCAGCCCTGGATGTGCTTCGTCCATCAACAAACACGCCGTCGTCTGTGGTCCGCTTTTGGACATTGCGCGCGTTAAGTCAACACCACCTAGACAGAAGGCCTCCGCATGGTTTCCTCTTCCTCTATGAAACGTCATCACAGTCGGGTCGCGCTCGGTCGGCTATTGGACCCGAGCCCGACCTTCGACGCGCTGATTGGCCACGAGCCGCAGCCGAACACTGACGCAGCACTCGTGCCCAATCTCTCGCCTCGATCGATCTGACTACGATGACGCGTGTGGAGGCCTTCTGTCTGGGTGGTGTTGGTTAAGTCGGCGCTCCTTTACTTCTACTCCGACGCTCCGAGTTTCATGCTCCGAGCGCAGCAACTAAACGACGTATAGCGCGCAGGAGTGCGACACACCGACGCTGCGTTCCAAACCTGCTCGAAAGGATCCGAGTTACCCTGGCGGATTATGTCACGTGACAAAAAAATAGAAAAACGCTGGATGCGGGTAGGTTTTCGATAACCACCTTTACCCTAGAGTTAGATCGAATAAGTTTTGGAACACGGCCAGAAACTATCGACGGGCCACACGAGCTCCTTCCAAGTTCCGACCGTAGATACCTACGGGTGGCAGAAGCCGAAAATATTTCAAATACAAATAATTAGGCCCGTGTGGAGCGGCAGAGTCTAAAGCAAAAGAGACGGCGACGTTATGAAGTTTCTACGAATGTTTTAATATCCCTGAAAGGTTTGAAGACTCGCTTCGTGCACTTATGTGGAAGGCTACCTTGGCCAATCTATTTATTGACCATGCATGCTGTTCCGATTTAACGACAACATTCTTCAACTCGCTCGTCGACGCATGAATCCCTAAAATTTGTCAGAGATTCCCTGGTTCCGTTGGTTTCGTGTCGCAGCGAGATGGAAGCTACGCCGACACCGGCACACTGTCGTTCGATAGCACGTCAATTTGTTTTTAGGCAGTATGCATGAACAAACCTTAGCCGGAATGCTAACTGGTGTTTCGGCTTTCCAATCTAAGTATCTTTATTCGCCGCGGCTGGGCTAAGCATTCTAAAACAGTGCAGCGATCCGACTGTCTTCTCACCACAACCTTTCTGTCGCTGAGCTATCGGCACGCTTGTTCGATAGATCAATTCGTTTTCAGGCGAGATGCACGAACAAACCTTTTCCTCATTGCTCACTGATGTTTCGGCTTTCCAATCGAAGTATCTTTATTCGTTGGGCTAAGCATTATAAAAGAGGCAGCGGTCCGAATGTTTCCTCATTTCGACAAATTTTCTGTCGCTGTGCTATCGCCGTGCTACCATTGGATAGATGAATTTTTTTCCGGCGAGATACACGAACAAACCTTTTTCGGAACGCTAATTGCTGTCTTGGCATTCAAATCAAATCGCTTTTACCTGCTGGATTAAGCACTAATCAACTGAAAAGGGGCAGCGGTCTGGCTACGCCTTTTGTCTCGACGGTCTCAACAGCAGCGCAGCCGGGTGTAGGACAAAATGGTCCCGGTCAAAATGGTCCAGGACAAAATGGTCCCGGACAAAAAGGTCCCAAGTGCAAACCCGGACAAAATGGTCCCAGGTGAATTTATCAATACTTTGAGCGCTGTTAATAGGACAAAATGGTTTGGTACTTTTATTTTGACACACATTCGAGGATAATATCAACATTTTCATTATAATCATTTGAAACAAATTTTAAATCCCTTCTTCCTATACTATGTAGCTCTATTTCTCAAAGGCTCTTGATTTCTACCGATATATTCCACGTGTGTGATCAATATGTTTCTATCGCCAGAACCTGATTTCAAATTAGCGCTACCAAGCTTCAAAACGATATGCGGAGGGGAAATCATTATCATACACGTACTACATGTTCTTGAAGTGGTTTTTTTAAATGAACCTGTCGTACCACCGTGTTCTATTTTTCAGAAACAGCATCGCTCTGTCTGAACATTGTATATTAAAGAAATCAATAATTGATTTCACAACTATGAGCGTATTTATTACATAGATCACTTAAGAGACAAGAAGTCGACGCTGCTGAAGCGAAGGCCTAATACGAAAATGTATTCATATGACCCAACCCCTCAAAAAGTCGTTCAAGGGACGGAGCCCTTGCACATACTTTGTGCACAGAGTTACAAGCCGCTGCTAATATCCATCAAGAGTAGAAAATACAAAAAAAAAACCTGCAAACAGCAAATAAATAATGCCACACTGGGACCATTTTGTCCGGAATGGCAGTTGGGACCATTCTGTCCGGGACCATTTTGTCCGGGACCATTTTGTCCGGGACCATTTTGACCGGGACCATTTTGACCGGATCCCAGCGCAGCCATCTTGTTCGTTTATGTGACGTCACGGAGTGCGAAGAAGTCACTCGCGCTCCGAGAAATTCTCGGTGCACGAAGAGCGCGCTCGAGTGTCAGTCTCCGGTGGCACTCCTGTCCGTTTAGTGAAAGGAGCGCCAAACTCTCGCGCTCCGGAGCACGGACTTAACGCGCCCAGTGATGTCGCGAAAGGGGTTAGGCCTAAGAATGGTTGCGTCGCTCTTCGTGTCGAGTGTGCTTCGTAGGGTGCTTTTTCTTCGGCAAAAGGCACGCCAAAAGCGCCCTAAAAAAAGGTTTGCAGTTTATAGAGCATGGTTACTGTGGCGCACCCACGACCAGCCATGGGTGCGCCTCTGTCAGTGGAGATGCGCCACAGTACCCTGCCATGCCATATTGGTACCTAAAATGACATGTGCTCAAAATGTGCAAATGCAAATATTTTACCCCGCGTAATGAATGCACTCTCCAAATATGTTTTTATGGCTATGCTTTAAAACCTGGAGCTTTTGTGCAACCTTAGAGTTGTCTCATACTTTAGAGCGCCATTTTGTACATGGCACCGACTGCTTCTCGGAATCAAAGTTTGCAGGGATTCTCACGCCCTTCCTCCCTTCCTCCCTGGGCCCAGGCTCGTCACGAGAACAAGATGCTCTACGTGTGCCCCACCTGCGGCCGGCAGTTCCGCCAGAACACGGGCCTGTGGCGCCACCTACGCACCCACAACCCGGACGCGCCGCGGCCGCGCCACCCCTGCGCCATCTGCGGCCGGGAGTTCTCCCGCCCCGACTACCTCCGCGCACACTCCGCGACGCACGACCATCCGCACGAGCGGAGCTTTGTCTGCCAAGTCTGCAACCGCGGGTTCCTGCAGGGCTCGGACCTCAAGCGGCACCGGCTGGTCCACTCGACGGAGTGCCGGTTCCGGTGTGCCGTCTGCGAGCGAACCTTTTCGGACCGGTCCAGCAGGAACCGGCACCAACGTGAGCACGACCCGATGCAGTGCTACGTCTGCACGATGTGTGGGACCACTTTTAAGAGGACGTCCAAGCTCAGGGGTCACGTGACCAGGATGCATGGCGACTCGACGGTTTCGGAGCTACGCCCCGGCACGTTGAGCACCGGGAGAGCCACCGACGGTACGGCCGTCGTGCCGAGCGGTCCAGAAGCGGTTACGACGGAAAGCGAAGAAGTGTCAGGAGTTTGCGCGAGTGCCATCTTCGATTTGTCTTGCGGAGTAGCAGTGCTGTCGGACGAAATGGACAACGGGCTTCGGGAAGTCTGCAAACCCTCGGTGTCAGAAGAACGGCAGCCCGAACTCGAGACTCGTGGCACATCGCTGCTCCTTCGGGGCGAAGTCTCAAATGGTCATCCCACCTCCCTCGAAACAACCGGCGAGATCCGAGCTTTAAATTGTCTGGCCCTGCCCCATGAATCAAACATTGAAATTCCAAAATTCAATCGCCTCTCCGCATTAAGTGAACTAACGGACGGTGTTCAACCGTCAGATGAGCCAGTCGGTGCACTTCTGGAGCCCGGTAGTCCTCCGTTGGTAGAAATATCGTCTGAAAAGCTCGCGAGTGGCGACAATCTGCGGATGTCCGGCGAGTCGACCAACGAACTTTCGGCGTCCCGCGACCTGGCGTCTCGTGGCCTCCCGCTGCCGAGACAGTCCGTCGAGCTTGCAGACGACGACTGCCCTCCGTCGTCCGGCGAGCCACCAGCATTACCCCAACCCGCCGGCAAGCTTCCGGAAGCCGACTCCCTCGACCGAACGAAAGCGTGCTCGGGCGATTCTCTAAAAGGAGACAGCACGACGACGGTGGCTGACAGACTCGAGGCTGTGCCGGGAGGTGTGACAGATGTCCTCCGTCGGTCCCTGGACGACGCGACGGAGGCCCCCAAAATCGCCCTTGCGCAGGACCCATCCCTCCCGGATGGGTCCTGTGGCGATGCGGACTTTGCGAGCTTCCCCGACTTCGGGAGCCAGGCCTACTACGACTGGCTGGCGGGATTCGCGTCCGTCTGCAACCTCCTGTCCCCGCCGCTGGACGGCCGGGTCTTCGCCCGGGTGACGCAGGTCCTCAAGACGCTGGGAGACGCGCTCGCTTTGCCGTCGGGCGTCCTGGCCTGCCGGGAGAACTTTGAGATCCTGCTCGGTATCTGGGACGACCTCCGGAGACTCGTCGGGAAACACCTGGGCTTTGTTGTGGCGCACCTGCCGGCTTGACTGAGCCTTGCAGCCTCGTAGTCCCCGCCTGAAAATTTGCTCAACTCGCCAACATCACTGGAAGGGTGACCCAAATATCGGGCCAAAGTAAATTTTTAATGCATTAATTGTCTCTTGCACCGAAGCCGTTGTCTGTAGCAGCGAAAAGCGGCAGCTAAATTTCCATTGGCTGAGCGAAACGGCACCTAAATTTCCAATAAAACTCAAAGAAAACCAAAGCAACGCAGATGCTTCGTCATGGAAGCCGGCGGGTGCGCTCAAGGTCAAAGCGGACACGCCTCAGAAATAAAACAAAGAGAAGCGCAGCAACATAATGCTTCGTCATGGAAGCCGTCGTGCCTGTGCAGTGGGGGGGCGTGATGTCACCGTCGTGTGCGAAAGGAAGACGTGGCGCACTACTTGTAGGAATGCGCTGCGTGTAGGAATGCTTTGGCATTCCTACACATAATCAGTCTTAACTGCCAAACTTTTTTTCACAAAGTTGGTGAATTTACAATTTTGGTCCTCGCAGTGTTTATTGATGTGAAAGTCTCTACGAGTAACAATGAAAAAGTGAGGTCAGCGGAAGGCAGGAGTTCACTTTTTGGAATGTAGACTTTGTTCCCAACTGACTACAAGCAGCTTCAGGGTGTTAATAAATGCTTCGGAAACTCACTGTAGCGCCCATGCGGCAGCACGAAACAAATGCTTGGCATAGTCCATTTTTAGACTCCACGCTCGACCCGCAAACCTGCCTTCCCCCGACCTCGCGGCACTCAAAAGCGCGGGTATATCTGAACATTGGGTTTGTCATCATTTTCACTCAGCCATTTCTCAACAACTATTCTGAATTTCCCGATATTAAGTAGCATACCGGAAAAGGCAAAGACCAGTGATTTCGGAAATCTATTTAGTTGGAGTAGTTAAAACAATAGCCAGAGTACCCCTTTAAAGGGATACTTCAACGAAATTTGAAATATTCCCGTCGTGTTCAAAAATGGGTTGAATATGATCCACAATATCCGTAAATGACAATCGCACGTTTGTATTTTGAGCCTGGGTGGATGTATTTTTTGTTATAAACGGCCCACTCTGGCAAGCGCTCGGAGAAGGCCCAGCGGAGACCACGTGACATCCAACGCAATCGTGACGTAGGTCGTCTCAGGACGAGCAAAGCTACGGCGAGGCTGACGTCGTGAGGGTGGCCTAGTCGTTCCAGCCACCGAAGCAGCTGCTTTTGTACGAATTTTGAGTGACGGGTTAATCTTCTATAATCTTCTAGGGGGACAATACCGACTTCTGCGACACACAAAAGGGATTCTCGGGAAGAGGGGAGTTCCTCCTTCCCCCCTTCTCTCGTCGTTGCTAGAGCACTATATAGCTCCTACGGAGCAGAGTAGCGCAATCCTTTGAACTCCGTGTTTTGCCGACAACATGGCCGACAGAGCGGCTCGGCGCGAGTCACGTGGTACTCAGGGTTCCAGGAGGCGGCCCGCCCTATGGGAGAATACATGGAGATCGATACAACACGGCTGATTAAAAAATGAACGGCGAGTTCACACTTTTCAAAACTAGCCTGTCGTGAAGTTAGTAAAGCACTAAACACTTTATCAAAGTTTTATTAATATCGGATGCGTGTGAAAATTTTGAGAAGGCAATTTCCAAGGCAATGGCGTTTGAAGCAGACGATTTTTGCTCGCAGCGGAGATGGGCTTTTCGGGTTGGCCAGAGTGGGTCACGTGAATGGTGTGACGTCGCCGTGTCGTCTGCTGCATGATGCCGCTCAAGCAATTTTTTAAAAAAGTCAGGTCCTTTCAAGGCACAAAACTTAGCGCAAATTATTCTAAAATGTTCCATTATTATGTCAAAAACGATTGCCATTCCGTACATTCCCACATTACTGAAGAAACAACGATTTTCTCACGTTTTCCATGCATTTCTGACCGCAGTTGGAACCTCCGGCCGTTCGCCGCTAGTCGCCGAGAGGCGGCGTTCTAGATTGCGCTACTCTGCTCCGAAGGAGCTATATAGTGCTCTAGTCGTGGCCGGAGACGAGACAACCTCCGTCACTAGCTGTCAAGGCTTTACAAACGAGGCGTTAGCGACATCCAACAGGTGCTCTTCGGTAATCGTTTAATTCGTTTTAAAATTTCTTTTCGTGACTTTTTTAACAAGATATTGGTGTGTTCGATGTGATACTACTCCTTTGAACACATATAGACCATAAAATAAGCGCCGAAAGTTTGTTGTAGTATCCCTTTAAATCGACCGGAAAATTCGGTTTCTTAACCTATCGCGCTACGACTTTGTGCAGCGTTGCCCACAGATCATGCTTTTTTTTTTTGTAAAATTTGCGAAGAGCGAACTTATCTAAGGAAGAAGTAAAGAAAGAAAAAGGCTTAGGTCCTATGGAAACGCAGCGACGCCACCGGTCTGCAAACAACACAGGCCGCGACGCCAACTGCCGCCAACGAACGAGCAGACGACGCCGAGAGCCGGCGTATTTAGCAGACAAGGAACTGCAGCTCCTTGTTACCGCGCCTGTCTTTTTTGTTTCTGCGACTGTCGCCGCCTGCGGAACGCGCAGGCGACGAAGGTTTTGAGTCGAAAAGATCGTCTGCTAAAAATGCCTGCTCTCGGCGCCGTATGCTCGTTTGTTGGCGGCGTTGCGCCATCTCTTGTCTCCCGTGCGAAACGGCGCCGTGTTGTTTGCAGACCGGTGGCGTCGCTGCGTTTCCATAGGAGCTACGCCTTTTTCTTTCTTTACTTTTACCTCAGGTAAGTTCACTCTTTGCAATTGTTATGAAAAAACAAAACAAAAAAGCACCATCTGTGGGCAACGCTGCGCAAAGTCGTAGCGCGATAGGTTAAGAAACCGAATTTTCCGGTCGATTTAAAGCGCCTGGCGTCTCTTTGTTTCACCCTGTAGAACATGAGTAGTACTTGTTTACTAGGTGCACATGCAGCCGATGCGTCGTGGTGCCTGAATTCAATCCTCTTGAGCGCCGCTGCTTCATGGAAATGAGCAGGAAACTTACAGACCTGCAGTTGAGGTCTCACTTCGAGACCTGTGAGCTTTAGTAAACTCGCCTAGGGTTGTAATCATCATCACCAAAGTGCATCGAGCGTATCCATCGTTTACCCACGGATTCTAAAAGTTGTCCTGCGGGAGCCGCAGTCAGCCTCCGGTCCATCTCTTGTATGTCTCTCGGAAATGCATGCAGTGCGATCACTTCTTGAGTTGCTGAAATACCGGGATATAGTCCCTCACACAGCACCTTTTGGGCATTGTAGTTGATCACGTCAATTCACGGAGTCCACTTCTTCTACCTTTACAGCAACATCAAGCGATGAAAAGCAAATAAAAGAAACGTCGTCTGCTTGTATAAATCACGACTAGGGTGATTTTTTTTTTGGCGTGTCAGAGGCTTTTTAAGCTGAGACTAGAAACTCCGCTTTCAGCGCGAGCTTTGTGCCTTTGCTAACACATATGTGAACGTGCAGGTACCCGCAACCAAAGCACTTTCGAAAGCCAGCAAACTGACGCTGAAGGCGGAGCTTCTAGTCTCAGTTTAAAGACAAAAGGAGTATAGGCAACGACCGTGCAAGTGAGGTTTGCTCCCTCTGTGTCTTTTAAAGTCTTACCAGCGTTCAGCTGGCAATCGCTTTGCGTGTCCCGCCACTATTGCGGTTTAGGACGGGGGTCAACGTTGACGTCTTCCTCGCTATTTGTCTAATCATTAGCTCCTAGGTAAGGGTAATGCGCCAGACATCTGCCGCGTGTTTCTTCCGCAACTGGACAGTCACAGTACGGTCTGGTCGTCGGAAAGCTCAGCCGGCTCAGGCGTTGGTAGGCTTGTCAAGTTCAAACAGCGGCCATTTTTCATGACAGACCGTCTCCGGCGGGTAGCTCCACCGATGCGAGTTCATCTTCCGCTCGTCGATTTGGGGTGGGTCCCACGGAGCATGTCCTAGGGCGACGAAAATAATCCCTGGAGAAGGGGAACAAGAGGGACAAAGGACAAACACAAATCTCCAAACACAGCTAGGTGACTGGTGCGCGACCGAAAAAATACGCCTGGTCCGGGTATCGAACCCGGGACCTCTCCATTACAGGTGGAGTGCTCTACCAATTGAGCTAACCAGGGGTTAGACATCAGTAGGGCAAACGGGTTTTATCAGCCGCCACCAGTCTAACACCAACAAGGGTGAAGCTTGCAATTTAAGGTAATGATTATAATGCAATTAAATGCAAAGGTGCAAGCGAGCTGGATAAAAATGACGAAAATACTCCCTGGAGAAGGAGAACAAGAGGGACAAAGGACAAACACAAATCTCCAAACACAGCTAGGTGACTGGTGCGCGACCGAAAAAATCCGCCTGGTCCGGGTATCGAACCCGGGACCTCTCCATTACAGGTGGAGCGCTCTACCAATTGAGCTAACCAGGGGTTAGACATCAGTAGAGAAAACGGGTTTTATCAGCCGCCACCAGTCTAACACCAACAAGAGTGAAGCTTGCAATTTAAGGTAATGATTATAATGCAATTAAATGCAAAGGTGCAAGCGAGCTGGATAAGAATGACGAAAATAATCCCTGGAGAAGGGGAACAAGAGGGACAAAGGACAAACACAAATCTCCAAACACATCTAGGTGACTGGTGCGCGACCGAAAAAATCCGCCTGGTCCGGGTATCGAACCCGGGACCTCTCCATTACAGGTGGAGCGCTGTACCAATTGAGCTAACTAGGGGTTAGACATCAGTAGAGCAAACGGGTTTTATCAGCCGCCACCAGTCTAACACCAACAAGGGTGAAGCTTGCAATTTAAGGTAATGATTATAATGCAATTAAATGCAAAGCTGCAAGCGAGCTGGATAAGAATGACGAAAATAATCCCTGGAGAAGGGGAACAAGAGGGACAAAGGACAAACACAAATCTCCAAAAACAGCTAGGTGACTGGTGCGCGACCGAAAAAATCCGCCTGGTCCGGGTATCGAACCCGGGACCTCTCCATTACAGGTGGAGCGCTCTACCAATTGAGCTAACCAGGGGTTAGACATCAGTAGAGCAAACGGGTTTTATCAGCCGCCACCAGTCTAACACCAACAAGGGTGAAGCTTGCAAT